GGGGGGGGGGGGGGGGGTGATGATGGTAGGAGGATCGGAGATGACAGCAGTAGGGCTGATGGCAGCAGAACTAACGGCAAAGATTGGCGTCATGGCCACCCATCGACGCGTTCTCCAGGAGAGCGAATAGGAGAGGGGTCGGGGATTGTGAGGTTGACGAGCCCACTCTCAAATGCTTGATCTGAGTTCTTAGGAAGTAGACGAGTATATGTGAAGAAATATAATTCTACGGGAACAATACAGGACACCTCCTTCCTTCGAGATATCACCGTCAGTAGCGACCCCTCCCCCTCTAACAGAGACTCCTGCGCAACGCTTCTCCGGGTCACGGTTACGATGCCCCTTTCCCACAAAGATCATTGTCAAGCAACGCCTCCTCAGAATCTAACATCCATTTACTCCAAAGTCGGAACATTCTCCTTCACCGTATCCTCCAAACTCACCCATCCGGGTCGCCCGTAGTACTCGCGCAGCACCTCCGCGCCACGCTCAGTCGGCACTCCCATCCCACTGAGCTCCGCTCCAGGCAAATCGTCCACGAAATCCTTCTCGGGATACAAGCGCCTCAGGATGGCGAGGATCTGGTTCCACGTGTATGGCGCTGCGGACGCATAAATGCGCTCATTGCTAATCGACTTGCTCAGCAGCGCTGCGACGTGGATGCGTGCCGTATCCACCACATTCACATACCATCCTGTCCACATTAGCTTACTTCCAATAGTTTTTACACGAATACTCACCAGGCGGCAATGACTTCACAAACTCGACATTCGACTTGGTAGCAAAACCAGTGATCCAGCCACCCGTGCTCAGCCCGCCTGCCGGGTTCAGCGCCGGCCCGAAATTGGCATCTGGCAACACCGCATTCACCTTGAAGCTCGGCTTCTCCTTCTCGGCGAACGCCCACAACGCCTTCTCGGACTCAGCCTTGCTGGCGCTGTAGACGGCGTTGGGGTGGCTAGGTGGGAAGGGAGCAGAGGTGACGCTCCAGGCCTCGGCGATGGCAGCTTCATTCCAGGTGCTGGTAGTAACCTCGAAGGAGTGGTTATCCGGAGCGGGGTTGCCAGCGGCGACGGAGCTGGAGGTCAGAACGAAAGATTTGACGGTGGAAGAAGTGGCGGCGGAACGGAGGAGCGAAGTTACGCCGCTGATGGTGTCGGGGATGACGGCCGCGGGGTCGGCGCTGAAGGATAGGACGGAGGCGGGGTGGATTATGCCGTGTACGCCTGGGCGTGTTAGTTGGGTATTTATTCACCAGAATGAGGGGGAATTACCCTTGACGGCATCATCGAATGCCCCGTCAACTGCCATATCTGGCACCACCACGGCAGAGTATGTTCCAGCCTCGTGGCGGGAGTTGAAGACTTCGGTCGTCCAGGCGGCTTTGGCGGCGTCACGAACTGTTCCCCTTACGTGGTAACCGGCTAGGAGGACCTGGTCGACAATGTGGCTTGCGATGTAGCCATTGGCGCCGGTGACGAGGACGAGGGAGCCCTTTGGTAAGGAGGCGTCGGCGGGGGAGAGCTGAATGGTAGACATTATGAGATATTTATGGGGAAAGTGAGAGTGATAGTAGGTTGGTTGTGCTTTTGCTTATGCGAATTGATATGATGAGGTTGACACTGTGGAATGGGGAAGGTTTGATCTCTATTTATGATAATTCCAAGATGTTGGATACGCCATCATTTCTTAGAAGGTTTCCACCGAAACATCGGCCTAAGGGCAGACGATGGGAGTGTTTTGTCATCACGGTCTGGATTTGAATCATGACGGTTGTTAGGGGAAACCTGTTGGAGATATCGGGGATAACGTAGGGATTGCCAGGGAATAGCCTAGGTTTAGGGCGTTCCCTAGGGATATTGTTGGAGATACCGGAGATAACTTGGGAACTGGCAAGGAATAGTCTACTAAGTAGAGTAGATAATTCAATTGATTATTATATTACTACATATAGTATTCTGCCTTGTGATAATTGTCGACACTGCAACCCGAAGGGAACTCGTGTGAATCACCTGATTTAGGTGCAGAATATCATATTCCCAACTATTCCCCTAATAAAACCGACGTCCGTTGGTAAGTAACATCCCCATGCGGCTCCTCCAGTGGGCGCTTGGAGTTCATAGCTTAAGAAAAAAGTGGTCCTTGATCTCTCACACTGATCGGAGACTTGGTTAAGTGCATAGGCTATCAAAAACCTTGTTGCCTATGATAGTGGGCTTCCGGTTGGAGGTTCGGTCATCAACAACACAAATTGTCAGCGAAACGGGTACACTTCCACGTTTAAGCACGACATAGAAAGTACGAGGTTATGATATGATATGAGGGATAAAAATATTTGGGTTATGTTTTGAGATGGGTCCAACAGGTTTAAATGACTTAACTCGCATACACGACGTTCATTGGCAAACGGCAAAGCCAGTGTAGGGGCTAAACCGGGCTTCCGGTTGGAGGCTCGGTCATCAACCAGACGAATTGTCAGCGAAATGGACACACCCCCACGTTTGATCAGGTACGAAGTTATGATATGAGAGATAAAAGAAGATTCGGGTGTGTTTCAAGATGGATTTAACATACTAACTTGATGTCGTCGTTTGTCACGGACAGCAATTCGTGGCGCGAAATCTGAATATAGACACCATCCCATCTTTTCAACGCCCTCAGCCATATTCATTTGTGTTGCTTAGAACGAGAAACAAGAATATCACTACAATAACAATTATTATTTTCTAATTCCGAAGCTGTATTGCATGCTGTGATGTCAGCTTCGATCCTGGAAGATCATTGGAGTCTTAGCGTTACACAATGTGGGTTGGCTTCCCGCACGGGTGAGGATTTAGCAACGTCGTAGCGTTTGAGGTGATTAACGGCCAGGTCTTTGCTTCATTCGAATTAAGCACCGTATATGCCGCCTACGATTATTAATGGCCAAAATTCGCCTTCTGGCTTCTATGATTGGGTTTATGCGGGCGACGGTGACAGTGAGAGACATATGGGGCTGCGAGGATATTGAGGACATACAGGAAGCGGACAAGGGTTGGCCAGGGATGGTGGTTCCTTAACACGGTCATTCGTTTGATAGCATGATACCCAACCCCGGGAATCATTTGCCCATTCAAGCTGAACATTTAAACATTTGAATAATTCGTAATAGTAATACACCTCCACATATACGCTTCTAAATATGGTATTTGAAATCCAACTCCCAGTCTCCTGTCTTCACCTTCCTCGTATCCTCAATCTCGCCACTTGCAATCTTCGCCTTCTTGGCCGTGCACCTCTTGATATAAACGGCCTTGCCCACAATCAACACTTGCGATAAACAGAGGATACCCAACGAGAATCCGTGGCCCAACTTATAGGGTGCTTTTCTGTAGATTTGTCCAGCCACAACTCCGGCAACATTACCCATCGACTGTTGCATGCCAATAGCGGTTGCGCGGCGGTAATGAGGCGCAATGTTTACGTTGAGCCATGCAACGTTGAGACCTGGGCCTGTGTAGACGGCAATGGCGCACAAGAAGGTGGCGAAGAACTTGACGCTGTTGTTGGATACGAATAGAAGGAGGAGGTAGCCGATGATGCCGAAGATGTTGGCAAAGAAGATAAACTGCGACATATTAGAAATGCCAACAATGAAGGAGTGGCCGACTTACTGGACTACGGAGAGTCATCTTGTCAGAGATGTAGGCGAAACTCATGAAGCAGAGACCACCGAAAATGTAAACGGGGATTGTGAGGTATTGAGTCTGGAGTGTCGAATGCCCCATCTCCTTGAGAATGGCTGGCAAGAAGGTGCTGAAGCCATACAGAAGGATGTCTTGGCAAAATTGAATGGCGCCGCTGTTATATGGTCAGTCTATGTTGCCTCTGTATAGTTCCGTACAAACTCACCTGACATAAACCTTTGGATCTGTGGCGGCTATTTTAACCTCATCCCAACTAAAGTCCTGGCTACCGCTGTAGGCCTTGTTTCTCTCATATCGGATAGCCATAAACTCCTTCTGCTCCTTGCTCAAGAAGTAGGCATTTCCTGGATCGTTTGGGAGACCGAAGAACACAACTACAGCGCAGACCACACTGAACAGACCCTCGATAATATAGATCCATCTGTAATAAAATATCAGTGACAGCCCATTGCGCAAGAAAGCTCGACTAACCTCCACCCTTCAAAGCCGCCAAGGCCATCCATGAACAGGATGACATATGCAAGGAGACCACCGAAAGCACCAGAAAGCGCGGCGCAGACAAACAAGTACGAAACACGCTTTGCTTGCTCATCTCTCTGATAGACCATCGTCAAGTACAGATTCAAACTGGGAAACAGACCAGCTTCGCAGGCGCCGAGAATCAATCGCGTAGCGTATAAAGAAGCAACGTTGTGAATGAATCCCGAGAAGATGGTGGCGAGTGACCAGATAACACACAGCCCGGTAATAACATAACGAGGCGTCAATTTCTTCAAGAGGAGAGCAGATGGCGTCTCAAATGTAACGTAGGTGGCATAGAAGATGGATACAGCGATGGAGAACTGCGAGGGACTTGCACCAATGGTCTCTGGCATACCAGCTACCCCGACATTGCCTGGCTTAAGTCAGAAAGGGGTAATTTCAAGGCCTTCAAGGAAACACACCAATGTTTGAACGATCCAAAAAGCAGCAAAGGTAGACGAGCATAATGACTGGAATAAGACATAAGTCTAGCTTTGCCAGCAGCTTGACCTGCTTGGCTGGGTCGATGTAGTGGTCATCGCGGGATTCGACCTGGCTATCGGAAACCTTTGTTTCGAGGGGCAATTCCTTTTCCTCGATGGAACCCATATTCAATGGTATGATGAATGGGCGAGCGAGTGTAGAGTCAATGGTATTCAAAGAATGATAGACTGTTCGTGGCAAAGTTGATGATATTTGTCACGCCAACCGTTGGCTAGACCTTGTCATATATAAGAGTTTGCGGAGGAAATGATAAAGAAAAGGATCGCCATGCTTTCCCCCACAATTCCCCGCAAATCTCCACATCTCTCCATGCGCCTCCCTATCTCGTGGTTGAGTTATCTCTTTCTAGAGGTTTTTCGGGCCCGCCCTAACAAGAGATCGGGATCTCATACCGAGCCTTATCGCCACTCTAACGCTAGTCTGATATCGACTAAACCATGTCGATCAGGAACAGAAGATTGGCTAAAATATAACGTGGCAGTATTGATTGGCCGAAATTTTTACATTTGCGGGGTTCAACGTCATGCGTACCTTATCGCGTCGCGGACCTTTTTCCGTCGTGGCAAGGCTGTTCGTAGTCGGCGCCGACAGAGGAGACTATCACGGTAACTCGGTTGAAGAGGCATGATCACTGGGGGAATCACCATCAAAGTTTACATTGCTCATCCCTAGGCCGAACCGCCACTCTCGGCCTACAATGCCCGTCGATATCTCAAGGAGCCATCGATCGGAATGTCATCTATACCAGAGTCGGGGGGGCACATAAGGCGGGCACCCATCGCGTGAGGTCTTTCCAGGAACGTTTTGCTTGACACATACTGAGTCGTAGCAGCTGCAATAGATGTAGAAAACGAAAGACGAAATGTCTGGGTGGAGTTCCTTGCAGAACTTGCGCCATATCAAGACAAGATTGTATCTATCCAAACTCGCAGAAGAAGGTGTTGGTCTCGGAAGGGTGGGTGTCTTCATTTCCATCTCTAGCGTTCAGTTATGCTGAACTTTAATAGTTACCTCCTTGACCTAGAGGCTCGAATCAAAGCGTATGAGACCAAGGCCGAAGAAGCCTCAGTGACTCCAAGCTCTGTCGCTGCCACATCTGAAATACTGGATGCCGAAAGCGTTACCGCGGAATCCTCTGCTCCTCTTCAACTTACCATCAGTCGTGACACTGACAAGGATGATATTGATAAGAACCCACTGATTGAAGGGACGGCGCATCTTGTGCTGAGCCCCGGAGGAGGAGAGCGCCGTAAGTACTGCAGCACAATATATGAGAATAAGGCTTATAATATACTAGAGTATCTCGGGGATTCGTCGTCCACAAGTCTTGGATTGAGGTTCCAGGACTTTATTAAAACCTTTCAGTCAGAACTCAATAACGTAGTCGAGTTCGATGCGCCCACCCAAAGCCGTACGAATTTCTCCATTCGTCGTAATTCGTTTCAGGACGGCCAGCCCAAGATCTCGCTGCCTCCTTTCGCATTCGCAAAGCGTCTCTATGCCGCACAGTATGCCTATCTTGGGACCATCTTCTCCTTCACAGATATGGATCTGTTCGAAGAGAGCCTGCGTGAAATATATGATAGGCCGGTGGATGTATCCGACAAGGATGATTGCCTTGTCTATTGCGAAGTACTGCTCACGTTGGCCTTTGGTCAAATGTACTCTGTCAATCAATGGACAAGCAACGATGGACCTCCTGGATTTGAGTATTTTCAACAAGCAATGCAGCTGCTTCCGGGTCTTCATGAGCAAGGATCTGTGACATTCATCAAAGTTCTATCCCTGGTTGGATATTTCTTCCAGAATCTGAATCGTCGAGACGCAGCATTTCTCTATGTAAGCCACAGCCCCCTTTCGTGTAGTACTGGCTAATATAGACAGATTGGCTTGGCATTGCGTATGGCCATATCAATGGGGTTACATCAGGAAGTCCCCGATCAGAATCTCGACGACAGGGCTCGAGAACATCGGCGGCGACTGTGGTGGTCTGTGTACAGCATGGATAGGTAGGAAGACTGTCAGGTTGTTAAATGCCTGCTAATATTCCCAGGATTCTTTGTGTCAAATCTGGCAACCCATTGACAATTGCCGACCAGGACATTGGAGTTCTGCCTCCGTCAAGACTGGTAAGTTTCAAATTCACACACAAAACCCTTACTAACCAAATCAGCCCGACGAACCTGAAATGTGCCCAGCTACCGTCCTGTTACATTATACAGAGCTGTCACGAATACTAGGAAAGATAATGATAAGTAAGTTATCCTTGGCTCTCGGAAGTACGAAACTAACTATGAAAGATCTATATCGAAGGACACGCACAGAAAACTACAGTCTTGTCAGCTCTGTACAGGCCATTCTTACTGACTTGTCGAATTGGCACACAAACCTTCCTCAGGTGCTTCATTTTGACTTTACTAAACTTGACAAGGAAATCTCTCGTGAGGCGGTTTCGATATATCTACACTATTCGCAGTGTATTAATATGACTGCTCGGCCGCTTGTATTCCACGTTGTTCGAAGCCAGCTTCAAAGCAAAGAATCAAAAAACCACACAAGCGATTGGAACACTGGACTGTCTCCAACTACAATAGCAGTCATTGATACCTGCATTTCAGCAGCACGGAATAGTATTGCAATCATGTCTACAGCTTCCAAACAGAATCTGATAGGTAAGACATGCAAGTCGCATTCTGAATTACACAATCTAACATAACTAGCAACGTACGGCTACATGGATGGCGAACACGCTTTCTCGGCGGCAATCATCCTCGTCATGGTCAATATCGCCTTCCCGTACAACGCCCGAGACCGCGCTGCCATGAATATGGCGTTAGAGGTCCTGAATGGAATTGCCGACAAGGGCAATGCGCATATCAAATCATTGCATCGACTTCTGCTTAGCTTATACCCTATGACGAGATTGGAGAATTCCGATGAGTCTGTGATCCAGAAACAAGCTCCAGAAGCTCTTGCACCACAACCAGATCCATTCGCAGCATTCTTGTCGCAGATAGATGGCGACAACGCCAACGCTGGCATATTTTCCAACATAGATACGAATTTGTTTGAGGCAGCTGGCGCGGGAGACGAAAGGATTTGGGAGGAGGGGTTTGAATTTTTTGATGCGAATATGGATTTTGATTGGACACAGTGGAACAGCTAAATCTTCTCGACGACATCATCTTCCATCACATCTATCACTAACATATGCCCTGGGGCATGTCCCATCACTCGACCCGGCAATTGCGCCTTCATAACCGCAAGCTGGGGCGTAACACCACATCCCCAGAATACTGGTACAATCTCGTCGTCCGCTGGGTCAAGATCCAGCGGCATATCACCAAACTCGGGTGCATTGATATCTTTGATCCCCAACTTCTCCACCGCATCCCAGCCCCATGCAACAGGCTCGCCATGGGTGCTTACATACGGCCTCGTCAGCTCCCGAACCTTCTCGACATCCGCCCTCCTGTACGGCCGCATGCTGACCACGTAAGTTCCGCCAGTAAACACGCCCGCAGCGCAGAGCGGTATATTCGTCGCATACATGGGGACATTGCGGCCCATGGCCGTATGCCTCGGCGGCAGACCAGCTGCTGTCAAGGCGGCCTCAAAACTGTAGCTGCAGCCTATAAGGAATGCGACGTGGTCATCCGTCCACTCCTTAGCAATATCTGAGCAGTGTGACTTGACCAGCTTGCCATCGTCATATACCATGTATAATGGGACGTCTGTGCAAATATCAAGCGCTGACGCGATCGCGGCATCAGAGATTCCAGGCAAGTGAGACTTCAGGGCCGTGGCGGACCCTGGTGTGCGTGAAGAGGCGAGTAGTGGGCATGGGACTGGGTTGCGATGACACAGAAGCAGAAAGTCGGATGCGAAGCGGGAGGGTAGGATAATTAAGTTTGCTTGCAGATATTTAGGGGCGAGACCTGATGTCAGGGTTATTTTATTGTTGCGAGCGAGGAGGCGGGTTGAAAGAGCTGCATTATTGCCGGATTCGATCATTTTGAGGGTGAAGAAACAATATGCACGTAGCTTTCAATACAAAGTCCTGTCAAAGCATATATACATAACTATGCCGAGAAGTTAGGATATCCACATCTCCTCTCCCCGTCTATGCCTCCGCTGCCGGCCCCATGGCACCGGACTCTTTCCGCTGAATCGCACGAGACAGTATACAAATTTTGGCTTAATCATTTATCATTTGCGGGGATAAAAGTGCGGGTCAGGAACGCCCGAGGAAAATCTACTCCAGTTTTTTATTCCGCTGTGATGGTTGTTATACCCCGTCCGCCCTTCCATGGTACGCGGCCGGCCGGAGACCGTGCCGCCCTAGCGCGATCGGCTTCAGATCCCGATCGTAAATGTCCACCTCGTCATGCATTTGACCCCTCCGATGGGATATGCCCACGTTCTCCCCGCAATTCAACTGCCAAAGAAGAACTCGTTTGTAACCGGAAGCAACTGTAAGTGTAGTATTCGCCCGTTTCGTGGGTCTCTTGTGGCAACCCGGTATCAGGATCCGATCATATGGTGCCGGAAGTTATGTTGCCGGAGCTTGCGTGCTGATGGTGACCTTAGGTGATTAGTTATAACTTAGCCTCTCCCCCCGCACCCCATATTTCAGTACATGCCATTAAATCTTGTTTTCTTGTACTCTCTTTGATTGTTCTGCCCGACTGTTTTTTAGATTCCATATTATACCCCTCAACATGACAGTGGGACAACACCAGCCAGCGGCCGGAAGGCTACGGATATCCATCGATCGCGGTGGAACTTTCACCGATGTCCACGCCTCGGTGCCTGGCCGCAGCGACATTATCTTGAAGCTGTTGTCCGTCGACCCTGGAAACTACCAAGATGCCCCAACCGAAGGCATCAGGCGAGTTCTCGAAATCGCGACAGGCAGGACCCTGCCCCGCGGCGAGTTGCTCGACTTAACCCCAATCGAGTCCCTGAGAATGGGAACGACGGTTGCTACCAACGCATTATTAGAGAGAAAGGGTGCTCGCTCAGCACTCCTCATCACACGCGGATTCAAGGATCTGCTGGTCATTGGAAACCAATCACGACCAAACATCTTCGATCTCTCAGTCTCAAAACCAGACGTGCTGTCTGAAAAGGTTGTTGAGATTGACGAGCGCATCACACTCGAGGGATATGCCGAGAACCAAAACCCCGAACCTATTGAGGAGTCGGAAGATGTTGTTCGAGGAATTACTGGGGAGCATGTGCGAATTATCACCAAGCCGGATATGGAGGCTGTAAATGCACAGCTGCTCCAGTTGAAGGAAGAGGGATACAGGTCGATATCGGTTGTCCTACTTCACTCATATACCTACCCCCATCACGAAAATTTGATCGGGAACGCAGCTGTAAAGATGGGCTTCTCAGTTGCCTTATCATCGGCCCTACAGCCTATGATCAAGGTTGTTCCCCGTGGAATGAGCGCCACGGCAGATGCATACCTCACACCAGTTATCAAAAACTACATCGACTCGATCTCTTCAAACTTCCAAGGCGGTCTTGCCTCGAAGACCACCCGAGTCGAGTTCATGCAGTCGGATGGTGGCCTTGTTGATTTCCGCAAATTTAGCGGACTGAAGGCGATCTTGTCTGGTCCAGCTGGTGGTGTTGTTGGCTATGCCCAAACTTCATACGATGCTGCCGAGAAGGTTCCTGTTATTGGCTTCGATATGGGAGGAACTTCGACTGATGTGTCGAGATATTCGGGCACATACGACCACGTATTTGAGACCACAACAGCTGGCGTGTCTATTCAATCGCCACAATTAGATATCAACACCGTTGCAGCAGGCGGTGGATCCATGCTCTTCTGGAAGAACGGCCTGTTCGTTGTTGGCCCCGAGTCCGCATCAGCCCACCCTGGGCCGGCATGCTACAGAAAGGGCGGACCTCTTACAGTCACCGATGCCAATCTCTTCCTAGGCAGACTCCTACCCGAGTACTTCCCAAAAATCTTCGGCCCCAACGAAAACGAGCCTCTTGATGTGGCTATCACGGGAGAAAAGTTTGCTGAACTTACTGCCGTTATCAACGAGGAACAGAAGTCAAACGGACGCATCGAATTTACCCCTGAGGAGGTCGCTCTCGGTTTCTTGAATGTTGCCGATGAGTCTATGTCGCGCCCTATCCGAGCATTGACTGAGGCTCGTGGCCACAACACTGCGGTTCACAACCTTGCTTGCTTTGGTGGTGCTGGTGGCCAGCATGCATGCTCTGTGGCTGCTGTTCTTGGTATTTCCAGAATCATCATTCACAAATACTCTTCTATCCTCTCTGCTTACGGAATGGCATTGGCGGATGTGGTCAACGAGGTTCAACAGCCTGCTGCTGATGTTTTCAACGACACAACTCAAGACATGTTCCAGTCGAAGCTAGAGGCGCTTGTTAAGCAGTCCACAGAAGACCTAGAGTCTCAAGGATTTGCAGGCAAGGATATCCACCATGAGCTGTATCTGAATATGCGTCATGCTGGTACAAGCACCTCTTTCATGATCCTCAAGGGTGGGGATTGGAACTTTGCTTCCGAGTTTGAGAAGAGGCATCTGATAGAATTCGGCTTCTTGACAAAGGATAAGGCTATTCTTGTCGACGATATTCGTGTCAGGAGCACTGGTTCTTCATCTCACGGGAAGGAGAAGAGCCCTTACATGCAGGTGAGTCAAAGTATCCCTTCGAAGACGAACTAGCTAATAGATACGTAGATGAAAGAAGTTGTGCCAAAGAAGGTTTCCGAACAGAAGAGCCAAGGAATTTCCAAGGTTTACTTCGGTTCATCCAAAGGATCCGTCGACACTCCCATCTACAAGCTTGAGGATCTTGAGGTTGGCTCACAGATTAAGGGCCCTGCAATGATTATTGATAAGACTCAAACCATTGTCCTTGTTCCCGAAGCTGTGGCGAATATCCTCGAACGATGCGTATTGATCGATCTGAAGGAGAAGCCAAATGTTGATGTTACTTTCGAATCTATGGATACGAGCATCAACCCTATCCAGCTGTCCATTTTCGGCAACAGATTCATGTCGATTGCTGAGCAGATGGGACGAACTCTCCAAAAGACCTCCGTTTCCACCAACATCAAGGAGCGTCTCGACTTTTCTTGCGCGTTATTCTCTCCTGATGGAGGCCTGGTCGCCAATGCACCCCACGTTCCAGTGCATCTTGGCTCCATGCAATTTGCCGTCCGATACCAACACAAGTACTGGGCTGGAAAGCTCGTGGAAGGCGATGTTCTCGTCTCAAACCACCCAACATGTGGAGGAACTCATTTGCCAGATATTACTGTCATTACACCCGTATTTGAGAATGGCGAGATTGTCTTTTACGTTGCATCCAGAGGACACCACGCAGATATCGGTGGTTCCCTCCCTGGATCGATGCCTCCGACTAGCAACCAGCTGTGGCAGGAGGGTGCTGCCATTGAGGCAGAGAAGCTCGTTAGCGGTGGTCATTTCAACGAGGAGAGAATGATTGAGTTGCTCCTGAAGGAGCCCGCCAAGTTCGAAGGCTGCTCAGGAACTAGATGCCTCCAAGACAACCTGTCTGACTTGCGCGCCCAGGTAGCAGCAAACCAGAGAGGAATCTCGCTCATCAATGGCCTGATCAAGGAGTACGGCTTGAAGTGCGTCCACAACTACATGTACGCGATCCAAAGCACGGCCGAAATCGCTGTCCGCGAGCTCCTCAAATCGACCTCAGAGAACCTCGGTTCTGTGTTGGAAGCAGTAGATTGCATGGATGACGGAACTCCAATCGCGTTGAAGGTCACCATCGACGCCGCCAAGGGCGAGGCCATCTTCGACTTCGCCGGAACTGGCAGTGAAGTATTCGGCAACACCAATGCCCCTACTGCGATCACACACTCCGCAATCATCTACTGTCTACGTGCGCTCATCAAATCCGATATCCCGCTCAACCAGGGCTGCCTGAACCCGATTGACATCCGCATCCCCGCCCACTCTCTCCTGTCGCCATCGAAGACCGCTGGCGTTGTGGGTGGAAACGTGCTCACCTCCCAGCGTATCACCGACGTCATCCTGAAGGCTTTCCGCGCCTGCGCCGCCTCGCAGGGCTGCTGCAACAACCTGACCTTTGGCACAGGCGGCAAGGGAGAGGACGGAAACCACGTCGACGGCTTCGGTTACTACGAGACAATTGCAGGTGGTGTTGGTGCCGGCCCTACTTGGGACGGACAGAGCGGTCTGCACACCCACATGACGAACACGCGTATCACGGACCCGGAGATCTTCGAGAAGCGATACCCATGTATCCTGCGCGAGTTCTCGCTGAGAGAGGGCTCTGGTGGCGTCGGTCTGCACCGCGGTGGCGATGGCGTAGTTCGCGATATCGAGTTCCTGGTCCCGGTTCAGTGCTCTATTCTGTCTGAGCGCCGCAGTCATCGCCCGTACGGGTTGGAGGGCGGCGGGCCGGGTGCTCTGGGCAGGAATGACTGGGTTAGGCAAGGCGAGGATGGCGAGAGCAGAGTCAACCTTGGAGGAAAGGCAACGGTCAAGATGGCCAAGGGTGATAGGATCGTGATTAACACGCCAGGTGGTGGTGCTTGGGGGTCTGAGACTGCAGAGAAGGTCAAGACGAATGGTGTTCAGAAGGAGGTATTCGTCGCGAAGGGGTCGGTCGATCGTTATAAGACGAGACAGGAGACGAATTAAAGCGTGCAATTATTTTATTATAATATAACTTAGAAATATATCCCATTTTGTAAAATTTCCCAAATAGGCTCTAAGGTCGTAGGAGACTGTGATACATATTAAAGATGCGAGAGCATGTCATAGTGAAATATTATAAGAGGACCTTTATATATCCTGATTGTGAATAATCAAAAGTTGTTCGTCTAATGTGAGTCTATTATTACGGGGGTGAAGGAGGGGGTTTATAGTGAAGGGAATAAAATACGGTTTCTAGTATAATAACATTTCACAACAGTTCTATATTGAGATACTGCCCGATCAGAGAAATGGTAAGTCTGCTTGTGTCGTGTCATCGAATCTTTTAACAGGTGTATGACTGAGTCTTCTTCGAAAAATCGAGGCCGCCTTTGACACCGGCGACATAGTCTTTGTCCTAGACAAGCCGGCCCTGGGAGGGGATATTGTATGGAGGTGTATACTACTTAACCAGGATAATGCATCACACGAGTATATGAAGCCTGGAAAGTGGAGGGAGCTTGACGGGAAGGGAGTCAGATGTCTGGTAGCTGTCACCCATTTGCCGCCTGCTCCTGTCGTTACTCCCTGTCACCGTTTACCTGCTGCTGTCGTTACACCGTTCTCGTCGCTCTCGGCTGCCGATGCCCACTACTATCAACAAGGCCATTTGCCACGGCTGGCCCGGATCTGTCTGTCGAGAACTTTATCATCCATAGATCGCAGTCCTATCATTATATATCTGTTTTGCGTCTGTCCGAAGTCCCATCATGGCAAGCGTCGATCGGTCGAGAGCGTCGACAATATATCATCTCTATACAGCCTCGCCTGACTCCCGGACGGCATCCACAACAAGTCGATTCCCCGCCAGCTGAGCATCCTGAAAAGTCCTCAACTCTTCTTTTGTGCTCTTATCACACGCTCAGGTGTGGCTTCTTGTGAGAAGGCATCGCCGAAATACTCGAATGTTTCTCCTCGACTCAGAGTCCAACACTACTCAACCATCCCTAGCACACACAACACCTCATGGGCCGAAAAGCATAAAATAATGTCATTTTCGTTTCTTCTATGTGTACATAAATGTAGATAAAAACGTGTTGTAGCAACACAAAGCTCGAAAGTTATTACCATCTCCTCCCTCCTTTACCCAGCACCATCGTCAACATCACTGTCGTCGTTGCCGACGCCGCCGCTGAAAGCAAGCAGCACCACACCCACTTACAAGTGGATATAGTCAAAGGTGCTAGCCGGCACCGTGCGCGTGCTGTACCCCTCCACATTCACATAGTTGTACTCCTCAATAGTGACCATATCGCCCTGGACAGCCGCAACCCACGCAACATGTCCCGCTCCCCCACCGCCGGCATTAGTATGCGCAATAGCTCCCGGTACCGGCTTGTTATCAACCAAGACGCCGGTCTGGCGAGCAGCCTCGTCCCAGGACTCGGCGTCACCCCATGCAGCGCCCTTGTACTTGTTGTGGAAGTTGAGACCGAGGCGGTCGTTGATGCGCCACGCGACGAAGCTGGTGCACTGGCACGCGTAGTAGTACCAGCGGTCGACGTCGCCGCAGGTGCTGGCGCCGTAGGGGTAGTCGTTCTTGATTTCGCCGGCGTCGCCGTGGTCTGGTGGGGTGGGTGCTTCGGGGAGGGAGGCGGCGTCGCACTTGGGCTTGACGTACGTGATGGAGCCGGTCTTGACATAGAAGTCGGAGACGAAGCAGCCGTCAGACGTCAAATCCCAGATCTCGTTGCCGTTGATTTTGGTGCCAGGCGTTTGGCAGGTGATGCTCACGATGCTGCCCTTGGCGAAGGTCTTCTTGATGGGGAAATCTGTGCCGGGACCAGAGCGGCAGTTGACGGTGTTTCCAGTGATGGGATAGGGGCCATCAGGGTTGCCGCTTGGGACGGGGACGTCGGTGGGGCCAGCCTCGGTGGGAGAGGCGTCTGTGGGAGAGACATCCGTGGGAGCAGCCTCGGTGGGGGAGGCATCATCTGCGGAGGAGGTGGCTGTAGGAGCAGCGTCCGTGGGCGAGACATCCGTGGTGGGGACGCCCGTGGGAGCAACGTCCGTGGGGGAGACGTCAGTGGCGGTTGGGAGAGAGCCGTCGGTGGCGACGCAGGTGTTGATTGTGACATAGACGGTGCTGCGGGTTGAGGTGGGCACAGGGGTGTCACAGGTGACGACTGTGACATAGACAGTGCTGCGGGCCAGGACAGACGTGGAGAGGATGGCCGCCGAGGCGGCGGCGATGTTGGTGAGCTTCATCACGAGCGACAACGAAGGAGTGTGTGCTATAAAACAAAAACAAACACAATAAACGAGCGTGGTGACTATGCGAGCTAGTCAGCGAAATGAGGGTGGTGGTGGAGTGAGAAGCTAGAAGGGGGCGGGACGGGTGTCTATATACATCACATGAAGCGGAGATTCCTCCGGCGGTCTTCATTTCTTACTTTTTTCATTCTAGGCCGTATTCATACACCAATTCGGCCTTGCACTAACCGGGTACCTTGCAGATTTAAGGGGCCATCTGGGGCGGTTGACTGGAGGGGAATAGCGCAAGGCGAAGCTGTAGGGCTGGTTTAATGTCGGTTCAGCGTTATGGCGCTGTCAGGTCCTGTCAGACGGACGAACCTAATGCCCATCTCACCGTCAGTCGGAGCTGCGCCCGGGTCGGGGCGTCGCTTAGAGTCCTGACAGTGGTTAAAAGGGTAAAAAGTGGCACTTCGCTTGGAAGGGTTGGCGTTGTGCCCCTGAGCTAGCGTGGGCTAGTGCGTGGTGGGGGCGGCGTGGTGTATGGGATGGCGTCGACTCACGCAAGATTGGACTACACCGCGCCGTTTGAGGACATTCTGGAGTGTTGCGATGGTGTCATTGAAATGGGTTGAATTGGAGTCGTGCTTGCCTTAGTGTTGTAGAAGTAAGGAGAAATGTGTAAAAATGAGCGTTGTGGAAAGAGCGTATTGAGGCAGGATGAGTTCTCATGCGCCAGTGCCGTGACCGATGTATTGCGTGAACAGCTGAATTTTGTGGGGTCGGCAGGGGCGATGGGGCTTGGATCTTCTTGGGTCTGCCTGGGTGCGGGGATGAGCATGCTTCAGAAGGTTATGAGAGGTTCTGGGATGTGAAAGGGATAGGGGATTTACTGTGAGGGGGTGGAGGCGTGGGGGCGCCTGAGAGCGATGGGGGATGAGTGGCGGAGGGAAGGAAGAGATTTATAGATTTATAGCCACATATAATTCCATAAATAGCACACAGTGATGTATTATTTGAACTAAAGTACATTATCCAGTCTCTGCCATTGTTTTGCTACTACTGTCGTTACTCTCTGCCATCGCTCGTTTCCTCCTCTGAGTCTGAATCGTCACCCCATTCATCATCATCAGTTTCATCATCGTCAGATTCATCATCGTCAGATTCATCACCGTCAGATTTATCACTGTATTCTTCTCTATATCCGGTTACTTCGGCATAATCGTCCTGCATCTTATAGTATAATGCCATAGCGAGGTCATTCTCCTCTTCGGCGCTGCGCTGTGGACTGCCATCTGCAACAGTAAACGTTGACTCGTAAAAACATTCGGGCAAGCCTTGGTCCGAAAACCGCCTTGCTAGTGCAATCAGCATCGATTTTCGGAGATATGGACCTGGTAGTCCCCAGTGGTACCCTCGTGCTTTCGCGTCATCGAACCATTCAACGTTTCCGAGCCTCTGCTGTTGCAAGTATGTCATCACATATCGCAGATATAAGTATCGGCGGGCCGGGCGATTTGAGTTGAGGAATTCCAGTGGCCTTCCATCGATATCCTAGAGTCGTTTTCAGCTCATCACATAGTGAAGTAGGGCTACGAATATACAAACGTACCTTCCACGTTGACCTACAATAAAGTAAATTAGAAGTCATTGATTTCTGTACTACTATGCATCGCCAAATGGCCTCCCCTCCATATCTTGGCTTATCGGGCACTATGACAATCCACCCCTTCTCAAGGGCCTCGTGCGTAGATGTCTCAAGTGTAATTCCTTCGCATACGAATTAACAACATACTTGATAGGAGCGTAAGAAAGGTAAACATACCATTTCGAGGCTCAGATAAATCAACTTCACGAACGCCAAAGAGATATGCAAGCTCATCCGACTCGAGTGACTTTGGAACAATATGCACGCATTTGGCACACATTCCATGTAGCCATTGAGCATTTAAATGGCAGTATTTTTCAACGACGTTTCCAGACGGGCCAGGCTTTACAGACTTGTAGTATGATAGTACACCGTCCGCGTATAGTCTCTGCTCGGGTGCATTTTTCCACTTTATGGAAGCAGATATGACTTTCGTGAGTAGAGCTGAGGAGTAGGCGCCTTCGACCGTGGGGTATCGTTGCAAGGCCTCGTCGACATCATCTGCCATTGCTTTCTTCTGGCGCTTAAGGATTACGAGCTCTCGTTCCTTCTTTCCGAACGTTGACTTTGATCCCTTAGCAGTATCATGGTTGCCACCAGTCAGTTCCGCTGATATCTTTCGGATTTTAGATTCAATAAACTCGCTCCCAAGGCTTATGTCGTGACGGAAAAGACCCATGTCGTTGCGTAAATAGAACAGTTTCTAACGAGATGGTAAGAGAGGCTTGATAAAATAACGTTAACGAGGAAAGAGAAAATAAATGGGAGATCAAACCATGATTTTATATTCTGAGTTCTGTACTAATCGTAGTGTGGCTAGCTAAACTTTAACCTTAATTAGTACCAGCGCGGACCATGAGTAAAAAATAACATCGTACGCACTATATGAGTCACATTGAAGCACCATTACTACGAAGCTATCAGTCGTTAATGCTGAAAATGTTTCACTATGGAGTGGAAAGAATGTCAGGTAAGAACGGCTGACATCGATTCCAAGCGATGCATGAGAGCCAGAACCGCTGTGGTGGAGCATATGGAGACAAGAGCGTATTATCCGCAAGGCATATCACAGATGTCAAACAATTAAAAAAATGCAATACGCCATTCAAGTTGAGTTAGATTACATGCGAGCTTGAACAGACATACTGTACCGCCTAAAGTCTGACGAAAGATAGCCTTACTAGAGGATCGATACGAGTTATTTATGATAATGTGACTTATCCTTTTCTCTCTCTGTATGAGTGACTGGCCTATTAGTTGCAGTTCTGAGTGAATGAATACCTTTATTTCAATTATAGTTGCTATAATCGCTATTGTTTTGCACAGTCTTCGAACTTTTAGGCGTGGCGAGTATTTCTTGAAATATCCCAAAACACACATCACATAGTTGGCTCATCACCACATCATAGAAGTCAAACAATTGGAAATGGCAACAAGTCATTCAAGCTGAATACAGTAAGTACTACATACAGTGTCCAAATACGTTCATCCAAACCCGCTCCGCAGCTATCTAACCGCGGAAGGCAACCTGCCTCCTCTCAACAGCGAAGTTGGAGGCCTTGGCGGACTCAGCCTCGTTGAAGTGGAGGTTCTTGTACTGGGTGACCTTGCTGGTGTGCTCGAATGGCAGCTCCTTGACACCGGGCTGGCCAGCGACCAAGTTAGGGGTCGGCTTGGCGCCAACGGCGCGCTTGCCGTTGCCGGTGGCGGGACCCATGCTGACGATGGCAGCGTCGGCCCAGCGGAAGTTGCAGGTGCCACCGGGGATCATAGCATCACCCTGGAGCTGGTTGACGGCGTTCTTTTGCCTCTCCAGGCAGCGCCAGTTGCCGATTGGGTCGAGGCCGCCGGGGTTGACGATCTCGTAGAGAGCGAGAACGCTGACTTGGGTGTAGTCCTCGGCGTTGCCTGATTGGTTAGTATGTCATATTTCGTAAGTGGTAGATAAACGTACTGGAGTTGGAGTAGTCATCGGGAACGCAGGAGTCGGCGTTGATGGCATCCTTGAAGAGAGAGGTCTCGCTGGATCCGACGCTGTTGTGGTAGGCATCGACAGCGTGGCCGACCTCGTGCTGGAAGACGGATGGGGTGCCGACGGGGCCCTGGAAGACAACGATGGCGGAGGTCTCGTAGGCAGAGCCACCACCTGGAACAGCAATTACGTTGGTGATGTACTGACGCTCGTGGATGGGCAGGCGGCCGAACAGGTCAATCATGTCGATTATGCTGGAGACGGTCAGTGTGGTTCATATCTCCAAGTGGAGGGGACTCACCCAAGGTTGGCAGCGTTGTGACGGCAGAAGACGAACGCACTTCCGCAGTCGGTGTAGTGAACGTTGTAGATCTCCATGTCGTATGGGCTGACATTGTTGTCGTTGGCGTGGTTGAGGCACGTCTGTGGGATCCATCCCCATCCCCACCTGTCCCAGGTGCTCTGGGTTGGGGTAAGGTGCTCCCAGAAGACAGAGTCGACATGGGGAGACAGACCATCGCTGAAGAGCGTTGGCTTTCCGAGGCCAGCGAGGGCGGGGGCGCTGAAGAGGACAGCTGCGGCCGCAGCCTTCATGAGGGAGGAAGCCATAATGATGGATTGACGTTTGTTTGAACGGAGTTGACTGAGACTGATAAGAATGCAGCTGCTCTGGCAAAGAAGCAGATCTTCATGGCGATCACCATGCCTTTATACTTCGAGCAGGCTGATGTTCGGGCCGTGAGGACAATCACTTTGACATGCTATAAGCACCGTTCAAGGAATACCGTAAATTTAGCAACCACTCCCGTTGAGGCGTCCCCACAAAGAACATCTCCACAGTAAGCTTAATGAGAGCTACGTGCGGATTTGCGGCTTCTCCATTCGCCGATCCCCCTTTTCAAAGGATCTGGTGCTGTCAACGGGGTAGCACTCTCTTTTGGAAGCCTTGGTAAGGAAGCTTGGCGCGGCAGAGGCGCGGATCGCACGGCTTCAGTTGGTGGCTGACGCCTGGCGCTCACCCTTAAAAGGCCAAGTCGGAGGCATGAAACCCTGTATACCCCTGGCTTAGTAGATTGGGCTCGGACGGTCACAAATGTCCTCTGCGCGTAATCGTGGGCAAAACAAGGCCCATCGCAGCACTTTCTTCTCACGATGCCTCACAACAACTCTCGGCGAATTACCGTGCCAAACCACGCCGTCTCTCACTACCGAACGCCAACATCCCCTAAATGGCATCTCATCCCAAATCCAGGAACCTGTCGGACCGATCTCCCCACGCCAAGCGTCTCCATGAATTGACCGTGACTATCTCCACACTCATCGCCCGCCGTCAGGGCATGCATCATCTTAGAAGGCCCGAGGATGTGACCCAGCCACTTTCCTATTCTATATAAACCTCGAGCTAAGGATCCTTCGTCAAGTCTTAGCGGCGGTTTTGCCCGTGGAGGAGCGCTAAGGTGTTATTAAGCGCATTTGCAGGCTTTCCGGCCAAGACATGCATGGTCTAGATGGACTCAAATTGCCTTTTATGCGCGATGGATTGTTCTGTAGTATCGTGGCAAGAGGGAAGATAGTGTTCATCCTGTATTTCGTCCTGCTCCTACGTCGTTCTATCGCTGTTTCTGGGAGTATTGATGGTGGACAGTCGACTAATCAATTGAGCACGCGTCCGGAACCCCTGCGTGGGTGGGTTGAAACATCACAAGGCATACGAGCGTACGTGAGACGCAGCAGACCGTATTGGTGGAGATAATGCAGGCATAGTCAACTCTTCTCAAGACGATGTAATCCAGTCGCGTCTAAGCTGAGTTTTTGACGTAAGGATCAATAAACACGCCTGATCGAGTATCCTCCTTGCAAAAGTGATTGTAATATCATCATGGGCTTGTTTCATGGGGAAAGTGCATTTCCTCATTCCATTGTTGATGGTCTATTTTTGGTCCAGTCTTCCCTTCCCACCTTGAATTTACAGATGAAACTCGTCTAATTTAAGCATGTTCTTTGACGTATGCATGTCTTGGCGGGACGGACAACGGAATGCCGCTGGTCCCTTGATACTCAGGAACAACATCAAAAGCACATAATATAGCCTCCCTTCCCTAATAAGTGTAACGTTACGATTCCTGCCGGCGGAAACCCGGCAGACGAAATAAGAAAGCGCGTAGGTAGGCTGCGGATCCCGGCAACCAACCAAGCAAGCACTGCCAAGGTCAGATTATCCCCGCCGTCAGCATTGGGTCAGCCGCACGCTGACGCTGACGAGGATCCGGACATATCGGCATCTTCCTTTAATAGTGCAGCGGTAATATAGGTATTAGCAAATTAGTCGCTGACTTAACGGCCCCTTGCTTGACAGTATGTTAGTGTATGAAGTCCAGAAAGCTATTCATAAATATTCCACGGTGGGCTGGATGTTAAGAAGATGCGTGATATATTCCGTACCCTCAAAGTAGCTTGGGTATATATAAGATTATCCCACAAAATGCACGGTTTTGACTCCTTCTCTCATCCAACGGTTTTTGGTCGGAAGTTACAAAAGATTGGGGTCGTGAGGGCACACTTATTCATTCATGGCTTTAACCCCGAATTAAAGCTGTATCAATGGGATATTTATTGTATTAATAGTACTTTATATGGTAGTACTATCTTTAATAATTTTCTCACTTTATATTTGCTACTGTCAATTTATTTTGATGTTGATAAAATCATATTTCCTATCAAATGAGAGACTACCATGGTATATTATTGCCACAGACACCATACTGATATTTAATAATAATTATTTTCTACTCGATATTCCTGTACACTAAATAATTATTTTCTACTCGATATTCCTGTACACTAAATAATTATATTCTTCTAAAACTTGATTAATATAACCCTGACTCCATTGAGCTTGCTGAAGAAAATGCTGTTCACGATCGTACATGCGAGCAAAATATCACAAGCATAAAGTACTTAATTTAATGGGCGATGTACAAAATAAAATAGCAGAAATCATATTATTCAGAGTCCGGTATACTTTTGAAGAGATCGAGATATTTTGGTCGTGTCGGGCTGTAAGTGGTTTTCTCCGCTGTGCCTAGGGTCCATCGTTAGCGCGATCCCAAAAGTCGCGTCGTCACGTCTGTCAACGCCAGTTACGCGACTTTGATACATGGACAAGTGCACTTCATACATATCACAAATAATCACACCTACGACTTCTCCAGCACGCCAGTATACAACTATACACATCCTGTACATCTTACTCACTAAACAAACTTGACAATTTGCTTGCAAATGTCTCCCATCGATCTCTAGACGCGACCAAATTCTCTGAGAAATCCGCCCCGCGTCTTTGCACGCCTCGTTCTGGAAGATACATTGACAGCCTCGCAACGCTCCAGACGCCTGAGTCTCTCAATTCTTGGCTTCTGCTCCCAAGGGCAGAGGTCCTGCGACACTTGACAGCGATACGACACGATGTACCTCCCACGATCGCTCCTCTCGACCCTCTACCTGCACCTCCAACGCACCCACCACCCTCTCTCCCCACCAGTCCTGATCCTCGTGGCCCTCGAGCCCGATGCCCTCTGCGGTTGCCGAATCCTCACCCATCTCCTCAAACACGACTATATCCCCCACAAGATCCAGCCGATCGCCGGCTTCAACGACCTCGAGCGCGCCGGACGAGAGAATGTACGGCCCATGCTCGCGAGCCAGGGTGGCAGCGGCGGCGTCGTGGTGTGCCTCGGAGTTGGAGCAAGGAATGACTTAGGCGCCATGCTGGGGATTGACGCGGAAAGTGAAGGCGAAGGCGCGTTCGGCGGCGTTGAGGTCTGGGTTGTGGACGCGCAGAGGCAATGGCACCTGGAGAATGTGTTTGGTGGGGCGCAGAGAGACGGCGTGTTGGAGGATGGCAGCCCGGGACCCATAAAGCAGCAGCCGGGCGTGGATAATGGGAAGATCGGAAGGGGCTTCAAGCCGGGGAAGGGAGGCATTATTGTGTTTGATGATGGGGATATTGAGGAGGAGTTGGGTCCGGAAAGGGCTGCGTATTTTGCTCTTGACGAGATGCCAGCTATCGACGAGAGAGATGACGAAGGAGACAGTGAGAGCGAGGAGGATGAGGATACCCCTATGATTGAGGCTCGGCCTGGCCAGAAGAGGAAGTCGTGGTCGGATCGTGAGGATGACGAAACGGATGAAGATGTTGACGACAGGCCACGACAGAGGAGGAGGAGCAACTCTGTAAGTTTCGCAAAATGACTGCGGCGACGATATTCTAACATAGAACAGTCAAGCTCCATTCCCGAATCTCCGTCACGACCCCAAAGGCGAGGGCTTATGGTTGTTGATGGCCCGAATGGCGTTGCAAGAACAGACTCCCGTTCCGTATCGCCCTCACCCGCACAGCCTGCGAAGCAAGTATCGTCAAGGACACTGAGACGACGACTGATCAAATTACAACAAAAGAATCAGATGGTCCTGGATGCATATTACAGCCTTGGTACCTCATACTCCGAACCCATCGCCTCCATGATGTACTCCCTCGCCTCCGAACTAGGCCGCGAAGACAACGACGTCCTCTGGCTCACCATCGTCGGCGTATCATCAATGGAACTCTACGGCCGCTCTGCAACTGGCGTCGCCATCTCCCTCAAAAACTCCTCCAACCGCTCAGGTTGGCGCGGCACCCGCGGCTCCCGCATCCGCCAGCTCCTCCGCGAAGAAGTGCGCCGTCTGAACCCCCCTGACCTAAACGACCGGGCCTCCTTAAACACTAGCACCGGTCTCATCCCTACTACCGCGCGCAGCCCCACGGATACCAGTATCCGACTCTCCCCTGAGCCGAAATTCCTCCTGATCCGCCACTGGAGCCTGTACGATAGCATGCTGCACTCGCCCTACCTGTCAGCCCGGCTACATGTGTGGACGGACGTCGGTCGCAAGCGCCTGCACAAGATGCTTGCCAAGATGGGCGTGAGCCTCGTGCAATGCAAACAGAGCTACACGCACATGGATATGGACCTGAAGCGTGGACTGCGCGCGAAGCTCCTGAAGTACTCAGCGATGTATGGCCTGGATGAGCTGGTGCCATCGCAAGAATCGGACGAGGTGGGTGGGGATAAGGAGGGGTGGGGGTTCGTCAGGAGTTGGGGGTGGAGGGCTACGCTTAGCGCGCAGGATGTGGGAGTTGTTGTGGGGTCGATTTTGGAGGTGGGTAAGAAGGGCGTGACTACGCTCGAGAACGGCGGCTGGGATCGCGGCCGCGAAGTCAAAGAGGTCACGGACGAAAGTGGTGAGATCGAGGCGGAAGAGTGGGTGAGCCGGTTCTGGGACGCCTACGACGCTCTTGAGAAGTAAGTCCTCTGTTAACATCCTGTCGAAGTCATACTAACGCACCGCAGCATTGAAGAACTCAAAGCCGCGCTCCCCACAGCACAGCATCTCCACCGCGCCATCCTGCGCACCGGCACATCCATCATCGAAAAGCGCCAGATTAAGCACTTGTCTAGCTTCCGATTATGCATCGTCAAAGACGGCCCGGACGTGGCGCTCTTCACCCACCCCTCTGCGCTAACGAAACTCGCGCTGTGGCTGGGCGAGGCGTTCGCCGAGCAGGACTTGCAGCGTACGGGCAAGCTGGGGATGGGAGGCCGAGGGACGCCGCTGGTTGTTGCGTGTTGGAACGCGGAGAGAGGGGTTTATGGGGTTGTAGGAACTGGCGGAGGAGGGGGGGAGGGCATGAGTTGGAGTGATAGAGAGGCGGCTAGAAAGAGGAAGGAAGAGAAGGCTGGGAAGGCGAAAGAGAGGGAGGCAGCCAGGAAGGTGAAGGAGACTATTCGCGAGCAGAAGAGGGAGGCAAAGCGGAAGGCGAGAGAGGAAGAGGGGGAGATCGATGAGCTGGAGACGGAGAGCGAGAGTGAGAGCGAAGAGGAGGAAGAGGATGACGAGGACGAAGAAGACGAGAAAGAGCACGGGAAGGGCTTTGGCCGTAATAGGTTCGGGAATGCGTTTCAGGAAGTCATTGAGGAAACGAATGCACGGATCAGGGTTGATAGCTTTGAGCACTGTGTCGCTGAGGTAGCCAAGGATAGCTTGAGCGTGTTCTTGGAGGGGCTGAGCATGAAGAGCGTTGTGGGGTAGATGACGGGATAGCGGGAGGGACTGGCGATCACTGGGACGGGTTACATGGGGATCATGTTGGGATGGAATGGGGAGGCATAGGAGGCGTTTTTGGCTGGCATGCTTATTTGGTTGGGTCATGAGCGGACTGTATGGCTTTAGCAGACTGGCGATAGCGGTCATATCAGCTAGCGGTGAATATATGATGGGTTATTGTACGTTTAGAGTGGGAAAACGTGAATGTAATCATAGTTATCACAGCATCGGCGGCATCGGCGATATGCATTGAAGTTGTGCCGCCCTCTTATTATCCACCGACATCCTCTGAAATTCCAATCCCCAACTATGTGCTCCATGACGTGATAACCAACGACCCTTTTATAGCTTCAAATAAGAAAATAAGAAAATAAGATTATGTGTGGTCGCCACGATTTTCCTATGGGTGAGCGATTATTGTGATAATAGTCCCTGCTCTCGACCAATCAGAAAATCGCGAAATACGATTTACCAACGATTTACCAGACCCCGATTCCAGGCGAGCGAATTAAGGCGGCCCATTCGGACTCGGAACCCCGTGATCCGCCGAGACCCTTATCGTTGCTGGTAGAAGTGGATGCCCAAGCAACACCGACGACGGGAGACGAAGATAAGGCTTGTGACTTTGTGGGGAAGGCAACTCCGCATTTATTTCTATCCACAGCTAAGAGTACACAGCCACTATTGGGTAGAGCAGGACTGTAACGTATTATCGAGCCTCGAGGATTGTTTGTTCACTCTAGACTTTATTTCCTCCTCTACCAAAATACACTCATTGCTACTACGCACCTGCCTCTTTGTGACGAACCCCCTCATTTGGCAGACCCCGAACTTCGCAGAGATAGGATTTATGCTGCGAAGTCCACCTGTGAGAGCACGCGATACCTCGTCCTCGGCGCCCACACTCACCTGCGTAACGTCGCACAGCACAATGGGCGCGCGCCCCCTTGCCTCATCCACGACGACGACGACACCCTCGCCCAGCGCGCCATGAACTCGCCCCCCTCACCACGCGCCGCCAAGCGTGCGCGCACCTCTCCCACCTCCCCCCAATCCCCGCGCACCCTCGGCCCAGTCGCCGAGGCATCCCCCGACCAGCCCGCCGCGAAGACTACGGGTCAGAGCAGCAACTTCCGCAATGTGAGCGCGTGCAATCGCTGCCGTTTGCGCAAGAATAAGTGTGATCAGCAGCTGCCGAGTTGCGCGAGCTGCACGAAGGCTGGTGTCAATTGCGTGGGATACGACCCGATTACGAAGCGGGAGATACCCCGGAGCTATGTCTTTTTTCTTGAGGCCAGGGTGGGATATCTGGAGGGCTTGCTGGGGGAAGCTGGTGTTCCGTTCGAACCGCCTGAGACGCTGGAGTTAGCTTCGAGGCCGGGACCGGAGCCTAATACACAGAAGGGAGATGACGATTCGAGTTCGAACCAGGGACCAACGGGGAGACGAGGGACTGGATGGAGCGAAAAGCAGGAGGAGGAAGACAAGCTGGATAATTTAGTGTCTAATGTAGGCATGATATCGGTGCAGGGTGCTTCAGACCCGCGATACCTCGGCTCGACGAGTGGCATCTCGTTCGCGAGGGTTGTGTTTGCAGCTGTCAAGAGCTCAGTGTCGTCGGGCGCGGAGAAGGGCGGTGCGAGGGCGCCGGCGGCAAAGGCGGGGCCTAGCGGGACATCTATGCGGGACTCATTTTTTGGGCTTCAAACTAAACCGACCATCAAGCCGGCGCCATTCCCAGACCGCAGTTTGGCGCTGCGGTTGATGCGTTTCTACTTTGAGCATGCGAATCCGCAGATCCCGATCCTGCATCGCGGGGAGTTTATGAAGATGTTTGACCTAGTGTATGGAGACAGGAATCATGTGCGCACACCGAGGGAGTCGTATATAATGAACATTGTGTTTGCAATCGGTGCGGGGATATACCTGGGGGATCCTAATACGGAGCCAGACGCTCCTCCAACTGATCCGGCGCCCAATACGAGCGGGCTCGGGGCGGCTAATAGGCAGTGCCAGCCGGAGGAGTATCATGCGTCGGCGATTATGCATTTAGAAGCGTGCCTGCAGTCTACAGGGACGGCAGACAAACCAGAGGGGTTTGGCGGGGGGTTAGAGGAGTTACAAGCTGTTCTCCTGCTAGCTGGGTTTGCGCTGTTAAGACCAGTGGCGCCGGGGTTGTGGTATATCACCGGTGTTGCTGTGCGCATAGCACTAGACCTTGGTCTGCACTATGAAGACGGGAAAGATATTGACACTGGACTTCGCGAGCAGAAGGCAGGGAAGACCGGAAACGGCGAACCAGAGTCATACTCTCGCGAGAAGGGAAGACGGGAGTGGATCCGTGACTTCCGCCGGCGCCTCTGGTGGTGCACATACTCCTTCGACCGGCTCGTGAGCACCTGCGTCGGCCGCCCCTTCGGTATCTCCGACCAAGTAATCACCACATCCTTCCCCTCCCTCCTCGAAGACAAATACATAACTCCGCACGGCTTTCTGACCGAGGGCGCCCACGAAACCTCTAGCAAGCACGTCGCACACCACTACTTCCGCTTCCGCCTCCTCCAGTCTGAGATCCTGCAGGTCTTGCAGCACCAACAGGCGCAAGCCGTGCGCGCCACATCCGCAGACCCGTGCAACCCCTTCCTACCGGCACAGCAGGCTTCGCCATTCCTCGCGCCGTTCGGATCTTTCCGCGCGTGGCGCCTGGATATGGACGGGCGGCTGTGGGCGTGGAAGTCGGCGTCGCCGACACGACGCGAGACTGGTGTGCAGTTCTCGCATGAGTTCTTGGAGCTGAATTACTGGCAAGCGGTGCTGATGGTGTATCGGCAGAGCCTGAGCGTGCCGGCACAGTTTGCAGAGGAGTTTGATGGCGCGGCGGAGGTGGGTGCGGGAGCGGTTGGCGAGGGAGAGGAGGCGGTGTTTTTGAAGGTTGCGGAGGCGGGGCAGAGGGTGTTGAGGTTGTATTGGAGGTTGCACCGTGTGCATCTTGTTAATTATACGTTCCTTGCTACGCATCAGCTGTTTATGGCGGGGATATCATTTCTTTATGCCATATGGCATTCCCCGACTGTGCGAAGTCGACTGGTAAGTCCATCACGCCCCTGAATGAAATTTAAGCTAACACCACGCGGACAATGGATGAAGTCGACTTCAACATCCTCGCTGCGACCTCCGTCCTCGGTGACCTCGTTGAAAAATGTCCCCCTGCTGAAGCATGCCGTGACGCCTTCGACCGCATGGCTAAGGCCACAGTGCAGATGTGCATGTCAACGAGCAGCCTATCCGCCGCTCCCGGGCTAGTACCACTGCGTGCACCGGATGCACCAGCCGCGACGCCAGCGCCGAGGCCCAGGCTGCAGTTTGGGTCGCCTGGGGATTTATACACGGCGAGCCCGCCGAGCGGAGGAGGAAACTCGGGGGGCGTCAAGAGTGAGAGCACTGGAGGGGAGGCTGAAGCGCCGAGGGGGCATGTTCTGGATCCTTCGATTATTCCTGGTGAGGAGAGAGAGAGTTCGTTTCTGGGAGACGGAGGGATGGGGGTGGAGAGTGGAGATACATATGGAGGATACGGGGACATGGGGATGAGCGAGATGAACTCGATGGAGTATCTCGGGGATGGTGGGGGCGGGCTGGAGCTGGGATTTGGGTGGGGTGCGGATGGAGAAGGGCACGATTTTGGGGATGGGGCAAACCAGCTGGACTTTTTTGATGGGTTCTACTTTGGGACTGGGGTTTGAGGGGTGTACGTTGGACATGATACCGGGGCTTGTAAGACGACGGCGTCTATTGTGGGGGATTAGTGTATCATACACTTTGAGGGTGATTACATAGGTGGTATTATGAGGCAATCCAAATGCCGTTCAATTTTGTTTTATCCAGAGACTTCTATAGTCAACCACAGCGCTCGCCACCCGGTCAAACTCCCCCCCACACAACCCTATCAACAACTCTCGCTCAGTTCCCCAACCTATCCTCAATCTTCTTCTTCTCTCCCTCCCTTATAGCAGCGATCTCCTCCTTCGTCGCATCATACGCCACACTGACATTATTAAACGGATTCTCCGGGCTCTTCTCAAACTCCTTCCTGATCCTCTCCTTCTTCTGGTTCTGCCTCAGCCCAGCCCCACTTCCATCCTCCTCCATCTCCGCCAACCGCCTCTCCTCAAACGCAGCATAAGCCGCCTTGTATCTCCTCTCGGGGTGCTTCTCGACCTTCGTACTGTCACCGCTGGTCAGGGTAAGCGCATCGAGCGCGTTGTCGATACCCGTGGCGTTGAGCGCCTTCGCAGGTCCCGAGGGAGCGTCATCAAGCTGTGCCAGGTCAAGACCACGAGACACCTTCTTAGGTGCCGCCTTGGAGGACTTGGGTGCGGACTTGAGGGATTTCTCTTCTTCGGCGAGGAGAGCCTCTTTTTCGGCCTTCTTGCGTGCGAGTTCTAGCTTTTTGGCGGCCTCAGCGTCTCTGTGACGTTGTTAGTAGTGTACTAGAAAGTTTAAGGGGGTGGCGATGCGTACTTCTTGGAGCTGTTCTTTGCACCGCGTCCCCAGTCCTCGTCTTCTGCTTTGGCTTTAACTTGGTTTGCGGCGGCGGCTTTGGCGGCTGCGGCCTCTTGCTTTTGTGCGTTGCCAGAGACCTTTTTGCCGTTCTCACCGAAGTTTTTCTTGCCCGCCATGATTATGAGGGTTTGTGACTTTGTTATAGGTGAGGTGTTTAGGTTTGATAGATAGATCTGTTTGCTTCGGGTTTGATAGCGTGGATGATGTTTTGAGATGGGAAGGTTTTGGAGGGGTAAGGCAGTGATTATGTCCTTGGCGGGGTCATTATTATACCCCACACATTTGCCGCCGTCTCGATTTCAGACTTCGGTGATGGATTAACGTTGCTCCGAAATTTAGATGCCCGTCGAGCTGAGTTGCATGTGAACACATTTATTTGTTAACCGGGATAGCACTTTCAGTTGAACTTGGACTTGAAGGCGATTATAATCTGAGCTCTTAGTGATGCAGAATCAACGCCTGCTTGTAGAATTGTAAGAGACCTCCCCCGCTCGTTCACCAGTTCCAAAGCTCACCGCCTTTAGCAATGGCTTGAAGACTGCCAGTCCAGCGGGTGTCTTTCTCAGCTTGTCACCCAGTGATCCAGCACTCTGGACTGGTGTGATTTTTGTTAGAGAGGGTAAGCCGCTATCTCTCATACCTGTCATGATTTGAATGAAGGACAATTAATTAACGGTGAAAACAGGCCCCTATGCACCGGCTATCTTGAGGTTTCAGATATCGTTCCCGCCAGCATATCCAACTATCCCTCCCCTCATTACATTCTCAACGGATGTTTTTCACCCTCTGCTTGCACCATTGACCGTGCAGCTGTACACTTCATCTGAGGATGACAGCAACGGTGTTGTCGTTCTAGAAGATGAGAAGCTACCCCCGGGAGGCTTCAGCTTGAGGCATGGGTTTCCATCCTGGTTCAAGAGGACAAGAACCAAGCCTGTTTCCAATGCAGAAGCGGACCCCAAGAATAAACCTCAGAGCGCAAATTCCCAAGTCACGCCTCTTGCCCTGAGCAGCAGCTCATCAACATCGCGTGATATGGCTGATCCTGAGGACGGAATCACAGTCTATGAGCTCTTGAGATATATCAGGAGCACCTTCGACGATGCCAGTGTGCTTGATGAAGTCCCAATAGAAGCAGCTGGAAACTCTGGGGCCTGGAGGGCTTGGAAAGCTCACCGAGCCCACGAAGCTCAAGTTGCTCAAGTAAAGCGACTTTCAGGGATAAGCGGCAACACAAATTCCCCATCAAAACGGAACCTGGTGCCAAAGCCAGTTAGGCAGCCCGGAGAATGGAATTGGGAAGGCGTATGGGAAGTCCGGGCCAAGAAAGGAATTGATCTCAGCGTCTCCGAAGCGTCTCTCTACGGGAATTCAACATCAAACGATGAGCTGGTAGGGGTTCCAGGCATGTCACGGTTTGGGGGTTTGTGCTAACGAAATGTAGATCAATTTCCTTGAAGCTGATGAGGATGCCGTGGAGACAATGAAAGAGAATATGGTCCGCAGCTTAAGAGCTGTATGATTAACTATGGGACTTGCTTCCACTGGGATTATTGGGCTGATATATCAGTCTTGGCATGCCGGTCCTTCCCTGGCGCATATCTATACACACTGGTCGTGCCTTCCATTGTGAGAAATGTCTCTACCTTTTTAGAATGGAAGGTGCGATCCGTTACTGCCAGCTGCGCCTTCCGAGTTTGCAGCATCGGATCGCGCCTTCCATTCTACGTATGTTGGAAGCTCCTTCCATATTGTGCTGTGAATACGTGAGCTTTCCCATGGGCCGCGCTTTCATGATCAAGCTCGACAAAACATATCCTCAATATCCAGCTTCGCCATACCAGGTATTGGCATACCAGCATCCTTCATCAAATATTGGATATGATTACTAGTTCTGATATTGCTCCCGCCCCAAACAAGATCACTGCAGCCATTGGGGGGCTCATCTTGGTTCCAATTGCGATTGCAGCTGGCGTTGCATTTGTGGCAATCAAGACAACAGATATTTGGCCTTCAATCAAGAGGTGGTTTGCGAACTCCTGTTTCCGACATTTGTTTTTCTGGAGGCGCAATAAAGCTCCCGAAGACTTGAAGAGCTCGCCAGATTCGTTCTGTGACTTGGAGGGAGTGCAATCACCACATTTTCAAGCTGGTTCATTGGTGGAACGGCCTCCGTCGAGAGAGACACCAACCAAAATATGGCATCCGGATCGTTCGAATCGGCTGAAATGGAGTTTTGGTCGGACTGGGATGAAGATGTCGACATTCCCAGCCCCTTGCGAATTGTCAAGCGACCAAGCACCGGTACCAACACTGCTGATGCCGGCACATCCAGCCCACTCCGAGTTACTAAACGCCCCACCACCGTCACCAAGGCCGATTCTGTCATACCCAACCCCCTGCGAATTATCAAACGCCCAAACAACATCGCCAAGACCGATACTGGGACCAATTCGAGAGAGGTCATCAACATCCCAAGACGATCATCCTCTATCTACAACTGCATCTCTAGTTCCCCACCAGATTCCGATGGCGGTTGCTTGACAATACACAAACTAAGGAAACCAAGACCTGTTGTGCCACATGGGAGCTTTTGCGATTCTTCGCCAGTTGAGAAGGGCCATGTTACGGGGGAGATTCCAGGTGGCATAAAGTTGACAAAGGAGGTCAAAGATCCCAAGCTAAACCAGAGGACTGAGGGGCGTATTTGCTTCCTCTGAAATTTCCGATAGAGTATGCAGCATCCCAGCTCTGTATATAACCTATCTGAGCATGAACGTTCTCAGATCCCTTGTTCAGTTTTCAGTCTAGTGTGTTTACAACCCTTCAAGCATTGGCCGCGGGAATCATACATTGTGAACAAAGAAAGTTTCTGAATATTTGATCTACTGATGTAAACCCTAGCCACAACTCTAAATAAATAATAAATATGACTTTTCTGTAAATTCAACCATACTTCATGCATCAACTGTGTGATAGTTGTGAACCCCAAGAAGTCGCCCCGCCAACCGCCTCACACGTGACCGCGCAGCAATCCCGCGTTTCGTTGATGTAACCATCGTCAACACCAAAAACGCCAAATGATCTCGATCTGAGGACGACAACGACCACGCCTGCGCGCCAACCCATATCACTCCCACGGAGTAGAATACGCAAGCCATGAAACCGTCGCCGTCAGCTGACCAGCGCCGCCGATCGAATAGCATAGCAGGACGCGCGAGCCTGGGCGCAGGTGGGCGGACGAGCATTGGCTCTGCGACTGGGAGGACAAGTATTGGGCCTGGCGGGAGCGGAATTCCAACTAGAGCGCCACTGGGCACGAGTCGGGTTAGTTTTGGTTTTTTCCCAGAAGGAGTTGAGGGCGACGTGCTACAATGGGTGGGGTACTAATAATGGGGCAATAGTTATCAGCGATGCGCGCTTCGACTACACAACCGAGCTATGATTTCCTGACGGGCACTGAGGCGAGGAAGGAGGGGGAGGGGCTTTCGAGGCCGCCTTCTAGGGGAGGGGGAAGGATGAGGACACCAAGCAATGAGAATTTGCGCGGCTCGACGACGAATCTGCCTATCCATAGCGCGGCTGCGCAGGAATTAAATGAGCTGAAAGCTGAGGTCAAGGCGCTGAAGTACAAGATTTCGAGTTCGGCGCAGGAGGAAGAGTTAGCGGGCTTGAGGCGAGAGGCGGAGTTACGAGAGGTGAGGCGGAAGGGGGAGGAGGATTTCAGGAAGATGCAAGCTGCGGAGGGCGAGAGGAATAAGGCGGTCAGGGCACTGGAAGAGATGAAGGCGGAGGTCGAAAGAAAGAGGGATGCAGAGATCGGGGATACCGGACGACTAGAGAAGAAGGCTAGAGATGCTGAGGAGGGGAGGAGGGTCGCCGAGGAAGAAGTTGAGGAGCTCAGGACAGAGGCAGAAGAGCGGGTTAGGGGGCTCGAAAGGCGGCTGGCAGACGAGCAGAGCCGAACCTCAACGCTACAACGCACTGTCCAGGAGCTACAACAAGATTCTGAGGCCAAGGATGTGGCGATGCAAGAAGTCCAACAAATTCTCCAGAAGAAGGATGCAGAGATCGGAGCCCTGGAGGCAGAAGTGTTGAGGCTTAAAGCGCAAACTGGCGACGTTGATACGCTCGATATCATCAAGCGCGAGCTCTCGGAGCAAGTAACGCACATCCGCACACTGGAGGCGAGCAACCGTGAGCAGGCGCGCGAGTTGAAGCACCTGCGCATGCTGCACAAGAGCGTCGAGGTGGTGGAAGAGGAGAAGAGACAGCTTCAGCGCAAGGTGGGGCAAATGGAGGACCTGCAGCAAGAGCTGGGTGAGGCGCGCCTGCAGCGCCAGAGGCTCGAGGATGAGCGCCTCGCATGGACGGCGTATCTCGAGTCACAGGATGGAAACGTGGAATTCGAATCCCCTGAAGCCCTGGCACGAGCGCTTGTCCAAGAGCGTCTGGAGGCAGCGACGCAGTTGGAGAAACTTGGGCGGCTGGAACCGGCCTTGTCGGAACGCGACGAGATTATCAAGTCTCTCGAAGGCGAGAAGGCAAGATTAGCCAGCCAGCTCGACAAGGCGAATAAGGAAGGCGGTGGTGGCGATGTGAAGGCCCGCCAAAGGTTAGAACGACAGCGCACTCTTGCCCTCAAGGAAGTCGAGTATCTCCGCGCCCAGCTCAGCGCCCTCGATGGCGAGGAATCGACCATGGAACTCCCATCCTACGACGCCGCAAAGGCGGAGCGCATCACTTCCCTCGAAGAAATGGTCGCGGCCTACTCCACCGAAGTAGCAACTCTGCATGCCGAGATTGCATCTGCTCCCGTCACCACCACGACTCTGAAACGCACACGCGATGAGGCACCCGATGAGCAAGAGCGCCTCGGCTCGCTGACACGCAAGAATAGAAAGCTGCAGGACGAATTATCAACGGCGCAATCCGCGGCACAGAAACTCACCAAGGAGCTCTCGGTCACAAAGGAACGACTCACTGCCGCAACTGCACACAAACAGACGCGCGTCCTGGAATTAAGAGATAACCCCACTGCGAACGCAGAGGCGATTAAGATGTCGACCCTGAACGCCCTCAAAGAAGAGAACGCCGCGCTCGTGGCCCAACTTCTTGCTGGACCAACCACAACCCGCTCCTCCGCATCCGCCAAGACCGTCCCTCTGGCAACGCTCGAATCCGCACAGCGCGAATGCCGCGAACTCGAAGCGCAGGCGGCCTCGTCACGCAAGGCGATGGCTCGACTGAAGCAGGTATGGGGTGCGAAGACGGCTGAGTTCCGTGAGGGCATCGCCAGTCTCCTGGGATGGCGCGTCGAGTTCATGCCAAATGGTAAGATGCGCGTTAGCAGCATCTTTTACCCCGGCACCGAAGACGAGGAGCGTAGCATTGTGTTCGATGGCGAGGCGGGGACGATGAAGGTCTCGGGTGGAGCGAGGAGTGCGTTTGCGGGGAAGATTGCGGAGAGTGTCAAGTTTTGGGTTAGGGAGAGGGGGGAGATTCCTTGCTTGCTTGCGGCGCTTACATTGGAGTTTTATGAGGAGGGGACGAGGGGTGCTGGGGCGTAGTGGGTGAATATGAGTATAGCTGTATATAGGCTTGAGCGAGGAGTTTGGAGTTGGTTCGTTGCTGGGCTGGTTGGCTATTAGATGAGCCCCTGGGATTTAGCTTGGGGCCGGGGGGGAGGTTAGTTCGTGTCTACAACGAATCGAGGCGGAGACACTAGTAGTCAATACGATGAGCATATGGACTATATAAGCGACAGTCAAGATGAGGGCGTACACGATACACACATCTGGTCATCCATTTTCAGAACAAAGTTAAATAGCTAAATCTGTGTGATAGTAACAGCATCGTAAAAATAAAGCTAACACTTCCTCCAAAACGCCCCTCCATAAAGCATGATATCGTCCCCGCCATTCCATCCATACCCCCCGACCCTTTTGCCCCCAAACCCAAAATAAATAGCAAAAATATCAGCAAGTATTTGGCATATGAGGATCACAAGATCTCCCCCCACGAGCTCCAAAATAACCCCCGAAAACGCGCCAAATCACCACAGAAATCCCACGCCCCAAACTAACGCCATCGCCCTCACACCTCCTCACCTCCTCTCCCTCCTAACCTCCCTCATCGGCCTTCCCCCCCCCCCAAACTCCCTCGGATCAACCTCCCTATACCCACCCCCCCTCTGACTCCTACTCCTCCTCGGCGGCGGGCTCCCCTCCTCAATAACCACCACCTCCTCCACACTCCCCACACTCCTACTCCTCTGACTCCTCCCACTCCCCATCCTCCTCTCCGTGCGTTCCTGCACCACAATCCGCTCCACTACCGGCGTCCCCCTACTACTCCTACTTCCGCGCCTCTTCCGCCTCCGGACTTCGACCTCGGAAACCGTCTCGGCGTCGCTGATGAGCACGGCGGACCCGCTGCAGGTCGTGTAGAGGAGGTAGGCGATGAGGATGAAGCCGAAGACTGAGCCGAGGACTATGCCGGCGATTTGGCCGGGGGGGGGCCCGTTGAGAGACGAGTAGGTGGTCGGGATGGGGGTGATGTCGTTGGTGCTGGGGTGGGGGAGGGGCGCCATTGTGTGGGTTTGTGGGTGGTGGTGATGGTGCGCGGCTTATGTTGATTACAGCGAGGCTGTGGACGTGGGGAGAGAAGTGTACTGCGTGAGCCGTCTATCTGGCTCCGCGCTCCTGTTCGATGCGCGCGTGTGCGATTGGTGTTGCGCAACGCGGGATATCGCGATTATGGCCGCTTCTAGTCGTGTCTCGATGGTGTTCGCGCGTAGTTCCTGTCGCGGGTAGCTGCGCTCGAGTGGCCAATCCGTAGCCTTGCTTCCGTTGGAGTCACCCACAGAGTATCCCAGCTCAAAAGTCGTCAATCAAGCTCCCAGTAGTCTTTTCGATGATAACAGTTCGTCTCGCGCGCGAGGGGATGCGGATTGAATCGTGAAGTCGAAGTAAGATATCGCGATGCGATCGAGGGAGGCAATGTTGTCACCCTGGGGATGGGACGCACGGCAGCCTTGGCTGGCTGGCTGATGCAGGTGGGTGTTCTGTGCAGCGAGGGGCGTGGCTGGCGGGGTGGCTGGGCGGCGTAAGGGACCAACCAAGCAATGGAGAGGAATGGATGTTGGTGCTGAGATAACGTAGCTGCTGTGTACAGTACAATCGTTTGAAGGAGGGGTAGTAATAATGCAAGGAACGAGGGGATATGTATAGAAATATGTACAGAGTATATTAACACGCAGTGATGTCTCGGGGAGAAGGCTGGTGGGGGGGAACGTGAGATGGGCGTGGTTGATGTTGTTGATCCCCCACCTCTCTCCCCCCGCCTTCCCAATTTCTCACTTTGGGGGGATAAATGGCGGTGGTTGGCGTCGCGGTTGGCCCCAGCTTCCCACGTTTAGCGTGTGTGACGGCGCCGGCGCCCACGCCCACGTAGCGACGGCTTGGCTAGCTGCGGGCGCGTTCCTGGGCTATGACGTTGGTTCAGAGAAGCTGATAAGGCCTTTGCGTATTTACTCGGCCTCTATTCTCATCTCACACGTCGAGGAAAAAGGCAAAAAAAGGCAAAAAATTGGTCGGGACTAGACGAAATGATCTGCTAATTTCCGATAAGTCTTCTTGTTGATGTTGGCGACGTCGAAACTGAGCTGTCTACTGTCACCACTTGCCTCCTGTCACTACTTCTCTATCATCACCACTTCTCTACTGTCACCACTTTTCTACCGTTCCCACTTATCTACTGTAACTTCTACGACCATTTCAGCCATCAACTGCCGTTTCCACTTCATATATGTAACGTCCTCGGCTCGGCGCCCGAGAGTTTGACTCACCTGCCATGTGATAACTGAATCCACTTCCATGTGTTGTGCAGATCTAGGCCAATCCTAGAAGCAATATATATCCTCTTGACGTGTGTCTCCAAACCGACCCGACAGAAAGGCAGCAGCTGTACTTCGTCGAATAATATATCCTCCTGTGCTCAGTGTGGAATTATACGTGGCAGTTGAGCCCCTCCCATAAAGTGGTCTTTGAACCACAGGAAACAAGAACGGTAGTAGTAGCTCTGGATATCATTTATATATCCCACCCCCTCCTATCTACATTCTATATACACTACATTCCCCCTCCCCCCCCCCCCACCCCCCCCAAGCCAGAGCCCCAGTCCCCAGCCCGCCCCCTCCCCCCCAAAAATCCAAAAACAACACACTCATCACAGATTCCTACAATACAAATCCAACGCCCGCTTCGCACGCAAGATCAAATCAACCACCTAAAACCCCCCCTCAGATAAACGACCCCCTCCCCCCACCCTTCTCAAACGGCGGCAAAGGCGGCAACGGCGGACTCTCACTCCCATCCGTCCCCCTCCTCCCCCTCCCGCCACCACCTCTCCCTCCCCTCCCACCTCCCCTTATCGCCTCATACGCCGCCTCCCCTCCATGCTTCGGCACCGGCGGCGGCTTCTCCACCTCCCCCATCCCCGCCTCCCACCCTTCCTCTTCCTCATACTCCGGAAAGCTTCTAGTGACATCACTCCCACTATCGCCCCTCGGCCTCACCAAGCCCGCGCGCTCCTCCTCCGACGCGCCTCCAGCGGCTTTCTTCACACTATGACTCGTCCCGCGACTCCCCAATCCCGGTCTCATCTTATGCCCCGCCAATTCGCGTTCCCTCTCGCGCTCTCTCGCCCGAATCTCGCGATCAGACATATCCTCAATATTCGGCGTAGCGTTCCCCTTCCTAAACACATTCTGAAAGCTAAACTGCCTCCTCGCGCTCTGCGGTGGGCGCTCAGCAGCAAGGTGACTACTCCCACCACCGCGCGGGTCCTCCGCGAACTGGATGTGCGGTTCCCCGCCACCCCCAGCGTGGGCGTCATACGCCGTCTTCTGCTCGTCGAGGCCGGTGGTGTCGTAGTAGCCCGGGACGGCGATGGAGGTTAGTGCGACGGGGTGCATAGGGCTCTGCGCGCCGTTGTGATCGTCGACGTGGCGGATGGAGCCGGGGACCATGCTGCGCGCGCGCGTGCGGATCGTGCCGAGGAAGCTGGGTGTGAGGGAGCCGGTCGTGGGTCGTTCTTCGGCGGCGAGTTCTTCGTCGGTGGGGAAACGGGACATCCCTAGGGGCGGGTGGGGAGATGCGGCGTATGCGGGTGTGAAGGGGCGGTGCGCGCTACCATATGTAGTGCGTCTCCTCCTCAATCCATCCCATTCAATCTGCTCATTCTCACTGACGGGTTGGAGATCAGATTGCATGTCGTCGTGTAGGCGGCGTGCCTCCGCCAACTCCATGTTCTGGCGCGCGGTGGAGAGGCGACGGATAATTGCCGCGGTGCCGCGGATGGCGTCGGCCTTGGGCTCGGACTCGGGCTGCTCCTGCTCGGCGATGGTGCGGATCTGGTCGAGGTTTCCGGAGAAGACGGCGGCGTCGGGGACGTCCTTGGCGGATTTGGAGAGCTGGAGGAGGGCGACACCGGAGCAGATGGTGAGGAAGCCCATGATGACGGTGATGATTTGGGAGGGGGTGCCGCCGAAGCCTTTAAAGAGGATGGCGGAGGTGACAATGGTGGCGCTGGTGAAGTAGACGTAGTATGTCGGCGTGACCAGGGCCGCGTTGAAGATATTGAGAGCTTTCTACACGGGATATTAGTCTTGGCCTGTTCTCAGATCTGGAGGGGAACTTACATTTAAATAGATAATCTCGGTGACCAAAGTGACCACCACAAATGCAAATAGCACATACAAAAACCACTGATTAAACTGCTTCTGCCCGCCGATCTGCGCCAGAATCGCAGAACCCAGCCCTTGGGTAGCAACGACACTGAGGCCTCCGATCAGACTGCAAATAGACAAGTATACGAGCACGGTCTTGTTCCCGTACCGCGGCGCAACCCACACCCCAATGAACACGCATCCCACGATCACGATGCCGCCGTAGACGAGGATTCCCGGCTGTACGACAAAGTGTTGCATCTCCTGGATGTTGGTGACGGAGCTCGACGCCGGGATATTGAGTGCGATGACCACACTGCCGAGGATGCAGAGGAGGCATCCCACCATTCCAACGGCGCTCAATCGTTCTTTAAGGAATATGGCTGACAGCACGGTACTGATGACGACACTCAGTGCTCCCATCGAGGCGACGAGAATCGCATCCGTGAAGGCGTATGCGACGAAATTACAGATCTCGCCAACGATCATGAGAGACATGCCACCCCACCACCATGCATTCTTGAGGTATCCGTAGCCCTCGCCGGGGATCTCGTCGTATTTCTTGTTCGCCTTGAGCAGGCCCATCTTGGAGAAGATGAAGGAGACGCCGATGAAGCAGCCTGAGGCGATGGCGAGAACGATACCGATCGTCTTGTAGATTGGTGGCCTGGACTCGGCTGGGCCACCGAGCTCGGCGCGGGAGGAGAGTGTGTTTGCCGCATCGTAGAGGATATGGGCTGAGGACATGATGAGGGAGAGAGCGGATGGCGCAAGGCGCCGAGAGAGGGGGGGTTGGTTTGCTCGATGGACGATCAGACCATGGGAGTATTTGTTCGTATTTGTTTGTTTCCCTTGGCCTCAGTGTCAGGTATAGATATTCGAAAAGCTCGAAGTTGTCGTATAGTCTCGTCGTCAAAAGGAGAGGTTCGTAATTTCGGGATTTCTCAGTGTGAGAGAGCGGGTATAACGATAAGTATGCAGGACGAGGTGCCAACGTGCAAGCGCCGAGGATGTTGGAAAGAGAAGAGGTTCGTGTCTAGGCTCGTGGCAGAATTCGTAGCAGGCGTATGCCTTTCTAAACAGATATTGCCGGAGAGAGTTTCGTTTGGTGTCCTTTTTGGGTCTATAGACGACAAGGGCGAGAAAAGGGTTGGAAGTTGAAACCTTGGTACAGTCGCAGTCGTACTGTGCACCGTGCTGTTGTACCTGGATCGTTGACCAAGTGATGGGAGTGGGGTGGGAGGTGGGTTGGGGGGGTGGGTTGGATAAAGGCGGTGGGCTGGTCTGTGTGTGGGCTGTGTGAGCTGGTTTGGTGGTAGGTAGGTGGGTGGTTCGGTGGTTCGATGGGGCCTCCCGTCAGCGCCAGCGTTTCTAATAATAAGAAAAAACACACAATAAATATGGGTTTATTGAAGAGAGGGTTGGAGATGGTAATAATTGAAATAAATCGTAATAGTCGTGGAAATAAATCGTAATAATCGTGAAAATAGTGAGAATATCCTGAGGAAAATGATAAAAATATAAAACAGGATACAGCGATCAACCCTCTCACCCGCTCTCTCTGAAGGATCTACTCCTTCTCCTCGTATCATGTCGAGCTGAGTGTATGGTGCATGGAGCATTGATTTGCACAGCCCACCTCCATATAGTAGTGGCGTAAAATACATAACCATACCAGCGCAGTCATTCATCTACGTACTCTGCAGCATCAGCATCCCAGAATACATACTCATGATCCCACAGATCAGAAGCCAAAGGTTCCAAAAGGTCCAGAAGTTTGTTGGTGGAGTGACTCCCAGACTTCCTTACCCACAATTGAACCCTCCACCATCCACACCAAACCAACACCGACAAGGTTTCAAAGCCTGGCGCCATCTGGCGTGGTTCTTGTTTCAAACCCGCCCGATCGACAGGCCGCGTCGCCCTTCTGGCCACTCTGAATCTGCAGTCCCAACAATGTCGATCGATAGTATCGCTCCACGTCATGACTCTATCTTTCTCCCGCAGAGTTCGTCCCGTTCGAGCTTGCGGTGTGTCTGTGCTGTGCTTTACCGCCAAGGTCTAACGACGGCGCTTAGTCGAACGGCCTGATGCCGCCGTCGTTCTATTTCTGACGCCGGGCCTGGTAAGAACTAACCCCAACGGCGCTTACTAGTAATATGTAGATGCATCCTGCGTCCTCAGATGGTGGAGTGGCGGAATGGGGGAGGTAAATGGAATCGGCAAGCGGTTGGAAGAATAGAAGCTCTCGCACATGGTCATCTGAAAGTAGAGACATTCTCGACGTGTTGAACTGAGTGATGCACCATATTACCCACGTGATAGACATTCCCAGCCAGTTCTCAACTTGACGACAGTAGGCATTTGCCATGAATGCGATATCGTGCATACTTCAATTATAATGAGAACGTAGTCAATCTGAGACATCAGCCGTCAGCGCTGAGGACATCCAGTACATGAGATAGAGAGAACTCCAAGGGAAACAGATGTCGGACCCCAAGGTCGTTGCGCGCATGGAGTCTGAGATCCCAAGCCCAACAACCTGACGATGTGGTGACAAGAAGGGCGTTGCAAGAAGGATGTGACAGCGAGAAGGGAAGCGGCAGCGAGAAGGAAAGCAGCAGTGAGAAGAGCAGGTGCATACCTTGATCAACTCTGGTTCTTGATCCAAGAAGACTTTAGCCTCGATCAACTCTAGTTCTTGATCCATAGAAGACTTTAGAGTAATAGTTCGGTTGAATGCTTGCTTGTCTTCATGCGCTACGGGCCATCCTTCATTCTGATTTCTGGTTACGCTTCTTAGTTTGGGTCGTAGGAGTATTCGGTATCTCACCCATCATTCTTCTAAGAGCATTCCCTAGGTGGCAACTTGGCTTTTTAGTTTGGGGATTGCTTTGATCGCCAGGAGAGGAGAGCATATATATGTAATAACAAGTCTGCCTTAACTTGATGGCGCGCCTTGCTTCTGAGCCATTTAATCATCCCATGGACCAGGCGCCCTGCGACTTCTTCACGGGATCAATGTCTATGGCTGGAGTCATCATCAGATATCACACGCCTCATCCCCAAAACACCCTCTTCCCATCCTCATAAAAAGAACAATCAATTCATATAAAAAATCCCACGCCCCCATCACCATCTAACTCATTATCATCATTACCACCCCCCCCAAGCGCCCCCATCCCCTCCTCCCCCACCCCCCCAAAATAAAATAAAACAACCCCCACCGCCCCCTCACCAACCCACCTACTCAACAACCTCCACCCCCTCCAACGCCCTCATCGCCCTCCCCCCCTCCCTCTCAAAGCACCCAACCATCCTCTCACACTCCCTCCTCAACCTCTCCTCCGCAACCCCCGCATTCCACCCCACCCACTCCTCAACAGTCATCCCCCTCTCCTCCGCCGTCAGCTCTCCCCTCCCCAACCCCCCCTTCGCCCCTCCAACCACGAAATTCTCCTTCTCCTTCTCCGCGCTCCTCAGGTGCCCAAATACCTCGTCCAAGTCAACGCCCACCCAGGGCTCCCCGCTCTTCAGCCCAGCAACCATGTTTCGCCTCGACGGCGTCCCGGGGGTCGGTGCGAGTGGGATGCGGATGGGAGCTGCTTGCTCAGCCGAGGCATTCGGCCGCGAGCTCGGGGGACGGTTTTCCGCATCCGAACTCTGCGGTGAAGGCGAGGGCGTGATACTCGCTGCCCTCGCGCGCACCGCAGGCTGTGGCGTTGGCTCTTCAACAGGCGCTGATTCAGGTGCGGGAGAAGGCGATGCGGCTACGGGAGCGGGCGCCTTCCCCTTCGCCTTCGACGCCGCAGCGCGGGCTTTTGCCGGCTTGGGCGCTACGACCTGTGGCGGCGGGGATTTGACGCGGTCTTCGATGTTGGCTACGCGCTTGGAGACGACTGCGCGCTGACGCTGTGGCTGGGGCGCAGGTTCTTCTTCTTGTGGCTGTGGCTCCTCGATGGACGGTTGGATGATATCCTCAATGTTGCGGATGGGTGCTTTCTTCCCTCCCTTAGCCTTCTTGGTCAATGTGGAGCCACGCTTCTTTCCCCCACGCACGACGGTGGCTTGGCTGGCGTCTGTCTCGTTACCAGAGTCGTCGTGGGCGGTTGCTACGCTGTCGTCTTGGTGAGATAAGGCGGATACCATTGACTCATTGACAGACATGGTTGAGCCTCTCGTTGCCCTCGTCGCAGCTGGCTTCGCGGCCTTGGCCTTTGATGCGCGGCCAGCTCGAGCCTTTGGCGCGGGTTTCAGCTGCTGCTCCAACTCCGCCTGTTCAGCTTCGATTCGGCGAGCCTCAGCTTCAGCAGCCTCACGTTCGGCTGCTTCACGCTCAGCGGCGGCGGCTTCTTCGGCTTCAGCTGCCTCACGCTCAGCGGCAGCAGCTTCTTCAGCTTCGGCTTCAGCTTCGGCAGCCTCACGTTCAGCGGCAGCTGCTTCTTCAGCTTGAGCTCGAGCGAGTTCAGCCTCAGCAGCCTCGAGCTCCGCAGCAGCAGCTTCTTCTGCTTGAGCGTGGGCAAGTTCTGCTTCAGCAGCCTCAAGTTCAGCGGCTGCAGCGGCTGCTTCTTCAGCTTGGGCGTGAGCAAGTTCCGCTTCAGCAGCCTCAAGTTCAGCAACTGCAGCTGCTTCGGCCGCCTCTGCCGCAGCCTCCGCCGCAGCCTCAGCAGCAGCGGCCTCAGCCTGTGCAGCACGCTTTGCTGCAGCTGTTTGCTTTGCGGATACCTTTCGTGGCTGGCTAGCCTTTGCACCTCTTGCCTTGGGGAGAGGTTTCGATTCCTCGATTTCCATAGCCTCCAGCTCGGCTTCGAGAGCTGCCTCATCTATCTCCGCATCTGCCGCTGAAAACATGTCGTAGTCTGTCTTCGCGACCTTGCTAGTGCGTGTTGCCCGTCGAGTTGGTGCCACAGAAGCCTTGGGCTCCTCGTGAACAACTGGTTTCGCTTCCACAGCATCCTCTTCATCAGTAAGTGGCCTGTTCAGATCTTCTTCGAGCATTTTATCGATTTCATCGTCATCAGGAACATGTGCGCGGAGGGACGCCTGCGAAGCTGTCGAGACTTGTCGCGATGTCTTCGATTGGCGTCCCTTCCTTTTTGGGGCAGCCTTCTTAGCTGGTGGTTGTTCTGTCACAGTGACGTCTTCCATCGACACATCGCCCATTACGCTCTCTTGAACGGCAATGCTTCCCCGTGTCCTCCGTTTGGGCGGCGGAGCTTGAGCCTCGATAACACTAGCAGTATCCTCCATCGCTTCACTGGCCCTTTTCTTCCCTCGTTTGGGCTTTGGTTGTTCCACTGGCACGACATCGACTTCGTCTTCCGGCTCTGGTAACTCGCTGACCTCAGCCGGCTCTTCCTTCTTCTTCCTGCCTTTTGCAGGGACTTTCTTTCCTTTGGGCGCCTTTCGGGTGGATTGAGACGCAGTTGTAGCAGTTGTCATCACACTATCACCTTCATCGACATCCATGTCAACTATAGACGGTGCTTCTGTGAGGGCTGATTGTGTTGATAATCTCGAAACCTTGGAGGCGCGGGGTTTCCTGCCCTTCGCAGCTTTCTTCGCAATCGGGCTTTCCGGTTGGTTGCAAAGTGTGAAGAAGGCGCAATCCTGGGATCGAGCATGATGTTCGTGGCTGTAATTATATTAGCAGAGTTTTCGCATCACTTGGGATTCGAACTCACAATGGTTTATCAGCTGGCTCCCAGCCATCCAGTGCAAGAGTACAGTAGACACATTCCGCGTAATCATCGCCTTCCGGCGTCGGCTTGTGTATCCACCCAGCTTCCACCAGCTATTACCGTCAGTACGAGTAAAACATACCATCCACATCAACATACCTGCTTAGTCTTGCACTTCCACCCCTTCTTCCCCTCATGCGGCCAGCGATCCCCAAACGTCGCCTTCCTCGCCTCCACCATCCGCGTACTCATCGGGTTCTCCAGATGCATATCACCCACTCTCGCCTCAATACACGACGTGACCGCCCATCCGCAGCCGGGCGACAGCTTTAGATGCTCCTCAAGCGGGTTGTCGCCCTTCTCCCACCCACATATCGATTCTCGGCAAAGGAAGCACTTTACATTGTCGGGGTTCTCGTGGGATGGGAGGAAGAAGAAACCTGCTGCCGCAAGCTGTAGCGAGTTAGCAATAAACTAAACTGTTGAGAGGTGTCTCATCATACTTGTTCTGGGCCGAGCCATGAATGTGGCCATTTCATAGACTTTGGGGCGCGTCCTGTCGCATTGGACCCTCGTCGTTTCGGTAGTGGTTGCGCTGTGTGAAACGACTCCAGCCGTGCAACTTCCGTATAATACTGATCCGGTACGTCCGCCGCCATTGTTTTCAGAGTTGACAGTGCACTGTCGTAAAATCTGTCTGTGTTGGAGTTGTTTTGCTGTTCTCGTTGTTTGGCGATTCGATGTGGGACACGCTGGGAGCCGAACGATTCGAGGTATCACCGCGCGATAAGTATGCGCTAACTGGGCCGAGTCGCTATTTAGTGATGCTTCATAAATGGGAATCCCTAAAAGATTAGTAGTCGCACGCGTCGAAGTGTTGTCGAGAGTTAATTGCTGGGCGTTGGTTGTTGCGGGAGTCCAGGATGTTATTGTTTACATCGGAGGGCAGCCGCGATTCTGCAGCCCCACACCGCCGTTGCTTCCCAATCTGGTAGCTTGGAACTCCACTTACTCCACGTTCAGCCAAATATGATAATTATCCGTGCATTATCTTCATATGGATTTATATCAATACTTTGCATGCACGCCGATATTGTCTCTTCGTTGGTTTAATTTATATCCTCGCGGCAAGATGCTTATATGGAGAGTACTACAGTACCGCATGAATCCTCTTCCCAACCATATCAAGGATTGTGATAGAAGACAGGTATTGCTGTGCTTACGAGCCAAATAGAAGATACAAGCGCCATGGTTCTAACAAAATAAAAAACTTGACTCCTTTTAAATTACTACACAAGCAAAAAACCTCGTCTCAGACACGGGGGTGGCGGCGGCGGTCTGTTGGTATGGTGCTTGGCGACGCAGCCAGGGGCTCAGCAAGCTCAAGAACGCCATCGGGAAAATAGCTACTGGAGTCTATCTATAGTGGAGTTATTGAAGACATGAGATGAGAGCTATTTATGATAACAGTAATATGAAATGACGGTATGAAGGATAGGAGACGCTGCTGTTGCCGCTCTTACCTATTGCTGACATAATTCTTATCACTAATCACACCTCTATCACCGTCTGCAGCGGCTTTGAGGGCAGGCCCTTGATCAGCTTGTTGCATTCCTTAAAAATGCTACAACACCTTCTCGGAGGCATAGCTTTTCGACTCCCGGTATTGTTGGTTGGGCAAAATCAGATCAACAGAGTTCCATTTCAACTTATATATTAATGAAAAAAACGTTTGCTAATTCCTCATTTCATAACCGCTACCACCATATGTTCAGCTACCTCTCTTTTCAATACGAATCTCGGCCACCTATTTACAATATTTCCATACCACTTCAGTTCCTTCGGATCCTGCTTGAAGGCGCAGTAGGCGCGAGAACAAAGTCCACACAAGACTCGTAAGTCTGCCTTGCACCAACTCCATACCACCACCACTGGATGACCTAAATCCTCAAAGTCAGAAAGTTACTCCCACTGACATTATGTGAAAGGATTCACTTACGCATTCACCGGCAGTCGTGCATTTACCCTCTTCAATATCGCTTGGGATCGTGACAGAGAACAATGTGTTGTTCGCTGGCACAGCAGGCAACTTCTCGTCTGCATAGCTATCCCAGTAGAGAAGCTCACTTCCAACCACCGTGTTAGATGCTGTGTCGACAATGCTCACATTCGCAGTTCCGGCGTGGAGAATGCGAAGATAAACCTCGATTGGGACGACCTGGCCAGGAGAGTAAGTCTGAACTGGACCACTGGCTTCCTCGTCCAGCTGGAGACCTTTGCAAAGCCAGAGGTTGCACTCGTCGGCATGGTAGGTCGAATCCACAGCGGCTACCTGCGGCATTCCTTCGACGTGGTCGGTCACATCTTGTTTGTGAAGGAGCGTTATGGCGGTACCGCAGGCTGCACGGGAGACAGCTCCAGCGATCCTGGGAGTAGGACTGGTGATTACTCCATGAGAAGAGACTGTGGTTGCAATACCGACAAGGGTGGCTAATGATAGATACTGCATGATGATGATTTGGACGAAATATACTCTGTGGGGTTTTTGATAATGAAAATAGAATAGGAAAGTGGCTCAAAGGTATTTATGGGGACAGTTATATATCTATTTCCAAGAAATATCGCGCTGCTTACTCGAAATCAGGCTGTGGAAGCAGCCTGTAATGGTTAAACAATATATAAACGGAAGAATTTAAAACTGCCAGTTCTATACCTGGGTAGATCGACAACTTTATAGATGATGCTTATGCTTCTCAGTAGCCTGTTTAGTGTGATGAAACTGCCGGATATCAACTTTATATTAACGAAGTAACCTTGTTTGGTTGAGTTTCAAGGCTAAGCGGCGGGCGGCACGGCGTGCCTCCGCACGGTGGTTCCGGCAATTGTTTTCTCAGATTGAGTGGACCGATCAGTGGGATCCACGGACGATATCTACCCCGCCATACTCTAAATCGCACCGCAGTCAACAAAACACATTCGGACCATTCGGATGCCACTCATTCCGTACTGGCTCTTGGATAATAAATACTGAGGTATTATAGTATTTATACGCCAATATTTGTTTATGCAATTTTGAAGGCTTTTTCCTGTTCGGATCCCAAAACCATGCCCTCAGACCAGAGATCCACATATACCAATCCAGATGCCAAAGCGTACAATCTCCCTGAGCTTGCCGATGCGCAAACGGTGAGGAAATTTCACGAGAGTCTGCCAGAATACAGCCCTACTCCCCTCGTGTCTCTTGGGGAGCTGGCAGAAAAGTTTGGAGTGAAGAGTATCTTCATCAAAGATGAAGGAAATCGGTTGGGACTCCCGTCGTTCAAAATCCTTGGCGCCTCTTGGGGAACATTCCGAGCAATAGCGTCCAAGCTCGATCTTTCCCTTGATAGTAGCCTTGATGATCTCTCAGAAGCTGCCAAAAATGCATCCATCAAACTATTCGCTGCCACGGATGGAAATCATGGACGGGCCGTTGCATACATGGCAAAGCTTCTGCAAATATCAGCTGAGATATATGTCCCAACGGCTGTAAGCAGCCATGCTCGGGAATTGATTGCTGCAGAAGGCGCTGAAGTGATTGTTATTCAAGGCGACTACGACGATTCCGTACGTATTGCTGCTGAAAAATCAACCACGTCACCCAGTGGGCTTCTGATCCAGGACATGGCTTTTGAAGGATACGACTATATCCCGTCTTGGATTGTTGATGGATACTCTACGATGTTGCATGAAGTCGGTTCTCAGCTCGAAGAGAAAGGGTTAAAGCCCACAATCATCATCACGCCAGTTGGAGTGGGCTCCCTTGCAACAGCCGTCGTCACTCACGCCAAGTCCGGAGGGCGTTCGATTACCATACTTGCAGTTGAGCCCGATACCGCAGGATGCCTTCACACCAGCCTGAAAGCTAGTCAAATGACCCCCATCAAGACACCCGGGACTATCATGACGGGCCTGGACTGTGGCACGGTCTCAACTGCTGCTTGGCCAGTCCTCCGGGCTGGTATTGATGCCAGTGTCACTGTCTCCGATTCTTCGTGCCATGATGCAGTGCTGTATCTGACGAGGCATGGCATTTTTCTTGGGCCATGCGGTGCTGCTGGTCTAGCTGCACTCTTGAGCATCGGGCCTACGGAACCTGAGTCTATCGGACTAAATTCGGACTCTGTGGTTGTCATCTTGGGCACTGAGGGGCCCCGGCCGTATTTTGACAGCCTTTGATATATCCTCAAGGTTATTGCGAGACTGGGTTGAGACGAGATGCCTCCTCAGAACTGTACTGTCAACTACTTTCCCAGTTTGACGAGCCAAACAGATCAACTATATTCACTGCTATTAATATACTATAATGTTTATAATGTTGATATAATTTATATTTATATTTCTGAGTGGCTAACTTATTGATTGCAGCCCGAAGTGGCTGCATGCTTTTCTTCAAATTACAGATGGTGAAACACTCCACAGTCTCTCTAACACGTCCGGCCATCACCAGCACCCCTTCTTAGCGGCCGCGCCAGCCTCCAGTTCATTCACAATTTTGACACTAATGATAATTAGTTTACATTTTCATAAAGTTTAAAAGATGCTTACAGCTCGCGCAGTGTTTCGAGATAGCGATCCATGGAATAATCGTGCAGAGGAGGAAGTATCCTATATAATGTGTATCCGGTTGCGAAGAACAAAATCACAGCAAGTAAAATAGCCAAGACAAAGACCAGTGGTCCCACTTCATCTACTTTATTCCATATATTGGATTCCTTGGTGCGTCTCTGGCGATGTGACTCTTCGTCGTAAATTATTTCTTGCGGGCGCTGTTGCGATACCGTCATCTTGGAAGTTGAAAGGTTCGATTTATGCGTTTGTGATTGTTTTGGCTGTATAGGCTGTGGATGAGGAACGGAGCTGTCGAAGAGAGAGAGGCTTATGAAGTCTGACCTGACGCTAATTTTAAAGTTATATAGCTCCGTCCGTTTGAGAATACACTAATTTGGGTGACATGCCATCGTGGGAGTCATTTGAGTCTAAATATCATGGTTAGCTAGCATATACCATGAAAATGGCACGTATGAATAATAAATTTAGTAAAATATATATTAAAATTCTATAGTATGTGATCTAACGAGTTAACAATGCCCTGTCCATGAGCGAATAGGACTTTGCAGACAAATGCACGGCGCCGTCATAAAAAACTGCACCCAGTGAGCAATCAGCTTTGTCTAATTTCGTAATCCCCCTACGCCTGCCGCTGTAGTTCCGCTCTCGCTATCATCGCTGTGTATCCATCCCTAGCAAAGCAAACCACCTTCGTCCAGCGCGCCAAATAGGTAATCATCGCTCAAAAAGCAGACCAAAAAATCGTATCGTCTCGCATCTCTCATCCTCGGCAGCAGGAACCAAAGCACATATCTAAAAGAGAAAGTCAGTATATATCAACGATAATAGAAAGGATAGGTCACCTACCTGGGTTTCCTCCAGTGCGGACGGACCTTGGCTTCTTCACTGCCACAACCTTCTCAGCTGGAATGAGGTTCAAGATTGAATCGGTATCTCCGCGGTCAGCGTTGAAAAGGGAAACACGGACCTTCTGCCAGATGGCCTGAGGAGAGTGTCCGTTGGTGTTCTTGTTGTATGGAGAGGTATAACGCGCCATTTTTGATATGGTGGGGTTTGAATAGCTCTGTGTGTGGTATGTGGGGTTGAGGTTGTCAGCGTTTGAAGGTGACAGTGGGTTCTCCGTGGATGTGGGAGGTAGGTAGCTTTATACTGTAAACGTTAGCCATGTGAACTGCATGCAGGCGCCTCACGGGTATGCGAGTGAAAGAAAATGCAGTGTTTGTCCAAAACGGATATGATCTGGGGACAAAGCACTTGACATGAGGGATAGGTCTTACAAGATTTGGCGGGATAGTCTCACGGGGGAGATTTGTACGTTTGTTTGGTTGGCGATCTGCCGCTGGAGCTTGGACGGCCTCGTGCAGAAGGGTCACACTGTTTGCTTAAAGGAGGCACTACTCGACGGGTAAGTGTGTGTACCACCGGTTGTAATGTGGGGACTAGCTTTTTAAGTGAAAAAGGTCTGGTCGTGGGAATACAGAGTGATTAGTTTTCTTTGTTGGTTGTTTGTATTTGGATAGTAATCGGTTGAGGTTATAATGGTTTTCAGTAATCACATTTGGGCAGGAAATATCGAAGCCTTTATACTTGATTTCACCTTTTTTCACTTTTTGTATGATTCATAAATGCCAAGGGCATATGATTGATAACTTATTGTTAACTACGAAAATTCAACTGCCAAGACCGAACATTGCTTGTTGTTTACACATATGCTATAAATTCACTGTTATTATAGGTTCAAGCAATTATTGCCGAGCCTTGACACCGTCATCCGAAAGCCCTCGGCTTCGGCAGGATAGAGCGGCATCTGTCAGCCGAGTAACCTCGGAGAAAGTCCGACAATAAATTATTCCTTTGGGTAAGTGAATTATAACTGGTATTGGCAACGTAGTATAATGAATATGGAATCCCAAATTAATAAGCGGCCGATAAATAAGTCAAATTGTCAAATCCAGCGTGATATTGAGGTTGCACCGCTAAGATAAAGGTACGACGTCACTTTTTCTATTATAAGCAGGGGTGGGGCGCCACCAGAATTCCTTGCATCGGGATAGTGTCGATCGATTATCATGATAGGCTCCTTGGCAAACCTTCGTTCCCGCCTCTAACGGAAGCCGTTGGGATAAGGCAAAACGACAACATCAATTCCTCATAACGACCGATTTCATAGCACAATTCCGCTATGATTATCCGCGCAGTCTTGGCTACGAGCGCGCTGCTCATATCATCGTCGACTGCGGCAATTAACCCCGCATTGGTTGGGACATGGTCATCCAAGTCCGCCAAGGTGATGACAGGGCCGGTATGGTCGCACCAACTGTGAATTATCCGATGGGCAAAGGCTTATTCTTTATCTACAGGGCTTCTATAATCCAGTCAATGACAGCTTCATCGAGCCATCCCACGCGGGGATTTCATACTCCTTCACTGCGGATGGCTTCTACGAATCAGCCTACTACCGCGCAGTCTCCAATCGTATGTTCCCCTCCCCCCAGCCACATCGCAAGCTAACCCCTCCCCAGCAACCAGCCCCAACTGCCCCAAAGCGCTTCTCCAATTCCAACATGGCACCTTCACCGAAAATGCCAACGGCTCGTTGAGCCTAAACCCCATCGCCGTCGACGGGCGCCAGCAGCTCTCCGACCCCTGCAAGAACTCAAAGAACTCGCAGTACTCGCGCTACCACCAGCCGGAGCTGATGATGAAGTATGAGGCGAAAATAGATGATTATAAGAAGATCAACCGACTTGATCTGTACCAATTCGATGGCACGCCCATCCAGCCGCTGTATCAGGCGTATAGCCCGCCTATGATGCTGCCGACAGTGACGATGAACCCGACAGACAAGGCTGATGCGGCGAAAGAGACGGGTGCCAAGGTGAAGAGGGGTGAGGGGTTGGCGGAGAGCTTACTCGAGCCACTGAATAAGGACGCCAAGCACATTAAACGACATTTGTCCGGAGCGATGGATGCGAAGTCGCCGTCCGGTATGGCGGATTCGGTGTGGTGGGCGGGCGTTGGGATGACGCTCCTTGGCGGCGCGGCGTATCTGTTATAATTATGAGGTTGGATGGGTTGGGTGACATTTTAGACCGGCGAATAGGCGGCGTATATATAGACTTGGATAGACCTGCACAAGAGGAAGATATTATTTGTAACGATAAAAGTATAAATTAAGCATTGAACAAACTCATGCTGCCACGCTATTCAAAACATTGATCCCAGTGTCCATCGTGTTGTGGGAATGTCAAACTATCAACGAAAGCGCCTAATTTGCAGCGTCCAAGGCTATCGACGCCGCAATTTTGAAGGGGTATCACACGGTCATTAATCAAGACTCTCACGAGCTCCTCGTCTTGCCCTCCACACTTCATCTTCTCAAAATACGCACGAGCTCCAAACGGCACCATCCGACTCGTCGAATAACCATTCGTCTCGTCTATAGTCTGCAAGTTCTCCTTATCTAGTGCCTCTGTGGCATTGAGAAGTCCAATCGCCGCGTAGATGGCCATCATATCGTTGTCATGGCTGAAATCTGCAAACATTGTAGTGTTCTTGTCGATGGGGAATGTTTTATGTGAGCCGTCCAGGGTGGAATTTGTGCTCGTATGGTCAACGACGGGACTGTTGGTCAGACGTGCAATGAGCTCGTTCGCAAAGCCGACACCTTGCGTAGGCCCCATGGGGTTCCCTTGTGCGAAGCCGTAGAATTTGCCCAGTGATTGATAGTACTCGTAAGAGAGCCACTCAGACCTGGTGAAAATATGGCAGAAGGGCGACAGAGGCGCCTCGTACTGGCTAGGAACATGATTAGGAGCAACGGTGTCAAAAGGACACAGATCCATGAGGTATATAATCTCTCTCGAAGTCAAGTTGACACCCTTCAGATCCTCGTTGATGCGGGCCTGAATCGGCGGGACGAAGGTCGCCGCGAAAACGGATTGGGCATCTAAGCCGCCGTGGGAGAATGGTCCTGACTCGAAGGAGGTGCAGAGATCATGGCTCAGAGTGTTATTAAATTCAGGATCCTCGGGGATCAGAAGGGCAGGATAACCCTCGTCGTAGTCTGGCCCGGTATGCTCAGGATCCTCCCGTCGAGCAATTTCAAAGCCTTCTATCCACCAAAGAGCAGAGGCCATCATGCGATCTTGGTCGGTACTCCGTATGAACGGGATTGTATCCTTGGCCAGAGCCTGGTAGCGCTGATAATGTTTGTATCCCATGTTAGTCAGTTGCTGGATGCCCACAATAGTTAATTTGTCGGCACCGCTTCTCCATTTGTAGGATTTGAGGAACTCGTATTTCCCCTCGAGCTTCCCCTCAAAGTTCCCAACAGTTGTGAGGATATGTCCAGCAAGTTTCTTGTACAGAATCGCCTTTGTGAATGTGGGATACCTGGCACCGTGACGAGCTAGCATTTGAACGAACGTTATTTCGCAAGACGCCGGGGTGTCTGCCGATATTTCAGAAGGCACTGTGAAATATGGGGAGTACTGGCCCCAATGGTGTGAGATCTCAGGGTGGCATTGATAGCCATTGTTAATTTCGCCTGCTATCGTACGCACACAGGGAAGTGTATGGTCTCCAGGGCGAGATCGTGCCCAGCTGTTCTTCTGTTAGTATGCCACTGAAGAAGATCCGCTCCAATATCAAGGAAAGGCTCGTTGAATGTTGTTCTGAACATGTATGCACCACGTGATAGCAATAAGATACGACGCCCAATGAGATTTAGACCTACCCAAAAGCTGCCGCAATGATGAGTAGGAAGGTTAAGCAGATTATAGCAATAGTCAATATTATCGTCGCGGCCCTCTTCCTGGCGGTGCTTGGGCCTTCCTCTTCCTCCTCAGCAGCGACTGGTTGTTGGGTTGGCTCAGCATCACCATCTTCGGTCAATATAGGTTCATAGTCCGGCCTCGACCTTCCGGGGATATACGACGCGACTGCCGCCACCGCATCTCGGAAAAAGGACGTCATCTCGAGACTGTGTTAACTAACAAAGGTTTTTAAGATGCTGCCTGCCAGGCTTGATGTTTTCGATGAAGGTGGACTCGAACTGGTCGCCTGATATCGCGCCGACGCCGTGACACCAAGTGTAACCGCAGGCGGCTGAGCAGCAGGTGATTCTTCAGAAGGACTATAACATAAGGCGTACCGAGTAGAAATACATGCCGACACCGTCACAATTATTTCTATTTAGTAGAGGTTAACTTTAGAAGGGACGTTGAACATCAGTATAGATTGAGAAACAGGGGTTCCAGATGGCAGGGTTTCGCGAAGCGGCCGTAGTATCGACAAGTCACACATGTTTGTTACCATCCAACCAAAAGGCCACACGCGCTTGGCGCCAACTTTTCGTTCTGAGTCGCCACAGCGAAAATACTACAGTCTGTCATTTCATCGTATGATCATTATGCATCTGGGCAATATAGCTATTTGAACTTAGTAGAAGCAATGGAATATATTCAAAACCTCTTTAATGTAATATACAGTCTAGCCCTCGTTGCTTCCCATAGAGAACCTGCCCTCTACTTCATACCTATGTAATATCTATAAACGGCTGATAATGGCACCGGCGTACTCGTGGGTCTTGGCCGTTCCGTGAAGATCACCGGTCAAGGTCTTGCCCTCTGCAAGCGTCTCAAAAATGGCCTTCTCGATGCGCACGGCTTGCTCCTCAAGACCCATGTGTCTCAACATCATGATGGAGCTGAGAAGAAGTGCGGTTGGGTTGGCAAGACCCTTGCCAGCGATATCCGGGGCGGATCCGTGAACAGCCTCGAAGATGGAGCACTCATCACCAATGTTGGCAGATGGAGTAAGACCAAGACCACCGATGAGTCCAGCGCAGGTATCGGAAAGAATGTCTCCGTAAAGGTTGGGCATGACCAACACCTTATCGTTGTATGGGGTTGGGTCGGTGACAATCTTCAGGCAGGTGTTGTCGATAAGCTCGGCATCAAACTCGACGGCTGGGAAGTCCTTGGCGACTCTCTGGGCGGTGGAAAGGAAAAGACCGTCGCTCATCTTCATGATGGTGGCCTTGTGGACGGCGCGGACCTTTAGCTTGCCGATCTCCTCAGCGTACTGGAAAGCGTATTTGCAGACACGCTCAGACGCCTCTCTTGTGATGAGCTTGATGCTCTGCACAACACCGTCAACGACGACGTGCTCAATGCCGGAGTATTCTCCCTCGGTGTTCTCTCTGATGAGAACGGTATCGACACCGTCGTATGGGGTCTTAAATCCCGCAATAGAGCGGCAGGGACGCACGTTGGCGAAGAGGTTGAATGTGCGGCGGAGGGTAAGGTTTAGGGAGACGTGGCCCTTGCCAATGGGTGTCTGAATATGTTTAGCAACCTGTATCTAATGATGGGTCGGTTTCCTTACGGCAAGCGGACCCTTGAGGGCAACCTTGTTCCTCTCGATGCTCTCAATAGTCTCGTCGGGGATAACAGTCTTGCCATCCTTCAGTCGAGGAGTAACATCAACGGGCTCCCATTTAATTGGTGTCTACAAGGCAATGTCAGTCTCATTCCGTACTTCCGTAGGGAAAGAAATGGCGCAAATCGTACATTAGCAGCCTTGAAGATGTCCTTCACTGACTGGGCAATCTCTGGGCCGATACCGTCACCCTCAATAAGACTGACAGTGTAAAGTCCCTATCGAATCGTTAGTCAAATGTCCTATTACCATCCTATGTCGATTCCAATCGGTCGGCTTGATAGCATGTCGCAATGTATTCAAGACACTGCAGGTGCAGTGACGCGAAATTGACGCAATTCGGGGTAGCATACATCAGATCCCTTCTTTCCGTGGAACTTTGCGACCTTCTCATGAGTGCTGGCGCCCGCAGCATATGTTCGTGTCTGGTAATCCAGTTGGTTAGCAGGTTGAACTCCAATTTGCTTATCAATTGGGGTAATTTGGGGTTCAAACCTGAAGAGAGGATAGCATAGCAACACCATTTGCACGAAGGCATTGGCGGCGCGCAGGCGCGGCAATGGACCGGATAGCGAGCATCTTGAAATATCACAGACAGAATGCCGCTCTCACGCGAATGCAAGATTGTTGGAGAGAGATAGGTTTGGTGAGGGCGAACTGGAGTTTCTTGAACATGCGCCACGATTTCAGGCGAAAGCCTTGCACTACCGCGCCAAGAAATATTGCCGCTTCCATCCGTCCATCCGTCCACCAACTGTAGCGTGGCCTATCGCGCGCTTATCTTGGCCTGGTCTCACATCGATTGACAGCTCGAAGCTCTACGTCACATTGAAGGCTGGCCAACATAATCTTTGAGAGCGGATGCGGATGCTTATTGTTTGGGCGAATTGACGAACCTCACGAAATTCAAAAGCGGCATGAGCTTGTTAAAATATGGCCGACTATGAACGTACTGTGCTCGCGCACTATAATCTCCCAACGGCATTCCCAACTGAGTGGCCCGCCGAGAAAGACGAGAGTGATGCCTCAGATGATGAGGGATTGGTCAAGAAGAAGAAAACGAGTAGCACCGGTCGAGCTTCAAAGTCAAGATATTCAGCACTTGAGCGTGCCACAAGCGATCGTAAAAGTTATGTCCCAGGCTCACAAAAGACTGGAGAAGGGCTGGAGAACTTGGTACAAAAGGATGAGCCCGACCCTCTTGGGACAGGCGAAAGTGTCGTGAGAATATTGAGAGGACACGGTCTGCCTGTGCAAGATGACATCCACCTGCGTATGTTTTACAATCCCCTAACAAACCCCTTTTGAGACTAACATGCGACCCAGGAAACAGATATTTACTGTCGTCAACTACATTTTCGCCATCTTTGTTCCTGTCGCAGGTGCATCATTCGGCTTCAACTCAGCAACTACTCAATGGCCTAGAGGTCTTGTCGCGCTCAATTGACCAGAAATCCGCATCCCTGAGGGTCTTGGTCGAATCGAACTTCGAGCGGTTTGTCCGCGCAAAGGCTACGATTGACAATGTATATACCGAGATGAAAACTCGCGGAACGGAATCTGTTCCTATAATCCCTCCGCGACACTCTCGACATTCGAGCCGGATTAGCTTCAGGGCTGGTAGTCTCGCAGAGGCAGCCCCAGGCATCACGACCATACCCGCGAATAATAAGAAGAAGAACGCGTTGAGCAAGGAGAGCGAATACGGAGTCCTGGGGATCAAGGCACCACTCGTGGATGTGGCAGCCAAGGCCGAGGAGGTTTGGGGACCAGCGTTGGGTGGGCGCGAGAAGGAAGATAATCTTAAAGTCGTCGCTGGCGCGCTGGAGAGACACCGCGACATCTATGAAGCACCTGGCTTGATTGCCGAGAGCATCAAGCGCAAAGATCACGAAACGCTAGTCGAAGAATACGCAAAAGCGACTCGCATTGCTGATGAGGCACGAAAACTTGGCGAAAGCCTAGTCGCGTCACAAACGCCACCGACAGATCTCCAGTTACAGCATATCATTGTTGCGGCACGAATGTGGTATGATGTTCAGGATCAATTGGATAATTTCAAGCGCGAAGTTTGGCGACGACTGGCAGCGGTTCAATATGGTGCTGGACAACCAGGCGGCTCTAGCTCAACCAGGGATCAACATATGGATCTGATAAGCATCCTTCTCGAGCTGGGAGTTGAAGACAACCCTATATGGGTTTGGCTGTTGAGCCGTTATGACCATTTGAAGAATAAAATCACAGCAATGTCCGAACGATCCAAGGTTGAAATCGAGGTTCTTCGACGAAGATTAGCTAATGGAGCGAAACCGACGCCACAGGTCCTTGCAAGCCACCTGCAGTCTCTCAGCCGCCAAGGTCTAGAGATCAAATCTGCCACACAGGATTCTACTGAGATTATTGAACTGTGGGAGAAAATGCTCACGTTCCTTAACAGCATGCTCTCGTCTGGAGGTGTGCTCGGGGAAGTCCTTGAATTCTCGCAGACCGTCCAAGGATTTATCGATGGCAAAACCCAGCGAACACTCCCGATGGGCCTTAATGGAGAAAGCCGAAAGCATCACAGGCTGTCAAATCAAGGTATTGTAGATCTACGGAAAGGGACAATCGAGCTTATCGACTTGATCCGCGAAGGCGTCAATTCATTCTTTGTCGACCCTCCAATTGAGGACATTTCACTTCTCTACTCGCCCATCCCACCTACACCCATGACCCCCAAGTCTGGTGGACTGGTTCCCCCAGCTCTTCGGGATCCGAGATTTGCTTTCGATGCCACCAGTGCACCACCTCCATCTCCCAAACTTGGTGAAGCTTGGGAGAAGTTTGCTTTCTGGCCTCCGTGGGCGAACTCGCTGAGTGGCGTTCATTACCTCGCTAAATTGCTTGTTCTCGTTGGATCTGGAGCAAGTGATATGGCGTCTGTTTCGGTCATTGACAAAGGTGATGGTGCAGCTCTAGAGCGTCTGCGTGCACTTGTTGGAAGCGCCCGCGAGCGCTGCGTTACCGCAGTTTGCGCGGCTTGGAATAAGGATGCTGAGAATATTAAAGTACTCGAGGATTGGAAACGATCAGCAGAGAAGAAGGAGCTCACGAGGATGCCAGCAAATTTCAGCGCGTTTGAAAGTGCAGTTCTCTCGGGCATGCAGAAGATCCTATATATTCCAGAAGCCATCACCAAGCCCAACTCGGAAGAGGTGGTCCTGCCTCCTCCTGCGAAGATCCTTCAGATGGTGCGAAGCCAGTTTGTGACAACGCTATATAAAGCTCTGAGCGGCATGGTTGAGAATGCTGAGCGATCAATTAAGAAGCCCGAAGATGACTGGGCAATTGATGGAGGAGGCATTGCGACTCCTTTGAGCATAGGCCCAGAAATGAGCACTGGTATTGAAACTATAGCTGCATCTGATAGAGTGAGTCCCCAATAACTTCTATTGCGGCCAAAGCTAATTTTTTGTCACAGAACATCCGCATGCTTCTCACTTTGAGCAATCTTCAGGCGCTAAGGGCTGATGTTGTCCCCAGCTTGACAATGCAATTCGAAAACGCGTTTTCAGTCAAACTTACGGAAGAGGCGAAGACCATCCGCGATGTCTTGGCTCAGATAGACGCACGCCTATTTCAGTCGTATACTAGACCACAGATTGATGAGCTCCGAGGAATTATCAAGGCCGGCATATTGGCTCCTGAATGGGAGCCTTCGCCTTCTGAAAAGCCAAAGGATGTCAAGCCATACGTCTACGAAGCTCTGCTCAGCTTAGTATTGGTCCATACTCAGGTCGCTACTACGGCCTCTTCTCTGACGCCTCAAATCCTTTCTTATCTGCTGGAGCAGGTCTCCCGCGACCTTCTCGATGCATTCAAGCAACGATCCCAATACACCCTCGCGTCACTTATGCAAGCGACTCTAGACGTCGAATTCGTGGCGCAGACGTTGACCCAGTATACGACTGACCGTGCAGGGCAGTTACAGAGTGATATCTATCAGGAACTGGACAAGGGGACAGACAATGAGGCGCGTGTGAAGCTGCAAGGGGAACTGCCGGAGATGAGGGCCGTGTTGAAACGGTTGAGGGAGGGAAGCAGGAGCGAATTCGCTTGCTTTAAGAAGGTTCGAAAACCTACTGAGCGGGTAAAGTCGTAGAGGCAATCATATTACGTGGTCCATCGGGTTGGATTATAGATGGGTCTACAAATCAATTATATCTTTGTCTACAATAATAGCAACCTCTTAAGATGATTAATGATCCAAAACCGATCCCGTGGGGGATATGAGTCTCCTGCCTACCTAATCTTCGCGACTCGACAGCATATAATTCATTTCATGCACACATCTTCCACGTACGACCATAGACTCAAGGGAATTGGGCATCCCGTCCGCTCTGCCATACACAAGCTTGGGTATCCTCTGGATAATAGTCTCAATCATGCCAATAGGCATAGCATGGAATCGCGGCCCCTTGCCGCCTGAAGGGTGGGGTGTTGCTGCTTAGTTTAATCTTGTTCCGAGGTTTATGCGATCCCTGTATCCGTTACCATCTAGCATTATCTCCACACCATACCATTACACACCTTCCGTCTCTAAAGTACTATGATGTCTTGTAGATCATTTAGGGGATTTTTCAATGTTATCTATAGATTTTCTTCTCCTCTGCCCTCTTCATTTCTATACAACATTCGAACTGTCTTTATTGCTAGATTCCCATCTAATAACGCTGCCAACTCATACAATAGCTTGCACAAGTGAGAATGATCGTACGCCCAAATCCCAACCAAGAAAACGAGCACGAGCTTGCTCTACCGACTCCCAAAATGCAGTCGCACATGCCTCACCTGCGCAAGGTCAAAGGCTCGAGCCAATTGATCGTCAACGATGAACCCTTCCTAATGCTCGCGGCCGAGCTGCACAACTCGTCACTTAGCAGCGCAGAATACATGCGAACAGTCTGGCCAAACATGAAAGCCATGAACATCAACACGCTCCTCGGTTCCGTGACGTGGGAGATGATCGAGCCTGAGGAAGGGAAGTTTGATTTCGCCGAGCTGGACGAGGTCATCGGCGATGCTCGTAGACACGATCTTCACCTCGTTCTGCTCTGGTTTGGCTCTTTCAAGAACGCTCTTTCGACTTATACCCCTGGCTGGATGAGGAAGGACGTCAAGCGCTTTCCTCGCGTACACGTTTCCGAGGCGGGGGCGGTAGTTCGCACCGAGGAACTGGTGTCGCCCTTCAACCAACGAGCATGGGAAGCAGATGCAAAGGCATTTGGGAAGCTGATGGCGCACCTCAAGGAGATTGATGAAGAACACAGTACTGTCCTCATGATTCAGGTGGAAAATGAAACAGGTCTTCTTGGCGATTCACGAGACCGATCTCGCATCGCAAACGAGCTATTCGAAAAGCCCGTCCCGCAAGCGCTTCTCCAACACCTGCAGCAGAGCTCTGAGAATAACCTCCATCCCAAGTTCTTACAACGTTTCCCTCTCGTTAAATCTCTCAGGGCAGGCGAGGCTACCTGGGCAGACGCCTTCGGCCGAGGTCCAGCTGCGGAGGAAATGTTCATGGCCGACGCTTTCTCCAAGTACATCTCCAAAGTTGCCGAAAGCGGCAAGAAAGAATACCCTATCCCGTTCTACACCAACGTCTGGCTCAACGTAGAAGACGATGGCAGTAACTTGGACACTGACCTCCCGGTAGTTGTCGGCGGTGGAGGCCGTCCTGGTGTCTATCCCTCTGGTGGCCCATGTCCGCACACGCTCGACGTGTGGAAATACAACACCGCGCCCCATCTCGACTTCATATCTCCAGATCTCTATTTCCACGACTACGAGAGCGTCTGTATCGATTATAAACATGCGGGTCAGCCTTTATTCATTCCTGAGCAGCGACGGGATGAGAAGGGCGCGAGGCGAACATGGCTCGCATACGGGACTTACGGAGCACTAGGGTGCTCGCCCTTTGGGATCGACTCGGAACTCGCGTCGGAAGCGGCCATCACGCGGCACTACGGTCTTCTGGCCTCGGTGTCCGATATCGTGCTCAAGAAACAAGCGACGAATCCCGAGGATGTCATGGGGTTCTTTTTCGACGAGCTCCATGAGGATCCAAAGCCGAGGCTGTGGGTGAGGAGGTTTGGGAATTTCGAAATCACGATTGACCGCGCCTTTGTTTTTGGAAAGGAGGGGCCAGGAGCGGGCCTGATTATTCACCTTGGTGAGGGTAAATTCCTTCTGGTGGGATGGGGATTTAATTTCCTTGTCAAGAGTGTCAATCCAAAGGCGACTTTCGCAAGTATTCTGCATGCTGAGGAGAGAGTCGTCTCGAAGGATGAGGATGGACAGGTTGTGCTGAAGAGGGGGAGGGTGCTTAATGGGGATGAGCATCGACATGGAGAGTTCTTAATGATGGCGAATGAGGATCCGGATTATGGTGGATTTCCCATTGCAGTGACGCCTGGATGCAGGACGATGATTTGCGAGCTAGAGGTCTATGATGTTGAAGAGGATAAGGATGATTACTGAACTTCTTTATCGCGATCAATACATTCATGCTTGGGCATAATCGTCGTGATCAACCTTTCGCTTCGCTCAAGGTTGGAGTAAGACTAGATAGTTAGAACGGAGTTCTGTATTTAGAAGGGTTAAGTTTGACAAAACCTTGATTATCAACTATCTAATTCCTTTTTATGTAATTGCTGAGAGTGGTTGCATCTCCAAGTAGAATTGACTTTGCGCATCTAAATTCTCCAACTTCGTAAGTAGCCTCTTCAAATTATCACTCGCCTTTTTACTCAGGCTCTGCCCTTCCCCCCCCGTCCTAATATCATCAAACAAAGCAGTTCCAATATCCCTGATCTTTGGAATCAAAGAACTCCCATTCGCCTCCAACGTCTCTTGTGGCATGTAGTACAGGATTTCGAGGAGGTCTTCAACGATAGACTTTCGGTCTGTGATCAAACTAAGGGTTGTCTCTTGTACAACAGAACTGCCGACAAGGTGGATAATTTGTTCAAGTATGTTTGACTGGATATGTAGTTGAGTGATGTACAGATTTGCCGTCTGGACACATGTACCGAAATTACTCTGTGGAGGTCGAGAAAGGCCTCCCCGCCAAATCAACTCCGGGGGCAGGTAGTCGAGCGCACGCTTAATTAGATTCATGTAGTGCTGCAGACCAGCAATGGAAGGTGGCGATTCCTGCTGGCTTTGATTCCAAAGGAGGAAGAGCTTGGAAAGATAGTTCAGTCCAGGAACATAGGACCTGTCATTACCGTGCCACGGGCCATACGGATCTGGATTCTGACTTGGGTCGAGTTCGTCGTCAGAGAGCTCGAGCGGCTTCAGGGCACTGATGTTGTCTTGAGGGGTCAAGAGACCCACGTATGGGAAGCCCTTTAGGTCAGCAGAGCTAGACATTATTGTGAGTAAATAAGACGCATCAACGCTCATAACCATATTACTACATAGAGAACGTACCATCCTGCCGCAAAGACTAGCCAGTAAAGCCGCTTGAGCAATTCTTGAGAAGCCGAGGTCATATTAGGCATTTCGTAGTGTATGAGATACTTGATGCCGATCACGGCCTCGGACATGCTCGTGAAGCACTGGGCGTCATTGATTAGATGATTTGACACGCTTAGGTTGTACTTCATCTGGCACCACTCAAGGGTAAAATGTCTCCTTGGCATCTGGTGCATGTTCATCTCATCAATCACCTCCCAACATCTTTCCGGATTAACCAGCGTGCCGTAGTCTTGCGAGCTTTTGCGTCTAAGGCTGGCAATTGTGGCAGCGCACAGGGACACCACTAGCGCCGCGAACGTTCCATCTTGCGTGGCTTCCGTACTTCTGAGCCGGGTTAGGAATGCCCTACGATGCAAGAATGGTGCAACGGAATGGATCTGCTCGAACCAACTGTGCACGATCTGCTCGATCACAGGAAGAGGTGCGAGGCGATGTATGCCGTACACAACTGTTGCGGCCGTTGCGGCGACTGGGGAAACAGAGTTGCTTGAATCCAGGCCGGGTACGTTGGCTAGGTTCTCAATTGCGGGGCTCCTCCTTTGGGCTGCTACGAACCTAGCGTGAACAATCAGTCAAGCTGGTCAATCGAAGCGGCGTGTATGTGAGCAGACTGGTTCAAAGGTCCCCTTCGCTTCCGTGGTCTGTCTTGAGTACATGATATCATTAGCACATGACATGTTCGACATACCGCGCCTTCGTAAATGCACTGAAATCCGTAATGGTTAGCTTTTCTGTTGCGACAAAACCTTCGCTACCACTAATCATTGGATCATCACCTTTGTTTTCCGAGCACGGCAAGCATCGCATGCGTTGCTCGAGCGTGTTCTCCGCACGACCACCTCGTGGGTCGGGGTATCTGGGGTTGAAAGGGTTGAAACACGCTCCATTGGTCGGTGGGGGAGCAAAATTGATGAGAAGCAGCGAGGAAAATCCTCGGAGTTATATAGTGGGCCGGCTGTAGGTCGGCGGAAAGAAATATCGTGGGGAAGTTAGACAGCGGGGTCGGAGGCTAGGTGACCGCGTGGAAGAGTATTAGAGTCCGCTGCTGGATTTACGCCGAGACATATTCCCCTACTCGCTTTAGCGCGTTGGCAACCAAGGGATTGGTTTTACGGTGATAAAGAGCGGGGCGTGGCGGGGTCCCCACAGGGATTTTGCCTGACAGCCTGTCGACCCTAGCAGCCTCTAGGCCCCGCGTCTAGACTTGCGTCTAATAATGAAGTTTTCCTTCCGAGGTTTTTCCTGTTATACTATCAAATGACGGGTTACGGCAAGGCTAGCTTGTCAATGCCGTGCTAGGGATGGCTCAGACCCATGTTTACTTCCTTCTCGTCCAAATAACTTGGACCTTTCAACCTCCAGGGATGGTGTCTACTATGCTTCCCCATCCTCTTTAGGATGTATATGCGTGAGCATCTTCTCCGTATACAAATAACCTGCATTTCCCCGCAAAATCAAGCTCCATCGACGGCCATACCCAGACGACAAGACCATCGAGCACCACTCAATTGCACACCTCAAGACTAGAACTCTTCCTCTTCTGTTTCTACTTTCAATCCCACACGCGGCCATGAGTGAGAAGGAAGAAGGGTCGGCCACGGCGGCCATTGAGACCGTCCTCGCACACAACCCTCCAACCACTCCAGTGGGCGCCGACGTGCATTGGTGGCAGCAACCGAACCTACGCAACTTATACCTCCTGATGCCCTTTTTATTCCTGGGCTCCACGACCCTTGGCTATGACGGCAGTCTCGTCAACGGCCTGCAGACCATGCCCTCATGGCAAGACTGTTTGTCCTCCCCCCCAAATAGCTGCCTCGTCCCTAACTAATCTGAACGATAAGTCTTCAACCACCCCACCGGCGCCGCCCTCGGCATCATCGGTGCCATTCCCGGTTTTGGCGGCCTTGCCATTCTCCCCTTTGCCCCCTACATCGTGGACAACTTTGGTCGCCGCGCCGGAATCGCCATCGGCTGTCTGACCGTCTTCCTCGGCGCCCTCCTACAGTCTTTCCCCAACCCGTCCCACCCAAATGAAATCTACCTTGCCGGCCGCTTCATTATCGGCATTGGCGGCACTCTGACGAACGGCGCAACCCCCCTCCTCATCACCGAGATCTCGCATCCTAGACATCGCGGCAGAGCCACCACCATCTACAACACCCTGTGGTACTTGGTAAGTCGCAACCCCACGGTGCCGGCCACATAAAAAAAACAGCTAACACTTCGCCACAGGGAGCCATCATCGCCGCCTGGGTCGGCTACGGCACCCTATCCCACATGACTGGCAACATCCAGTGGCGCCTGCCAACAGGTCTGCAACTTGCCATGCCAGGCCTCCAACTCCTCGCCCTCTACTTCATCCCCGAGTCCCCCCGGTTCCTTATCAGCAAGGAGCGAAATGACGAGGCCCTCGCCTTCCTGCTCAAGTACCACGGTGACTGCGGCGCCGATGCCTTCGCCCGCTGGGAGTTTTCCGAGATCCACGAGACGCTTCATATGGAGAAGGCGGCTGCGGACAGCAGTGGGTGGTATGAATTGGTCCGCACGCCGGGGAATCGCAAGAGGTGTTTCCTCATCGTCTGCACGGCCATCTTCTCGCAATGCTCTGGCAACGGATTGGTGTCCTACTATCTCTCCTCCATCCTCAAAACTATCGGGATCACTAGGTAGGCTCTCCTCCGTCCCACCGGAACCACTTCTACATTCAGAAATCAATCCTAACTAACCCTTCCCAGCTCCACAAAGCAAGCCCTCATCAACGGCGGCCTCACCATCTGGGCCTTCCTTGTCTCCCTCTGCTTCGCCTTCACAGTCGACAAGCTTGGGCGACGCTTCCTCTTCCTCTTCGCTGGCCTCGGCATGCTAGTCACCTTCACGGTTTGGACCGCCTGCAGCGCCGTGTACGCCAAGAACGGAAGCACCGAGGCCGGCTCCGCCGTGCTCGCCATGATCTTCCTCTTCTACGGCGTCGCCGGTCTCGCCTGGCCAGGTCTCACAGTCTCCTATACAGTTGAGATCCTGCCCTACAACATCCGTGCCAAGGGATTGACACTCTGCTTTGTCTTCACGCAGTTGTCTGGTGTGTTCAACCAGTATGTCAACCCAATTGGCCTCCAGAATCTGGCGTGGAAATTCTACTTTGTGTATATCGCGGTGCTGGTGATTGAATGCGCGGTGATCTACTTCTTCTACGTCGAGACGAAGGGTCCGACGCTCGAGGAGATCGCGGTGCTGTTTGATGGGGATGACGCGAATGTCATGGCCGAGCCTATGGAGGGGAAGAAGACAGTGGGACACTTGGAGGACATGTCGTAAGAAGGGGTGTAAGATCATCAATTGTTAAGTTCTCCATATGAATGATATGCTGAATCTATACGTATACTTTGTGGTACGTTGAGTTGACCGAGATGCGAGTTGAACACATCTCTTCGAGCTAGCTAGCTCCCAGCCACCACCCTGTACTACCTTCATTGAATGTATAACCTCTCGCACTTCATGTATTAATGATATGAATAACTTTAGGATGTCATCATATCCTCAAATGTCGACCGAGCATCAGACAACACAGTATGCGCGGTCCTATAAGTTTGGACACGCTTATCGTCACCGGCCTCGCTCTTCGATGTCAACGAAATGGATTCGCAGCGATTTCGCAGCGATACCAGTGGCTCTATTGTGGCCACAAGGTTCAGCTGGCCATGGGCCTGAGAAATACGTGGACGTAACGTCGCTCTAGGATACGCTATAGATGCATTGGCACAGAATTCACAAGTGGATTGAAGTTTACACAGAGAACCAAAGTCTCTGCCATAGATTCATTTTTATATCCTGTGCTTGAATAGGTACAGAGTAACTGAGATCTATGGGCCGATGATTCGTTGCCCATGGAGAAGACACTTACAGACCTAACACTTTACGAATTGAAGGCGAACTGTTCATACAGCGCAGGTCCGGTATAGGTCGGACCACCTGTTACCCCACCCGTCATATCACCTGCCCAGCGTTGGTAGATAGTGGCTGGAGCGAGCGTGGTGGTGGTAGTAATATTAACCACGAGTGTTCCATAATCTCCGCCAAGGTCAATAGTCATTTGATAACCTTCTGGGGCTCCGGACGTAGAAAGGGGTGGGTACTGGCTATTTCTGCCTGTTGGGCGAACCTTGATGCCAGAGCAAGAAGTTTTGATAATGGCTCCGTTGAGTGCAACGTACGCGCTTACATACTCAATTCCGTCATTGCCTAAGACGTCAAACCATACAATAGAGTAAGGTCCTAGGCGCCCATGGCCCCAATACCAGCTTGCCACAGTCGTGGTAAAGCCTTCATCACCCCAGTTCTGTCAAAGGTCAGTTTCAGATTTTTAGATGATCATATATAGTTGAAGGAGTTACCTTGTCATGGTAGCCCACACCGTTGAACTGAAGTTTTTCACCAAGGATGGTGAAATCTGCAATGGCATTCGCATCAGGCATAGCATTTGCCCAGCCGATGTGCGGGGACACTTCTAAATTTGCGCCAGCCACTTTTGGTGAGCATGGATAATGGGCTGGGGCAACCTAAGAGGGAAGGAATTCTGTTAGTTACGGCTTAATCTGTTAAGGAAGATTGCGCACTTACAGAGTTCAACTGCAGGGTACCCTTAATGCCAAGGACAGGGTTGTCAACAGTGACAGTGTAACTAGACAGGTCGGGCGCTCCTTCAAACGAGAATCCAGTTCCACCCCAGGTACCAGATGCGCCGTCGCCATTCGTTGTAATGGTTGCCGACCCACCAATAAGGGGATCAGCTAAAGGATCGAAAATCAGAGTTCCGTTCGGGAAGGTTGCGAATATGTCGACAGAGAGCACGGATCCGGACGGGACGAATGGAAAGCCGAGGCTAGTAGATAGATAGAACACTATGACAACAGCAGCCTCGCTGTCCGACGATACGGCATCGAAATACCACCAGTCAAAGGAGGTGGCATTCACCTCGTTGGTCAGCTTTGGCCCATCAAGAGCGGATGACCCCGAGACAAATTGAGCAATGCTGGGTCCAACAGCAATTTTATTGGGGACCACTAGAGTTGAAGCGGCTCTGGCAGAGCCAAACAGCGCGCAGGCGGCAAGACTAAGATGCCACAGCTGCATCTTCAGTTGGATGGCGAGTTAGATATTCCTGTTGAGAGATGAAAAGTTAGACACGGTGTGGGCTGTTCCCCAAGGACTTTCGTACCATACTTATAGATTTGATGTCTTGCTCACTAGAGTGGACAAGGTGGCACAATTTTCAGAAGTTAGATGAACAGGAATGATTCCGGCTAGAGAAATCACGCATTGCAAACTAACTAGCACCTAAAATGCACGTCGAGCCATTTGCAGGAGTGCTTGTCAGCTTCACTGACACAGGTCCTGCACGACGCGGTGACATTTTGTCCCACCCTAGTAGCGTTAACCAGATAAGCTTTACGGGGAAATAGATAAGCTTTTCGGGGAAATAGTCGCGTATATGCTGGCACCTGCTACCCTAATGATTGGGTACGGTCTTTTACACATACATCCCCCGCGTTTTACATTGCGTTTCCACTTCTATAGACCTTGGAGCCTGAAGTCTGGAACCCGGGGAAATGTGGGGGAGGGAACTGTAGCGGCAGGACCATGAAAATTAGTAGAGGTCGCTCCTCGATACCGGTATCCTGCAGTCACAAGTTAATGGCCCTAATACAATCCCCCGCTTTTGCATACGTTTTCTTCAGGGCCTTCCTGCCGCTTTTGACTCCATTTTCAGTGGCGTCCAACGATATCTGCCGTAGCTCAGAATTGCCCGCGTTTAGCGGGGGAAGCTAGCGGGGGAAGCCTGCGGGGAATCATACAAAAGTTGCCAGAAAGCCTTTTTTTCAAGATGTCGGCTTCACCAATCGACCAGATCCTCGGGGCCATCCTCAGCCAGAGTCATAAAAAAGTTGTCAGAAAGCGTTCCGTCTCAGCTAGGGCGCTATCTGTCATCAAAACAGGCTCTCAGCTATTCGGTTCCCCTGCTAGGCAGCATCTATCAAGAGCGTTGTCCAGACGCTAGTATACCCCAACCCTTCACTCAGAGAGACAAAAACATGTATTTTGAAGTCTATGCGAGTCAATGGCATCTTGTCAAATCCTAGTTGGTGCTGGGAAAACTCGTGGTTCCCCGCTCGAATGACACTAGAGAAGTTCGAACAGGGCATCGGCCGAAAGGAAATAGAATAAAGTAGCCTCTACTATATTAGCACATTTGATTAGTGATTCAGGCGATTGTATTATAAGGGAAGCTCTAATGGCATAAATGCATAAATGCAGACCCAAAGTCCGCATAGGAATGATCAATAGTTTCCTTTGGATCCCTTAGAGGCACTAATCCACCTCGTTCTTCACCTAACTCATTTACCGTCTCCGGAGAAGACCACTGATTCGAACTGTCAAATAAATGATGAAGAATTTCCTCTTAGGCCTCTCGGCCCTCTTTCTGGCTTTTGTTCCCCCTGGATTGGCTCATACGGCTCCTAGCTCAATCACCTTCTCTCCGCTCCTGTATCCGGGGCCCGTCGACGTCCAGTTTACATCTAGTCCTAGCGCTGCTGACGGCCCCAGAGTTTTTCCTATTAATGCGACGACATTTGACTGGTGGTACTTCGACGCTGTGTCCGATGATGGAACTCAAGCTGTTACAATCATCTTTTTCACTTCCTCCTATATCGGGTTCAGCTTCAATCCTACAAGCGCTATCGATCCCTTGAATATTTATGTCTTCGCTAACTTCCCGAATGGGACATCAACTTCGTTTCCTGTACCGGCGACATCAGTAACGATTACTACTGATGGCAACGGGGCGACAGGTGAATGGACCGGTACCGGTATTGGTTTTCAAGGAGCAGCTGACCTCAGCACCTACAATGTCACCTTTGACAACGCCCTCTTGGGTCTGAGTGGATCCATCTCTCTTGCATCTGTGAGTTGTTTCTCTGTCTTGTGGTTCCTAAGCTAATAAATACTCAGCGCGGTCCAGGTCATTATTACTGCGGCCCGCTAGAGGCAGGACTAGACGAGCAAGTGTTGTCTAATATCGGTTGGGCCAACGTTATGCCGGCAGCTGATGCAGTCGTTGACTTGACTCTCTCGGGTCAGCCATTGAAATTTAATGGAAACGGTTATCACGACAAGGTGAGTTCTATTTCATATCCCTTTGCGTTAGTCATTGTACAAATTGTTCAGCTACTGACGATCTGGTACCTAGAACTGGGGTGACACACCATTCACGTCTGCCCTTCAAAGCTGGTATTGGGGCCACGCAACTTTTGGCGACTATAACATTGTCTTCTTTGACATGGTTGACGCTGCAGGGGAGGAGAAGGTCGGGGGATATGCACTGCTCAACGGAGAAGTTATTGGTTCTACCTGCACTACGGGGATGGTGATTCGACCAGTCGGGACGCCATATCCACCGACTCAGAGTACTGCACTCCCTACCCAGCTAACAATCAATATGACTCTCAACGATGGAAGCACCCTGTCTGCGGTTGTGACCAAGGTAGCGACCCAAATTGATATTAAGTTATATACCCGCTGGATTGGTACTATTAAGGGTACTGTCCACGGTGTGACACAATCTGGGTCGTCGGTATGGGAGCAATTTGCGGTTAACCCTTAAATTGGCTATTACTTCATATTACTTCATATTATAGCTATTTACTCTGGTTCTTTGAGTAAAATATCCTTCGCATGCGACAATGGCTGATGAAGGGCTAGCTTAAATCAGATTGTAGTAATTTAAGTTATGGTGTAACGGGGAATCCGGCAACCATGTTGGAGGAAGGCCCCTCAATTACTACCCTCATTTTCTTCTCCATCGTTCTCCTACTCGCTCGCTTCTGCTTCCGTCTCTATAGAGAGCATCACATTTGTTAACCATTCCGTCAGACTCTTGAAAATATGCACGTCGCTGCTGTCCTGCCAGGGTGCGTGATAGAAAACAGCATACTCTCCATCTGGCGACTTAATTCCCCGCCTCGCCTTTTGGAAGGTTCTCCATGTCTCTGGTGGACACATGAAATGGATGTAGCCGTCGCAATCTGCCGGGGCACTGCTGACGTAGACGTTGCCTAACTCCGTTTCATCATCGTACTGAGTATCGACCAATTCTTCATATGTACTCCCATCATCACGGGTCCGCGTCTCATTTGTTTGCGTACTTTGAAAATCATCTTCGCCATCGTCGCCCATCCACATTGCGCAGTCATCAGCAGGGCATACCGAGACGTTTTTAGAGATACCACTCCAACCACCTCCTGCAAAATTCCAGCCCCCGTAGAAACCATTGGCAACCATTGCAATCTCTTTCACATCAGGAGGAAGCGGAGCGCCTAGGTGTTGCTCAATCTCAGTAATGCGTTCAGCTGTAATGGCGGGGAGAAGAATATCGGCTGGTGAGTTAATTCCGGCAGCTAAATAGTCTCCATGGTAAACAGAGAAGGCGGCTATCGAGAGTCGTTGAAGGAGATCGGATACCGGACTTTCAATTGGTTCTTTGTGGATGGAAACTCCACTCGGCCGTTCGAGTTTGGTATCGAGAGCTGTACACACTTGCTGCACAATTTCTTTCGCTTCTTCGGCGTTATATCTCTTAATTGGTGGATCAGACATGAATGTCATGAGCAATTGATAGAAAGCTGGATTGCAGAAGAACTCGTCTCCAAATCGGTAAATTCCAATTTGTTGGAAAATCTCGCAGGCTCTTTGAAAATGGCCAAGATACATCGTAATGATGAAGTACGAACGGTCGTTAAAGATGTTACCGTAGCCCGCTGGTAGTGTCATGGTCGATAGCTTTTCTAACGCCTCAAATGCTTCTTGAAGGGTTTCTCGACTCGGTGGCCTTCCATCTTTGGGCTGACACAACAAATGTGCGCAGATGGATTGGGTCCAACAGTCACTCGAATCCTTCCACTGATGTACATCATAGTCATCACCAATGGCAATCCCCTGCGTCTCCGTAATCCATGATGCATCACTCCACCCGTCGTAGAACCGCACATTCTCTGGGTCGCTGAGTCGCTTTTCTTCAGCGAGGCGCTTTTCGTCCCACTGCGGCCATGGTGTGTTTGTTGGTCTGCCTAAGAAGTAGCTCCAGAAGAATTCGAAAGTGCGTTCCCCTTGGGGCATGTTGCAAAACTCTGGCACTTGAAAGAGCTTTCCGAGAATGGCATTTGCGGCATCAGGTTTGCAGCTGACGATGAGATCATCAACAAATCTGATAATCAGTTCTGCAGGTTGGGGATCATAACAAGTCGGACTGTTGTAATCTAATGGGAAAGCAATTAAATCGCTGGCGCAAATTTGGTCACATGTCCAGCGAAGTACGGATCTGACTTCTTTGCGGATCGCCATAATTGACGATGCGATGGTTTCTTGTGATTTTGCGATTGAAGGACTGGAGTATGTACGTAGAAACAACGTATGTCGAATATGTGCAGACGATTAGGCATGGAATACGGGGACCACACACGAATTGTACGGTGTCTCCGGTGTAAGGTTAGTTGTTTCCAATGTCAGTAGAAACGTACAACAATGTTATCTTCTAATGTCAAAGTGACGGAAGTCCTGGTGAAGGCTCAGACTCTTACAAATCCTCATCGCCTATTGTGTGTGCATAAGAAGGTTTGTTGGGGGGAACGGACATTCCCGCTAGCACACGGTGTATGGAGGTGTTCGACGCTTATTTGTGTGGGGTCCCTGGCCCTGAATCATATTGTAATAACTAAATTGGGCAATCTGAGAGTTGAAGAATATGCCACACCTACATATTTAACACGTGGATATGTTCACATTGGGAAAAGGCTACTAGCATTTCAGCATGTATTCAGAAGACGTTATCAGTTGATGGATAGCTCGGATATATACGGTAGCGTGGCAACGACCATCTATTGTATGTCTTCTTCAGTCCAACCGCCATCAGATGGTGCCACCGACCCTTTGAAGCTGCAGAATCGTACCGTCCGTCAGGGCCTCACTATAAGAGAAAATCTCCTCTTCAGCACGTCCTACTCCGCCGGGGCATTCACTGCTTTCACATAACCGCGTTGCCATGGCTATACTCATGTGTTGTTCCCGAATCGGAAGCGTTCTTTGTGGCATGGCAAGCAGCATTGGCGATGTAGCTAGCGAGGATTCTGCAAGTGGTGCACATTGACTCTACCAACTGAGGCTCGACGATGTTATCGCATGTTGAGGCCGTATGGGGGTCCCGTAAAGCCGACGAGGTCGGTAGTCGCACGATTGGGCGATGTGTATGAATTGGTATAGTAAACCTTGAAGCTGCAAGGCTACAGGGTAACTTCTACGTCCTAATCCCCAGACACGGGAGTATTAGCAGTGTTTTCTGGTGAGCACGACAGGGCCACATCCGACTTCGGATTGGGCGCTGCTCTCTTGCCGGGATGCAATTGTATTGAACGCCTGGCCTGGGTAGAAAGGGGTGGTTTTTGGGTAGTAGTGCGAGATTTCCTGTCATACCAGTCCACGTCGCTGAGTTGTAGCTTCCGTGATCGCTGCCCGCTGCGGTTGCTCCCAGACTTGTCAGTCTTGGAATGCGAAACGCCAGCAAGCTTTTCAATGCCTGGATTATGTCTGTAAATATTCATGTTTGGTTGGATAGGTTTCAGTGAGGAATCACCATCTTGTTCTTCTCCTTCGCGAAGGTCATAGTTCAACACTAGACTCTTGATTCTCTGTTGCTCCTCTCGCTCGGCCTGTTGTTGGGTCTTCATGGCGATTGCGAAGTTGGAGTCAGACGGTAATTCGACCGTTCGAGTCTGTTGGCGATTTCCTCGTTTGGTCAATAGTGAGAATGCCATAGTATTGGGGGGAGCGGGGGCGACAACAGGTGCCGCATGTTCATCACTTCCTGACTCGACAGTGGATGTGGTTTCCCTGTTGCTACGACGCATGGGTAAAGGCACATCGAACATTGGCTTTCTGTCGAATTTTCGGGATTCCAAGCTCTCAGCCATCATCTTGGCATACTCGCGTTCGAAGTCAGCATCGTCCTCGGGATCGTATTGCTCATCCTGTCGAGTGACAACAATTGCTTCTTCCTCTTCGGACTCAGACCCATGGCGAGACACTTCATCGTCACCATTGGCTTCGGCCTCGTCATCTTCTGATGAAGACTCATCGCCATCACCAGCTGGAAGACCAGCATCGCCGTCTCCATCGTCTGACGATTCATCAATTTCAGGCTCTTCGACTTCGACAGCCTTCTCGACGCCAGAGGTTTTCTGGTCTTGCGCAACGGCAAGCTGGAATGCACGGCTGGCTTCTTCAATGTTTGAAGCAAGCTTCCATTGGGGCCTGGTTAAAGAAAAGGTATCCTGGACAATGAATTCAATGTCCATCGGTAGAGTGTCCTTGGTGTAGATGTAATACTGGAAAAACGATAGGAAGTAGTCAAGCTTCTTTCCAGCAGCCCCACGATTAAAGAATATGCCACAAGTCTCGAGGAGTGTAGCCACCAATCGAATTCGAAAGAAGTCGTCGGGCATATCAAAGGGGTTAACTCGCGCCGGGTTTGGTACTCCACCATGGCCAAATGTCATGATCTTATACATAGTATCGAAGATGACCGGATGGTCGACCATTCGATAGTTGTAAAGCTCGGCCAGGTACTTAACTTCAGCCAGTCTCCGTTGGTTGTACTTGAAATCGTTCTGCTCCAAGCCGAGTGTGATATACTCGAGAACATCATCGATCACGGTGGTGACGAAATCCTGATGATATCGATGCAGCGCACTGACCAGAATGGCGAGGAGATGGATGTTCCCATACTTGACCTTTCCTGGTTTCGAAAAGACCTTTTCAAGGATTTTGGTAACCTCTGGCTCTTCCCAGTGAAGCCTCCTAACCTGCCTGAGAACCTTCGTATAGTTCTTTTTGTTCATATCTAGATAGATGAGCTTTCGGATGAACAAATCTATTGGAGTGCGCTCATTTTGGAGTATAGCCGCCCGTACAGGGGGGTCAACGTAGTAAACGGCGTTCTCAATCAGCATACGCTCTTGCTGACCGATATGCTGGGCAGATTTCTTGCGCTGCAAAGTTTCCAAAAAGGATGTCATGCGCGGCGAGGTTTCGGGGTTCCGGAAAAGGTATCTGCCGCAGTTTTCGAGCAGGTTGCATATAATCTCAATGTTCATCCTCGAGAAATCATCCAGGCTGACCTTTAAGCAATGGAATATGACATGCTCAGGTACAACCCCGAATTTGGTAAGCTCGGCAAGGTACCGAATATTACTGAGGCGGACTTGCCCCAAGAAATCTTTCTCCTTGCGTCGCTGGAGGCTGCGGAATTCCATATCGAGGTGGTCCACCAGTCCTTTCGTGGTATCTGGCATGTATTTACCAAGTGTCGATATGAGGCGCGACCAGTACGGCAACAGGTCGCTACGGCCCTTGGGGACTTCCTGGACAGCCTTTATGAGGCGATTCCTAGATGCCTTCGAGTTCAAGAAGCAGAAATCAATAGCTGCTTGGTCGACGAGGTCTTTATTGGTGAGATCAGGCAATCGTGCAATTAAAGCATCAACTTGGGCACCGACGGTCTTATTGGCAATAGCTGTGGACTGATCGTCGGCTTCTGCTGGCTTGGCTTCAACTTTGGCTGCTTCTGTGCCGGAATCAGCCGCATCTCCCCTTTTCCCCACCTGCTCGTCCGTATCAGTCTTCTTCTTCTTGGTATCCTCCAAAAGCATGCCAGGTACTTTCCCCTTTAAGTCGACTAAATTCTCGTAGAATCTGCGCTCTTCTTCATCCTCCCAGATACCAGCTCCGTCGCCTTGGCCACGGAGGTATTCGCCAGTTTTAACCAAACCTATGCCACCATCGCCTGCTGCGGCAGGGTCTTCCGTGTCTTTAAGGTCTGGCATTTCTGCACCAATAGCGTCCGCGAGAACCTGGGCGTTGTCTACAAGTCGATCTTGAACCTTAACTTGCTTCTCGTAGTTCGCCTGGCGATCTTCAAAGACTTGGCCGGATTTGACATATGCCTCGGCGTCACGACGTGCTTGGGACGCGAGTGTCTTCTGGTCTCGAACGATATGAGCTTTAAGGTCGTCAAAATAGCGTCTGAGAATATTCCTGAAACGTTCTTGCAGTTCTGGTGATGCCAACGGCACATCTTCGTTGCTTGTGGCGGATATTGTCTCTTCGTCAGAGTCGTCCTCGTCCATCGTATCCCCATGGGCATCCGTGGCTCCATCTTCCTGAACAGTTTTACGGCCTTCGGCGCCTGCCTTCTTCACGCCAAGTATATCCCAGCCAAATGCCTTAACGAAAATAACGAGCAGTGGCAGGTTTGCATGGTCTCGGTCATGACCGAGCAAATCCTTCAAAACTTCAAGAGGAAATGGCTCGCTACCGCCGCCCTTCATGCTGCTGGCCGCTTTCACTTTCGCCTCACTAACTTTGGCCGCTCCTGAAAGCGATTCCTTCCCGCGAGACGCATCATCTGGGCGGCTGGCATCATCGAGCGTCCGGAGAACACCAACAAGCCATAACTCCGTTACAACTCTGAGAAGAACCCGCTGGCGAGTCAGGCGCTCCTTCTCTTCCTTCTCTCTCAAGTCCGCTGCCAAATTCTTAAGTAGTCCTTTCTCTGGCGTTGCCAACCCCTTGCCAACTAGCCAGCCAAGGTATTCTGTAAATTCCGCGGGTCCGAATCGCTGGTGTAGTGCGCTGACAATTTCCACTCCTGCTTCGATCTCCCCCGGAGATTTCAGTCGGCAAAGGCCTTCGTAGCAAGCGGATATAATTTCGGAGAGGTATTTGCTCAAGGAGAGGGTCCGGATCTCCTGGAGAAACGTATTGAGGGTGGCAGCAGTAACAGCAGTGCGGAGGCGCTTAATGAAAGCCGTATTCTTCTTGAGTGACGAGTCCAACGATTTACTGACAGGGAATACACCTATATAACGTTTATCAGCAGCGCCTCCAAATATTCAAGCGTGGGGGGGCGCAAACCTTTCTCTCCTTCCCATGCCTGAGCGTTCAAAACGCGTAGTTCACCTGTACAGGTCAGCAAAGGTCCAATCAGCTGGTCCTTGGTTCTTATCCTCTCACGTTTTCTTTTGCGATCCATGCTTGGCGCTGGATCGGTAATTCAGAGTATACAGGTATGGCCTTTAACCACCACATTCGTAAAATCTACGGGTTTCGCATGAGGAACCAGTGGAAGTATGTCGTCGGCCAAGCAATATGATGCATCTGTGGTGTTTGTCCTGGGCCAGGAAAGTGCAATCAGCTTGTGGCAGACGTCGTTATGAAGCTGGCGTTCGTGGCCCTAGAGTCGCGACAGGGAAGTGGGCTACAACTGAGATAACCAGAGAAATCGATGAGTAGTAGAAATTGACGTGGTACGTGATGGCCCGACCCTTTGATTGTACCCTTATCTAGCTAAACAGCTCATAGTTATTACCCCGTAGTCACGTGATTTTAATCATAACAAATGGTAACAGTTCAATTCGGTTTTATTTTGGGTTTCTCAACGTGAATTTGCTTTACGTTGATAACTTTGTAATCTCGAGAGTGTGAAGACCTGAAGCTCGCTGTTCATTCTTGCCTTCTTCAGTTTGAATACCCTCTTTCCCACTTGAATTCGCGTAACCTCGCTTACCAACTATGTGTCGAGTTTACTGAGCGGCTTCTCACCATCCGGGTGATATTCCTACCAAACACTGTCACGATCATCGCTGCCGTCATATTTATTTTTAGCTTCATAGTTATATTCACATTGGCAAGTTTATGAAATACAAATCATCCCCGGTCTAGTTTCGCCCAGTGCCGATCCCAGTGTCACGTCCCTCGCCTTGGTAGAGCCTCAAACGTCGTCTGCCAGAGGTCTCGCAGATCATCCATGCCAAACACCACCACGTTCCAGGACTCCCCCACTGCCCACCGTAGCCACCTCGCCCGAAGCGCCCATCACATCCAGATGGAAGCTGTGATGGACAGATCCGAAACTAACATAGAGTTATAGACGTCGAGTCTAGACTCGCGCCGGGGAGGTTCGCCCAGAAACTACACCTGAAACTCGCGCATCCCAATCCACCATGTTTGATTCTCCCAATGCCGTGTTTGACTGCTCTCTCCACCTGGCGCCATGTCCCCTTACCCCCAATTCCAAGAGCTGCCAGATCTGCACTCCACGCTATCAACTCTTGGCCCATATAAGGTATGCTTCCTTCGTCTCTAATCCATCATCTCATCATCAGCAGCTCTTTCATTTCTTCCTTTCTTCTTCATATTTCCAACGCACGCTAGCCGTCGCATTTTATCTTCACTTCGCCCATTCTTTCTCATTAGAAAATATTAAACCAAAAACAAACCGCCAAAATGCATTTCTCAACCACCACAATCCTTACCCTTGCGCTGGCCGCTCTCGCTTCCTCCTCCGCCATCCCCGGTCGTCGCTCCCCCAAGGGTGGCCGCGAAAAGGGCAATAATGGCAACGGCAAAGGCAATGGCAATGCTGCCGCTGGAGTCGCTGCTGGTGGCGTCGCTGGCGGAGCTGCCGGTGTAGCCGTTGGCGCTGCAAACAACGGCACCGCAGTCGCCGCAGGCAACGCCACTGCCGTTGACGCTGCAGGCGCTTGCCCACCAGCAGTCACAGTCACGGTGACCGAGACAGTGGGTGCGAACGTGGCGGCCGCGACTGACAATGCTGGTAACGCTGCTGCTGATGCTGCGGCTGCTGCCGGTCAGGACGGAAAGGCCGCGAAGAAGGCAGCAAAGGCTGCTGAGAAGGCAGCGAAGGCTGATGCTGCTGCTGCTGATGCCGCGGCGGCTGCGGCTGCGGGTGGAGCGGTGGCAGCAGACCCGGCAGCAGATGCTGCGGCAGCGAATGTGAATGCCAACCAAAACGCAAACGCAAATGCCAACGGTAACAATGGTAATGCAAACGGAAACGCCAATGCAAACGCCAATGCCAACGCCAACGGAAACAATCAGAATGGAAACCAAAATGGAAACGCCAATGCCAACGCCAACGGAAACAATCAGAATGGAAACCAAAATGGAAACAACGGTAACCAGAATGGAAACAACCAGCAAGGAAACAACCAGAATGGAAACCAAGATGCCGCTGGCGCCGCTGATGCCGCCGCTGCCAATGGAAACGCCGCAAATGCTGCTGCGAACGGAAACGCAAACGCAAACGCAAACGCCGCTGCAGGCAAGGCCGCCGTAGCAGCTGACCCTGCTGATGCCGGAGCTGCAGCCGGTGGCGGTGTCGGTGACCTCCTCGGCCTCCTCGGTGGCGCCGGTGGCGCCGGTGGAGCAGCTGGCGGCGCTGGCAATGCTCTCGCCGGACTTGGAGCTAAGGCTGGTGATGCGCTTGCGGGTGTTAAGGGTGCTTTGGGCGGGCTTGCGGGTGGTGCTGCGAACTAAGTCGGGTATGATGATGATGATTATGGTGAGAGAGAGGGGGCGTTTAGGGGATATTCTGGCAATCCGTCTTTGATAGATTGGATAGAATTAGGTTTTTGGTAAATAGTCCCTCGTCTTTGATAGACGTGATCGGGGTATATGTAACATATGAACAAAAATTGATGCCTTAAAAATACACCCTCGTGCATCCTACATTTTGTCTTCCTTTGAGACAGCGTGATCCTTGGTGTCTGTATTTGTAGACGCTGTGCCCTCCTCCTCTTAATTATTTGCGCCATGTCCCGTATTAACAACAGCCTCGGCTTCACGCTCAATTGGGTCTTGTTTGTGACTTGCTTCTCTCTCATCGCCCTGCCTGTCCCCTGATGGAGTGTAATACCTATTGCGTTCATTCCTGTCATCTCCCTTACGATCCTGTAATTACATCAGTTTACCGCCCTGTTTAAAAGCAAAGACATCAATGCAAGCGCTTACCTCCTGTGCCTGTTTCGCCGTGTAGCGATTGATAGACTCAATGAGTCGGTTGAGAATCCACTCTGACTCAGGCATATCTGACAGCATGGGCGAGTCTTCCCCTATCCAATCCCAATTTATGAAACCCTTCTGCTGCTCTTCCTCCTTCAGCTGTTCCCGCGACTCTGCCGTAAACCGGATCAACCTTGTGAACTCGGCCCATTCTTCATACGAATAGCGTTTAGGCGGGGAAACCTGCATATCCTGCGCCGCTTTCTTAATAGCAATAGCTAGCCTCCTGAGGATTTCATGGCTTGACATGCCTTCATGGATGAACTTCTCTATCGTTGGGTTCTCTACGTCATCGGCAGCTGCTTCTCCTGCCTCCTGATCTTGGTTTTGGACCACAAACCCACGCTCAACTCTTTTTTTCTCTTCTTTTTTATGCTGCCGCTCCTCGATCCAATTCTTCAGCCGAGGATGAGAGTCGACGAATTCTCGGACGACACCAGCACGGGGCATGATGGTCCAGTCGGCCAGCGTATTGGTCCAGTGATTAATACCCGATATGACGGTGTCGCTCATATCGGAGATTAAGGTTGTTACGATAGGAACGGCAACTAGAGACCAGAAGACGAAAAATGCCTTGCCAGCATTGCTTTTGGGGCTGAAATCGCCGTATCCAATGGTGAGCAGTGAGACGTAGCAGAAGTACAATGACTCAAAATAAGACATCCCCTGCTCCCTATCCTCAGCTATCCAAAAAACAACCGCGCCGACGAACCATAATATGGCGAATGCAAGGATCGACATCGATAGCTTGTAGTATTGCTTGAATCTCTTGGTGTTTCTTTGGACGTATCGCATTGCTTCAAATCTATCTTTCTCGTCTTTCAGGTAAATTAACCGTTGACGTTTCTCCACTAATGTTTCAGGGCCGTTCTTCAAAACTTCTCCCGGCCCATTCATTTTCGAAGTGGCAGGTTTGAAAGTAAGTTTGCGATGGCCATGGGATGCGCTCGATGTTGCGGCCCCGTTCGGCTTGAACGTCACAACTCTCCCGGATATATCCAGTTCGCCGTATTGTGCGATGGACTCTGTCGACACTGACCGCAATGAGTGCGGCGTACGGTTCCCATCACGACGCTTCGGGGGAGGTAATCCCAATCGGTCCCGTAGTTGCCCATCATTTGTCACGCTCCTCGAAACCGTGTCGGCTCTTATGCGTTCTTCGTGGGCCTTGACGACTTTGTTCCTTGATATGCCTCTTGCGAACTTGTGGATGCTGTTGATCACCAGACCTAGGAACACAATGCCTAGGACTGCATAGGGCATGAGAATGCCTCGGCCAGCATTGTTTGTCGGTACAATGTCGCCATATCCAACGGTCAGGATGGTAACGTCGCAGTAATATAACGCATTGCTGAAACTGAAGCCGCAGACTCGGCTGAAAACCCCAGCCCCACCACCAAGCCACAAGAAGAACATCATGGTCTGCAGGATCAGAGTTCTTTGATAATCAGTGAGATAGAAATTTTGTGGGTATTTTCCCAAAAGATATCCAACCATGTTGATGAGGAGCATGCCAAATCCCAGGTTGTATAAAACACATGCTATTATAGCATGCCAAAATCCCTGGGACCATGTTTGGCCAGGTCGTATTGGAGGGTTGAGAATACTCATGGCGACGATAATGCTGATCAGCTAATAGTAAGTTAGTAAATGGGAACAAGGGATAGCCAGAGAAGGTATCATACAATGGCAGACGATAAAAACCACATGAGAACCGTAGCGGGTAAGGCAATGATATATCGTACACGCCTTGTGAAATTGCACAAGAGGAAGAAATTGCCAATAAACCCAAAGGCCAGCGAGAGTCCGTTGAGTATGAGTTCCCTATTAGATCAGTAAGACTTCGAAAATGCTTCTGTAAGGCAGAACATACCATTTAGGATCCGGAATCGTGATTCCATTGTCATCCGCCCCTTCCGGCAGCTGGCCGTTATTAGGAAGTTGAACCCTCCACTTGGAGACAAGGCCAGCAATAGACAATAAATTCGCCAGCGGCCCTATCGTAGCAGCAAGCAGAGGGATCGCCGTTGATGCAAACCACCAAGACCTATACGTATATTAGAACCCATATAAAAAGTTGTAAATTTCGGGTGGCAAGTTTAGACCTACTGTGGCAAATCATCATCCTGATCTCGCAACTTCAACTTACCCCATCTCTTCAAGTAGCCGCCCATTTTCAAATGGGAAGCCTTTGAAGGCGCAAGTCTACCAGTTCATGTGATTTACCTATCCGCCTCCTATTTCAACCCATATTCCTCGATAGCCTTGGCGACTGCGGTGACGTCAAAGGCGACAGGGATGTTATCCTTGCGACAGGGCACTTGGGATATGGAGTCCCGGCGGGGTTGATACTATGAAGGACAGAACGCAACGCTTGGGAGGTTTATATATAAAGAAATACTGATGTTAGATTAAGTTAGATATAGATGCAGGGAAATCAAGCTTCGTAGATCGAATCCGTGATCCAATCACGGGACGGATATACCGAATACCAAGTCGAGATGCGAAGAGCCCCACCACCCTTCGCCAACCAGCATCCAGGCACGAGAACGGGATCGAGTTGCCGAGAGGAGTCTCTACAACAGACGTTATAAGTGAGCCTTCTTGTTCTTTCATTAATATCACTTCAATAATCGACCGGTGGTGAAAAAAAGGAAAACATGCGGAAGAAAAACAGACGATGAAAGGAAGAAGGCAAGTCGATATACCATCCCTAATGGTTAGTTCTATTACCATTAATGAAATTGAATATTTTTGTTACGCAGTATTTCAATATTGGACTTTTATAATACAAATCTGGTCAATATAGTCGAAATTTTATTGCCAAAGGGTTGTGAGCGTCCTTGGTTATATAATGAAGATGGCATGGAGTTAATATCTCGTCGCTGCTTCGTTCGGGGCCTCTAAAGAAGTAATACGCTTCGATATTTGAGACGCGGGCTTTGAAAATGGCCTCAGAAAATATCGTTGAGGAAGCCTGGAAGACAGACTACGAGCGACAGCATCTCTGCCATGTTCACGGATCACAGCAATTCACATGAAACCCAGCAACGCACGTCAAAAGCTAAGTTCGTAATGTGAATATCCTTTTCAAGGGCTATAACTTTTGGGTTTGGTTTTACAAACATTAGCAAGGCGGTTGCCCATATACTCCGCACTCCATCCCATTCGTCCCGTCATCCATTCCGCCATGTCGAAAGAAACATCTATTCCCTCCCCCGACATGATCCAGCGCCGCCCAAGTAAGGCGCTGACAGGTTGTAAAACTCTATTAAGTTGAGTAACGCATTAAAAAAACCGGAAGAGGACCCTGCTGTCCCATCCGTTATAAAAAGCCAGCGCTGATCCCCGTTGCAAAGAACAGGAGGCTAAGAGTTTGGTGGTGGTACAAGAAAGTTAATAAAAAAAGAGGCGATAAAAAGAGGCCATCGAGCGTCAAAGTGGTGTGTGTGTGTGTTAAAGGCCGTTACGTGGTATCATCGACAAAGCAATAGGAATGTTGGGGGTGTTTTCATGTGGCGGACGTGGGCGTAGAGACCTCGCTGTCCTCCACCGCAACATCCAGGCGTATCTTCTTGTGGCGCGACTCATTGCCTTCGTTCATCTCGGCCACTTCGCGCTCGAGGTCATCAAGGCGTCGCTTGAGCTGGTTCTCGCGTCTCTGCGATTCTTCAAGGTGCTGGCGCAGAGTGCGCTCAGAGTCCCGCTTCATCTCCTCGCCTCGTCGCGCATTGGCTTCGTCTTGTTCTAGCTGTGTGACGCGCCCCCGGAAGAGCTCGTTGATCAAGTCGAGCTCGCTGACGCGAGTTTTGAGAGAGGCATTCGCGGCGAGAAGCTGTTCGTATGTCTGCGGTACGTCCAGGTGGCGGTCGCCGTTGACGGATGACTCGGATCGACCAGGCGATGAGGCGCGCAAGTGCATTTGTGGTAACGAAGGCGAATGAAGTTGATGATCGGTAAGTTCGGACCCATTGAATGGCGCCATGCGATTACCATACATCGATGGAGTCCCGGTTCGCGATATTGGCGAGTGCGACCCTTCAGAATGGCCATTTTGCGATTTATGAGATGTGCGACGATGGCCGCCGAGTCCAGTCGGGGGAGGAGTGTTGGCTTGCGATCGCGCGTCGCCAAGTCCGTTCGATGCGTCAAAGAGGCTCTGATAAGGTAGGTTAGCACGTTCGGGCATTACTGGGGATTTCATCGATGTTTCCAATAAACATACCTTCTTCTTTTGACCTTGCGCGGCACCGGAGGTCTTGACGCGGTTTCGGCTTTTGATAACATCTGTTTTGAGGCTTATCGGACGAGGGCGACCGTGGAGCTTGAGGAAAAGGCCACAGGCGTTGCAGAGTACGGAGCCGATTTCATCTCTCCTCCATAGAGGAGTTGTTGATGTCGTGCAGTTCTGGCATATGGGCTGTGCCATATCGCGATCATTGTTAGACATTGTTGCCATAGTTGCGATACGGTGGAGAGTACGATAAGAGATTGAAAGATTTGAATCTTGGGTTGGGATGGGCAAGTCGCTGCCTCGCTTGAGACGTGGAGGGAAGGAATGGCAGGGCTCTGAGCCGTAAGCGAGATAATGGAACGGCTATTGGGCGCGAAGCCCGACTGCCAGTTGTCGTGGTACTTCCCTCCGTCCCTAGTCGCACGCACTTTCTTCTGTACACTATACAAAGTGTGGCATACGTTGGCGCATAACACAATAATATTGTGGGAGACAGAATAGTAAATAAACAAAAAAGAAGGAATATAAAACTTACAGGAGAATTCCCAAGTCCTGCTCCCCCAACACTGGTGGCCGATGGCGACGACGTGGCAAAGTTCAATCCCTTGCTTGTTGCTGTTCCAGCGGTAAACTGCCTGATTATCGGTGATAAAGTTAGCCCCCGTTCTGTACATGTACCATATCGTACCATAGATTAGAGTAGAATCGCCGATAACGATAAAGAAACTGCAGGGGTGACAAATATCTCCTGAACTCCCGAACGCGCCGTTCAAGGATGGAGAAACTTGGAGACGTCATGCCGCACCGTCCCGGATTGGATGTGTATGGATGTGTGTAGAATGTATAATGAGTTTGTAGTTACTGACCTCAGTGGGTGCGAGTCTGCGCTTGCGGCTATTGATGCCAGCGATGAGAGCGCGGGTAGCTGGGGCATCGACGCGCTGTGGTGTAGTGTCGAAGATACAGCCGATGTTGATCGAGGTTTGGCACCTCCAGCAGCAGTCAACTGGGGATTGGGATCCATCGTGCTGGCTGGGCCGAATGCGCGATCTTGTGGTCGTCCCGCCGGTGGGAGATGCTCGATAGGCCGGTATGATGTCAGTGTCGAAGCCATATTGAACCACGGTGTATATATAGGCGTTCAGTTCGAGGATTGCAAATATTATCGTCGTTTGAGTTGTTGAAAGGCGTCGTGTGTGAAATGAAAGGAAATCGATTGTAGGAATCTGTTCGTCGCGTCCTGATGACTGGGAATTCGTGAAAAAGAGAGCGTGATCTGGGAGCTTCAAAGTGCTCGCTGCTAAACCAAAATATGATTATATTATAAAGAAGGTGTAGGTGTAAAAGGATTCATGAAATATCGCCAGTCGACCGCCGAAAAATCAGGAAAGGGATTCTGGTTTGTGTTGTAGATACTGAGTTGGATTAGATATGTGAGCCCTCAGAGTTGGTACGCTGCCCCTTATCCATCGTGCCAAGAGTCGCGATATGCAAATTACAATCTATAAAAAGCTCCACCGAGCACACGGCATCCGGGGCAATCTGCCTCAAATTATTTGTGGGGAAGCAGCGTCACGTATTCCTCATGATAAAGCTCCGGTCTTACCGTTCAGCTCAGAACTGTACGGAGTAAGATATTAATTACTGACATCTGACAGTCCAAACGGGAACCATTACCGGTTTGACTGACGAGGTGCATAAGTCAGACAAAAAATCAGGCTGGACCATCATGACATCTCCATTGAAGAACTTGGATCGGCAAAATAACTATTGGCCTTGTTTCAATTCAGCTCTATCGGAGAGTATATTTTCCATAATAGTAGTCGTGATCAACTAGGTGGATACTCTAGACCACCTGTAGTTCTCCTTTTTATCTCCATATCCCAATCTGACCACGTGATATAGAAGGTACAGAGAGTACAAACCGTGGCGCAGACCACGAACAACTCTATTCACAATTCACGCCGTACGGTATGTGTTTATTTCATGTGACAAGCTGTATTGAAACTGACAGGCAGTAGCAGTACTTCATTCCTTTAGTCTCCCACTCGATTCTGTTATCATGGGCGTTTGATCAAGATGCCCAGGACAAGGCCACCCACAACGGGGTATGCTCGTCTCGCCCAAGCCGAGGACTCCACGGACGAGGAGGACGAGAACTACCAACAATCCCTACAACCCGCTGAATCTCGTCGATATGCTTCTATCAAACCTCCCCGGCCGAATGCTGGCATGTACGCCGAAGGAAGCAACGCCCAGCAACGATCCAGTCGAACCCGACACCGGGGCCTGAGCAACTCATCCGGCGTCGACATTAAGGCGATTAATGCGCGCCTGGAACGATGGGCGGACGAGATTGCGTCGAAATTCAAGATCGGGAAGGTCAAGGGAAAGAGCGACGAAGAGGAGCGCTTGGAGATACACCATTCGGTTTTCCAGGCACCAGACTGGATACGACCGGCTACCTCAGAGCAACTGGCAGCAGTCGGACAAGGCCAGATGACCGCCGAACAATTCGAGGCCACAGTGGAGAGCGTCAGGGTGGCTATCGAACAAGGTGTACACCCAAAGATGATATCACAGGGTAGCTCTGGTAGCTACTTCGCGCGCAATTGCGAAGGGAAAGTGGTTGGAGTTTTCAAGCCAAAAGACGAAGAGCCATACGCCGCTGGAAACCCCAAATGGAACAAGTGGATACATCGAAACCTGTTTCCATGTTTCTTTGGGCGGGCTTGCCTCATTCCGAACCTGAGCTACGTTTCCGAGGCGGCAGCTTATACACTCGATTGCAGGCTGGAAACAAATCTAGTCCCATATACCGACATCGTTCACCTCTCCTCCAAATCCTTCCACTACGACTTTTGGGCGCGGCGCAACTTCTACAGGAAGAAAAAACCTTTCCCGATGAAGCCGGGGAGTTTCCAGGTTTTCCTACAGGGTTTCTCTGACGCTACAATATTTCTGCGGAAACACCCCTGGCCAGACCAGTTAAATGGAGGGTTTAGGGTCAGCGATGCTCCACGGAAAAAGAGGCCGTGGAATGATCCATGCCGCCCAAGTGGCGCTGCGTCAGATGACGAAGATGACGGAATACCAAACGCTTCTACAGCGGAAGAAGCGGAGCAGAGGAAATTCTTTTGGACAGAGAAATTACAGACAGCTTTCCGAGAAGAGCTTGAGAAGTTGGTGATATTGGATTACATTATGCGCAATACGGATAGAGGTTTGGACAACTGGATGATCAAGGTGGATTGGGAGAACGAGTCCGTTTCTATTGTATCAGACCCACCAAGCATGCCTTCTGGAGAAGACACGCCAACTGCTCAAGCTCGCCCATACCGGCAGCAGGAGCCTATGTATCCTGGAAGATCCGGAAGAGGAAGTCCTGGCAAGGAACCAGAGCCAAGTATGAGTATCGGTGCAATCGATAACAGTCTGTCGTGGCCCTGGAAACACCCAGATGCGTGGCGAAGCTTTCCGTACGGCTGGCTCTTCCTGCCTGTATCACTTATTGGGCAGCCCTTCTCACAAAAAACCCGCGAGCACTTTTTACCTTTACTTACGTCGAAGCTATGGTGGACCGAAACTCAACTTGCTCTACGAAAAGTTTTCAGCCAAGATGTTGATTTTCAAGAGCGAATGTTTGCGAGGCAGATTTCGGTTATGAAAGGTCAGGCATGGAATGTGGTGGAGACGCTCAAGACTAGCGATCATGGACCTTTGGAGCTTACACGCAGGGCACGTGTCTGTGTCTGGGATGACCTGGTTGATATTCCAGTTGCTGTCCCAATGAGAGCGCCATCGCTTGACATGCGCCGCCGTCAACGCGAGGCAGAATTAAGTGACGAGGCTGGAGAGGAGATGGATATAAGCGTAGCCAACGCATCTGCGCCTGCAGACCTAATACGCTTTGGCAGCCCGCCTGCGGAACTGCCAAATCCTAACAGGTTCGAACTTTCGCCTCGACCTAGCGAGGACAACGCGAAGCTCTTCTCCCCAATGTCGCCTAGATCGGATGTGGCTTCACCAGAGGGAGCCGCATCTCGTCCCAGCGGTGATCAAGGAGGACCTAGCCGGCCGCTAATGGGCCGCTCGTCAACTCAGTTTAGCAGGCATGTTCCCCAGCATCCACTATCACAGGTGCATCGCAAGGAGCAGAGAAAATCATCCTTCTCGAGTTGGGGTGATAGTCACGGACAATTAATGAACGACAATGATGATTTGGAAGGAGATCTTGGGTATGCTGCGGCTGAAGACATGGAACACAATCAGCGGAAGGTGATTGTGGAACGATTGGAAACTGTCAAGAGCAAGAACCCGGTCTTTACGTGGTGTTAGAGATACGAAGTACTGTATTAATAAGTGGGAGTAAAATATACCAGCTGGGGCATGTAGGCATTCAGCGGGCGTGGTGGTTCTGAGGATTGGTCACCCTGGCTCGGGATTTGTAATTTGGGCCAAAAATGGCGTTTGTATTTGTACCACTACTATACCACCGGAATTCCGAGAATAAGATGAGAAACGTCAGACCCTATTGACAGTGTAATGAAAATTGAAATGTGCATCATAAATCTACCGTTGATAGGCTGATAATACGAAATATATATTATGGTTAATGTTTCAAGGCTTTGTATGTTAGAAGATCCTAGAATGTATTTTTATGCGTCACATGACGCCTTCGAAGTGGCGGGTTGGGTTTGGCTGCTTACTTATCATGTACATTGGCGATTTGTATGGGGAATCCGATAACCCCGAAGGCGCCCGCCGCGTCCAGCGACAGCCAGCCATCAAACCTTCTTCCAGTAAGCAACTTCAGATTGACGCCTCCGAAAGACTTTAGTAATCAACTCCGCCGCTCCCGCCTTATTTGAAGTCGCACATTGTCCCTATAATTAACGCGGGGCGCTGCCTTACGTTCATGAATCGCCAAGGCTCCCGCGACTATACATATACATATTAACCTGCCTCCACCAAGAGGCTGCAGCTGCCAAACGCAAAATATCAAACGCGCGAAGGGTGGAAAAATACAACGGCATTGCTGCATGTTTCCGTAGTGTAGCAAAGGGTTTGGGGCTGAGAGATCGAGGATGGCATCCTATGGCCAGGCAAACGGTATGTGGACACTTTGCGCACCCAAGTGATATACCTAGAAGGCGTCACCATACTGACTGGTCATGATACAGGACATTTGCGATCCGAAGACGCCGCTTACGCCTCCACTGTACCAACAAATATACACCCAAAATGGGACGCGGCTGCGCTACTAGACCCTAGGGCCTCTCATAAGTCTCACCAACCGGCCGCTCGAAATGAACAAACCACGGCAAACCCGCCGCGGACGCCGAGTATGATGTTCGAGTTCGATAGCCCGCAAGGCCAGCCTGGATTTGCTCAATATAGTAACTCGCTGTCGAATGGAAATGGATTTGCTGCGAACGGCCACGCGCATAACACCGGGCATATGCTCGAGCGCATCCACAACGTCTCGGACCGCGCATTTCTACCACAAAAGCGGCGCAAGTTAGACATGGGCGATAAGAGCTATGAATCCTTGCAGACTACCTTTTCGGGCGGAGGGCAAGAGGGCGTTGTTGGAGAGTATATAAAGGAAGAGAGAGAGGCTCGAAAGGAGCCCCCAAGAAAAGCGACAGCTCCCGCGGTAGACCTCACGGAAGATGATGAGGAACTGACGGTCCTCGGGACCTCTGACGATAAGGAAGTCTGCTATGGGCGTATTGAAGGAGCAGACATCAATGCTTTCAAAGTGCCCACCGCCAAAGAAGGGACAAGAGCCCTGTCTCGAGATTTTTGGCCTCATGTGAAAGTTAATCTGAGGCGGAAACAAGACAAGACTGCCATAGTGCACGTGGTGGATAGCACTCGGTCGGTATTTGGATGCTTGGATGTCAATACGGCAATCGGCTTGGTGCCACTTATTGATTCAAACCTGGGTATTCGAACTTCAGCAAAAATTCTTGCCCGGCAAAAGAAACCAGGCGACTTACCCCCTGGCGCAGACTGCTCTTGCAGATTTAACCTTGATCTAACACTTTACGGCGCCAAGAAGCATGCCACTCAGATTGGGAGACATCTATCGCAGAAGCAGCTATGGCTACGAACCCCACTATCTGTTGAAGCTGGAATTGAGCTCTGCAATCCCCACGCATCACTGAAGCAGAACCTCGTTCCTCGCCCTGGGGGCCGCTGTGTTGGCTACGCTCCAGCCTCTGCTGCATCGATGCGGACGGTCGAAGAGATCCGCAGTGATGTTCTTGGAATGTTCGACTCTTTACAACAATCCGAAAACCTCCCAGAAATGACACAGAACTCTCTTGTTACAACAGAGCTCCTTCCTCACCAAAAGCAAGGTCTCCGTTTCATGACAAACAAGGAAAAGGAGTATGTCTATGGCAGTGCTGAAGAGACAAACAGCTCGCTTTGGCAGCAGGTGCAAGGAAGCAGTGGCCAGAGAATATATCGCAATGTTATAACTTGCCAAGAACAACGCGAAGTTCCTAAGCAAGTTCAGGGGGGGATATTAGCTGATATGATGGGTTTGGGGAAAACACTGAGCATCCTTTCACTGTTGACTTCGTCCCTGGACCAAGCAGAAGCATGGGCACAAAAGACGCCACCAGCGCCCGTAGAAGACGAGGTTAGACTTCAGAGGAATACGAAGGCTACTTTACTCGTTTCTCCTTTGAGTACGATAGCGAACTGGGAAGAGCAGATCGGGCAGCACATTAAGGAGGGCGGCCTGAAATACCACATCTACCACGGTGGGACTCGGTGCAGGGAAATTGATCGACTAGCGAACTACGATCTTATCATCACAACCTACGGTTCGGTTGCGAGCGAATGCAACCGGCGTATCAAAGGGAAGCCAGGTCCTTATCCGCTTGAAGAGCTGAACTGGTTTCGTATTGTTCTAGACGAAGCACATATGATCCGTGAGCAGGCGACTCTTCAATCGAAAGCCATCTGCCGTCTGCAAGCTCAGTGTCGATGGGCAGTTACTGGAACCCCAGTTCAGAATAGGCTAGATGACCTCGGAGCCCTCCTCAAGTTTCTCCGCCTGAAGCCTTTTGATGAGAAGCGGGCGTTCGCTCAATACATCTTAGCCCCTTGCAAGAATGCGGATCCAGAGATTCTCCCGAAACTCCGATTACTGGTCGACAGCATCACTCTTCGTCGTCTCAAAGATCGAATCAATCTGCCTCCTCGACACGATCGCCTTGTCCGACTTGCTTTCAACCGAGAGGAGCAGGAACTATACGATATTTTCTCCAAAAATGCTAGTGACAGGGTTAAAGTTCTTACAAGCCAGCAAGAAAAAAGTCTCGGAGGCAAGGCGTATGTCCATATCCTTCAGTCAATCTTACGTCTGCGTTTGATTTGTGCGCACGGAAGAGAGCTGCTCGGCGATGAAGACCTCAAGATCACTGCAGGAATCACCAAGGATTCAGCTATCGAACTTGACGACGACAATGACGCAGACAAGCCAGCTTTAAGCCACAAGCAAGCTTATGAGATGTATAATCTCATGAGAGAGACGAATGCTGACGCATGTTCGATGTGCAATGCCAAGATTGGACGAGCTACGTCTTCCGAAACTGAGGTCGAAGGGAAAGACGACATGATTGGGCATATGACTCCTTGCTACCATCTTATTTGTAATGGATGTGTGAAAGAATACAAGAAAGCGCTTGAATCAACCTCGACTGATAAACGTCACTCGAACTGCTATATTTGCAAGCAATACATACGCATGGATTATTTCGCTTTGAAGGCAGGGCAAGTTGAAGAGGATGAGACTGCGCGAGCGGAGATAAAGGAGGGGCCGAAGCACACGAAGGCTCTCGGAAGATACAACGGGCCACATACGAAGACCATTGCTTTACTGCAAGATCTTCTGGCCTCGAAAGCTGAGAGCGACCTCATGGCTGACCAACCCCCGATTAAAAGCGTTGTGTTTTCCGGGTGGACATCTCATCTCGATCTCATCCAAATGGCTCTCGAGAACAACGATATCAAGTATACTCGCCTAGACGGGAAAATGTCGCGGACAGCTCGTGGCGCTGCGCTCGAAACCTTCCGCTTGGATCCTTCGATCACAGTCATTCTTGTTTCCATCAATGCGGGAGGTTTGGGCCTGAACTTGACGACAGCCAATAAAGTCTACGTCATGGAGCCTCAATACAACCCAGCTGCGGAAGCCCAAGCTGTCGATCGTGTCCATCGTCTTGGCCAGAAGCGCGAGGTTGTAACGGTTCGATATATAATGAAGCACAGTTTCGAGGAGAAGATGTTAGAGTTACAGGATAAGAAGAAGAAGTTAGCGAGTCTCAGTATGGATCGGGATCATATGAAGAACTCGACCAACAAGGCCGAAGCTACAAAGAAGAGATTAGAGGACCTCAGGAGTCTATTCAAATGAGGGCGGTTAATGACTGGGAATGGTTTATGTAAAGGCGTTTGGCATTTATAGGAGGGGGAAAACTGGCGGGTAAATTATAGATACTGGAGCAGACGGATACATGATAGCGTGGCGTATTAACGGGGTATATTAAGAGGAGGTGGTCTGCATACGATGTCCAACGTTTATAACAAAACCATAATTTTTTGCTCTTGCTTGGGGTGTAGTGGTGCTATTGCTTTGCTCAAAGTGCAGGTCACGAGTTGGGGATTAGTCCGAAGAAATAAAAATGTTCCCCTTGATTAATTTTTGGTTTTTAGTTTGATAATAGTAAATGATTTTGCACTGTTAAAACTATATTTACCAAAAGACTCTTTTAGGGTTGTACTCCGTCTTCGCCAGTTTGTATGACCCCAAGGTTCGGCCCGCAGAGTTTAGCGCGCTAACCACCGATTCTTCAGCCTGGACCGTCATCGCCACCTTATCACAAGTTAAGCCTCACTTTGCCTGTTTTGTTCTTCATTCTAATGTCGTAATGACCCTCTTCGCCCTGCCACTCTCATGGCAGAATGGCCGCATATCCACCTCCGCCTCTTCATTTCCCCAAACTGCTGGGCAATCAACAAACAGAAAACGCAAGCGCAGCTTCCCATTGAACTCGCCACCCCCTCCGTCCACACTATCCACGCTACCAAATTCTGTATTTGATTACCCATCCTCGCCTGCGCCAAGTACCAACCTCGATTATGTGACCAGCAACCCTCTGTCGCTAAACGCCGACGAAACCAGGCAGTACAGAGCTGCTGGGCTGGAACTCGATAAAGAGTTGCCCAGCAAAACTTACACGGGGTTCCCACATAGGAATTTACCATGGGATGCTGGACTTGCTACTGATGATGAGGATCGGGAATCGTCAAAAGCGGAATTAAGTTCCATCGAAAGAGGTAGCAAACCTTCTCACCTAAAAGTTCGGCACTTAGGCGTCTTGACGGCTATTCTGCAGCGATGCATAGCGGAAGGCGATATTCCGCGGGCATCCAAGGCATGGGCATTACTTCTACGAGCTCAAGTGGGAGGTAAAGGTGTTGATCTTCGATCCACAGGGTACTGGAGCTTGGGTGCAGAACTCCTCATACGGAGAGGCGAGCAGCTTCCAGCAGGCAACGATGGAACTAGTCGTGAAGGCGATCTTCAAGAAACTCCACCTCTAGACCCCCAGGATTCTGGAACTGTGTCGTGGGGCACAGCTGAGGGGCTTGAAAGGGCGAAAGATTACTACGCCCGGCTTATCCTTCAACACCCCTACAAACGGCAATATTCCACCGCCACTTCAGCACTTGATTTCTGGCCTGCAATGCTTAGCTGCGAGATCTATGGCATTCAAAGCAAACAGCAGCAATCGCTACACCAGCTAGTCATGCGTCAAAGAGACGGCAACAACGGTTCTACCTCTGACCATGAAGACTCTTTATCTGATGAGGAGTCTGAGAATAGCGCCGACGATAGTCTCGGCGCCACGCAGGAGGAAGTATACTTCGCAAGGCGTGCAAAGCGTGAATCGCGCACAGCGCAACGCCAGCAAGTGAGGAGTTGGAAGAAGAAGGAAGAGGTGCGCATGCACGCAAAAACTGCGGCGGAGAAAGTTGCAGCACGCATGGATGAGATAATGACGACCCCACCATTTGTGGATAGCCATGTACTGCACCGGTTGCGAGGGTATTTGGCCTTGTATATTGGGGATTTGAGTATCCTTTCACCTTGGGAGCAAAAACTTGGTGGTGAATCGGAGGGGGCGTCGGCGTGGGTGAGGAGGTCAGAGGCGGAGAAGGGTGAGCTACTTAAGAAAGAGATGGTAGAGGTGGCGAGAGCGCACTTTGATGTGGCTAAGCGGAGAGGCGGGCATATCCCGGACTGGGAGACAGAAGAGACTGCGGTTGGATATGAGGACGAATCTGCTTAGACGGCTCCTCTGTGGATTGACGTCCCGGACCTGCACTGTCCTGTCGGGAAGTGGATGTTGAGTTTGGACTCCAGTCACAAATAAGAACCAGATAATCCAGGTCACTAGTGTAGCTGTGGAATACTCAGTATAGACATAGTGAAAATGAAGTCATGAACTATCTTTGAGCAAATTGAGGTTTCATAAGCAGTTATCGGGCGATCTCCAACAAATTAACGAAGTCAACCCAACCTCGGTAGATGTGAAAGTGTTAACGCTATAGCCTTGTCCAAAATTTCCCAGCGGAATTCAATTCACGTCTTACTACGGACTATGTAATTCTAGTAATCTATTTAGAGTTATCTGTGTCTCCATAATATTTTTGAGGGCGATTTAGTGATTGTCTGTTTTCGCCAAGACTAGTCACCTCTCTCACAAAAGCCGCGTTTGCAACTACGGTGTCAACACCCGTCTCCTCTTTGACAGCTCCCTATTATTCTACATATTTGCCTACAAGTCGCCTTCGTACAATTCCAGCTCCAATATCCTCATTCCTTTGTTCTCTTGACCCCAACCCATCGCAATCCTGAATTAAACGTCTTGATGGCTGCCCCGCCGGCAGATCGGGCAAAAAATAAGGCGACCTGGGATCTACCGCAATGGCGAGAGATGATTGAGCTGGTAAGGGCGTATCATTAATATCTACATTACAGCCTTTAAATACTAATGGTAGCGATTGTATAGGTCGACTGTCCAGGTGAGCTTAATTATGAAGTGGGCGGTGAGGTTTGGAGCTCATTCATAACAGAGGTCTACGACGTCAAGTTTTATCCGTATGGGAAGCCGACGGATGACCCTATCTTCGCTGCGGTCGGAGGAAAGAAGGTCGGTTTCACCCCCATATCTTTGTGGTCGGCCTTGACTAATTATATTATAGCTAATAGTGTGCCGTCCAACTCATGCGAAGGACAAAAGAGTAGAAACCATCCAAGCCGTGGTTGACGAGGAGGTATGCTTCAAGGACCTAGTGGTATGGATGAAGTTCAGTTGCTAACTTATCACTAGCTCAATGCAGACAACTGTAGCATAGCTTGGGCGCAGGCAGAGGATGGCCGCCCGTTGCTGTGCTATGCAGGGTCGACGGCTCTCATCAAAATCATCGATGTTTTGACTGGCGAGCTGCTTCAGGTAAGTGACTTCAAGAGACTGAGAGGTTTTCTAATATTTACTTTTCATAGGTGCTCCCAGGTCATGGAGGGGTAAGCAGAACTGTAGATCGATGATAGTATGGATTATACTAACTGACAAAGGGAATATTTGATTTGGCGGTCCCGAGGACAAACCCTCACATCTTGGCGTCATGTTCAGAAGATTCGACCGTGAGGTTATGGAGCCTTCGAAAGGCTCACAAGGAGTCACCTTGTATCGCCGTCTTTGCTGGAGAGGGGCATTTAGATGCTGTGCTATCCATCGTAGGTTCGCCGCATATGTATATTTGACAAAATCTAACCTCATAGGACTTTCACGCAAATGGGCACTATATCCTCTCTGCGGGCCAGGATCATGTTGTCAACATGGTATGTATTTGCCCTTCGACACCTAGCAGCATGGAACTAAACTGGGACAGTGGACGGTGCCAAAGCTTCCGGATGAAAGTACAATAATTGAGAAGGCGGAAGCAATACACTATCCTCATTTTTCAACCTCGGAAGTACACTCGAATTCGGTTGACTGGTAAATGTTCTTCCATCCAAAGATTTACTCTTGCTAATGCCATATCAGCGTGCGGTTCTATGATGATTTGATTCTATCAAGAGGGCATGAAGAAGGCTACATTGTCCTGTGGCAAATTACACGCTTCTCGTCCGCAGCAGAGGTCCCTCCTGCTTCAGCAGCGCCGACTACATACGACCAAAGTGCCAGAACTCGATCCGCATTCTTCAAAGTTCCCGAAGGCGATAAAACAGCACAACGACAATACCAACGCCTTCTCCAGTTTGCCATACCACAGTGCAACCAATGGTACATGAGATTCGGGATGTACACCCCATACTCCTCTCTCCGGCATCCAGTCCTCGCAATGTGCAATTCAGCATCCAAAGTCTTCTTTTGGGATCTCTCCCGTCTGGTCGACTATCAAAAATTTATTACATCTCCAGAGACAGTTCTTAAGCCAAATTGGCTCAGTTTGGCTTCTCAGACGAAGAAATCCGGAAAATCAGATACGCACCGTTTGCTCAGCCAAACACCTATTGATGAAAGTGTTGCGACAAGCAGCGTTTCCTCCTTCAGCACGGAAACATTTGCGGCCGCCATTGATATCGAGGCGAACCGTGGCGCTTGGGATGAAAAATATGCGACAGGAAATCCCTGGAAGAGCCTGAAAGCGCACAAGATCGAGGGCATCCCAAGAGTGACAAGTGTTGGCAGAGCGGTTGCATGGAGTGAGAAAGGGGATTTCTGCGTCGTAGTTGGCTCTTCGGGTATCATTTCTGTGTTGGAGCGTTGGGCTAGGAACACGCCTGATATCAAGCCTGACAGAAGTACGGTAAATCCAGGCAATGCGAGTTGAGCTTCATCTTCTGTGACAGAGATGAAGGCGTGTTTTATGAATATTATGAAGCTACACGTAGCCTGGGCATAGCTCGTTTTCAGTGGGAAACCCCCTTTAACAACACTATGAGGAGCATCGACAGGTATTAGAACTGAGGAGGATATCGATGGTCGCATCAGCATCAGAGATGATATAATATCCTCCATGATTTTCCATATTCCTCCAGCGACCTCTGATTCCACATTGTGACTTTGCTAGCTCATGACATTGTACTTTAAGCTTCGCAGACCAAATTCACCACAAACTCTTCAAGTTTTGTCAAGAATAGTAGATTCCAAAAGGCTCTTTTCTGGCTCACACTGTACTACATGCATTTTTTGTTACAGGTGATACAATCTCATTCGCCATGAGACTCACATGTTGAGGAAAGTGGTACCTTGCGCTGGGTTGATCCGCTAGCTCACACTTGACTAGCGCGGAAGCTGTCTGTGACAGGGGTCGTTGCGTTACGTGGAGGTTGGTGTATAATCTGAATCTGGGTTAAACCTCCATCAGGAAAGAAAACAAGGGCATCTCGAGCTGTCTGAAGAAAACCTCCCATAGAAAGGGCACAAATCACCGGTATCCAACAGTTATTGCGCATCATCAAGCGCAACCAGCCACCAACCATGGCGTCCTCCGCGAACCCCTACCAGAACTATAGCCACCCTCAGGCTAGCGACCACGATGACGACCTCATCGATCCCGATACTGGTGAGTACTTTGCCTTTGGAGTTTGGGCAATCAAAGACCAAATGGAGTCAGCCTTGATCATGCGATTCGAATGTAGCTAATGTTCCCAGCCTCATTAGATGACCTCGACGACCCGCTAGACGATGCTCCCAACTATTCCGCACACGCACCCCTCACAGGGAATATCGGCTCCAGCTCCTCTTCTCGCCCCTTGAATGAGTCGTATCTCACCTCCGCGATGCCCGGCGACGACAGGCGCGCGCCCACAAATACAATCGACGAATCAGTCTGGGATACGCTGTCGCGCGACCTGTTGGCCGTTTGGTCAAAAATGCGCGAAGTGCTTTATCCCAAGTACCTATTCGGCGGCTCCATGATCGATAATACCACTACTCTTCGCGGGGCTTATGAAGGATTCCGTGCTGGCGGTATTGCAGGCGCGAGGGAAGAGGTTAGGAATATTGCGGGCCGAGTGATGGATACGGAGAACTTGCTCAGCCAAGGAAACATGAGCCAGGGGCTACGGGACTGGGATCTATGGGGTCCCTTGGTGTTCTGTCTGGCGCTGAGCTTATTGCTTAGCTTCAATGCGAGGCCAGAGCAAAAGAGTGTGGTATTCAGCGGGGTGTTCGCCATGATTTGGATTGGAGAGGCAGTGGTGACGGCGCAGATTAAGCTGCTAGGCGGTAATATGTGAGTCTACCATCCGCTACCCGCCGATTTCCGACGAGAAATGTGCTAATGAATTTAGATCCTTTGCTCAGTCTGTCTGTATTATCGGATATACGCTTTTCCCCCTCGTCATCGCCGCCCTTCTCTCAGCACTTCACCTCCCAACTATAGCTCGGATCCCAGTTTACATTGTTTTAATCGCCTGGTCTCTTGCGGCCGGTGTTAGTATCATGGGCGGCAGTGGCGTTGTTAAGAACCGTGTTGGTATCGCAGTCTACCCGCTTTTTGTCTTCTATGTTGGATTGGGTTGCTTGTGCTTTATTAGTTAAGCTGTCTACAGGGGAGAAGTAGTAGGAACATGGGAACGTCATGTATTGTACGAGGAGTTCAAGGAGTTGGGTTGCAGCAAGATATGTATGCTTAGATCACTCTTCGCTTTTCAAGTTGTGGGAAGAGAACGCTGCAGCAAGTCCTAGCATTCACAAGATGAGAGGCAGCCTGCAAGATTTGTTCATGTATTTTACCAAAGTATCACTGTATCAGTTCGGTCCTACATAAATGTTCGAGAAGGTTTCCAACGTGATGTTAAGAAACTACGTCACTCAAAGAAAACGAGTAATCATCTTTCGGTGGCTCTGATATCAGCATGCCATTTTCTCAACTCTGATTGAGGTGGAGTGCAAAATTAGGTTCGCCCTTTGATTTCAAAGTTGAGTCTCTATAGAAACCAACAAACCCCACAATCCACGGATAAGCGCCTAAACGTTTTTCCGACATCGGTCCAAGGTCAGGTAGTGTTGACAACAGCAGAATACGGTTGGCGGATTGCACCAACACGTTCGTTGCCTCACTCCACGAATGTTTCAATATCACATTCTGAACTTGCTAGTACAGGCAGCATAAAACATAATATTACACGAAATTATCGAAAGGAAAGCCACGATGGAGGGCTCCAAAACTCCTGAGCAAGCCATTGCTCACAAGCGCAGTTTCGACGATCAGCAAGACGAGGACTCGGCCACTATGAAGGCCAGCGAAGATCTGAAGCACACCCGCATATCTGACAAAGAGCCGACTGAGGGGGAAGCTTCCAAAGATGATGTTGGAATCGCGAAACCTTCGTCGGACAAGAGCGGCAATACGTCAGGTTTTACAAAGGAAACCACACCAGAGCGATCAACGCGTTCGGGCGGGGAGGATGATGGAATGATGGAGCAGATATCCTCGCCGAAGAAAAAGAGAGTCAGAGAACAAGATGAAGAAACGAAAGAATCCGATAAGATCAGTAAAGAGCGAGTTCCTTCGAATGGAAGCGCGACAAGTGCAGACCGATCAGATAGATTGGAGCCAGAGAAGAAACGCCATCGCGACACTTTGGAAGGCGGGGCAGAAGCCGCGGCCGTCGCTGCATCACAACAGGTGCGTCATTCAAATACTCCAACAACCATACTATGTCAGCTAACCAGTTATACCCAGGGCAAACAAGTTACCAACGGCGATGAAGGATCTAAAACAGCCGATAAGCCCAAAGGTAACGAAACCGATTCCGATAAGCGATTACAGAAAGGAGAAGGAGAAACATCTACCGATATGCCTCAAACATCGTCCTCAGCATTTGCAAGCTCCGGTTTTGGGGCCCTGGCAGCATCTGGCACATCTGGATTCGGGGCGTTGGCGGGAAAGCCCAGCATATTCGGTGGTGGTTCTGCTACTACAGCATCACCTTTCGGGGGGAATCTCAAAGAAGAAACTGCCGCCAATAAGAGTACAGATGAGCCAAAGGCCGGAGAAGCCAGCAGCACATTCGGTGGCGCATTCGGAGGTGGCTCTGCCACTGGCTTTGGAGGTCAGGCCTCTGGCGGATTTGGAGGCGGCTTCGGCGGTGCCTTAGGTGGTGGTGGCTTTGGTGGTGGCTTTGGCGGCGGCTTTGCTGCTAACCAGTCAAAAACATTGTCCACATTCGGTTCTGCAAACCCAGATACGACTACAGCAGGAAAGCCGGCGAAAGCCTTTGGTGCCCCTGAGAGTGACGAAGAGGAGGAATCAGGAGATGATGGCGATGCTGAGGGAGATGTTGGGTCTGATGGAGAGGATGAAAGCAGCACCTTCGAGGATAAGAAAAAGCCAAAGCTGACCAAGGGTATGTCAGAAATGGATCAATACCCAACAACCTGTCTCGTGCACCAGACTAACTATTATGCAGTGCCCATACATGATGGCGAGGAAGACGAGGTAACACTGAGCCAATTCAGAGCGAAGCTCTTCGCGATGGAATCGAAAGAGGAAGGCTGGAAGGAAAGGGGAGTTGGAAACCTGAAAGTAAATGTCCACAAGACTTGCGTTGAGTTTGACGAATATACTGGAGCTGTGGTTCCGGGGAGCTTTGACGTCTCTCTCCGTGATGACGATGATGACGCCCCGCCAGTCATCGCCGCGCGACTGGTTATGCGCCAAGAAAACACCCACCGAGTCATTTTGAATACGATCATTAATAGAGCGCTCAAGCTCGAAGAGAAGCCCTCCAACGCAGCAGGCAAAGGGTACATGTTTACAGCTTTCGATGGAAGTAGGCCAATAAACATGCTTCTGAAGGTAAACTTACTTCTTATATGCGATGATCGAGTGCTAATTAGAACTAGATGAATGAGAGCAATGCGAAATTGTTTATATCGGAGGTCTCATCCGTCCAAAGTGGGCTTTTATGAGTTTGAGCTTGATGAAACGACGTATACTATGCGGATAGCCCGGCCAAGGGCATCGTTTTGTCTCTCCCATTCTAAAATGCCGAGGCCTTTACAACAATGGGGGACGTCATATCATGCATTCGATGAAGCGATTGCCAGTCTTATAAACAGCAGAGCACAGGGAACACTTATGAGAACCTTTGTAACATTTACATCACGAACAATACCCGAGGGATGGATCTACGGTCATCAATGCATCATGAAGGTTTGGGGTTGCCCATAGCCTCTCCCATAGAATTCCAATCGAAACATGATTCCAAGAATCTATGCTCACTGTTTTGTATCTGCGTACCGCTCATAGTAGACTGTACAAGAGCAATGGAGGCTTCATAAATAAATACCCTTAAAACCATGTCAAAAACCACACTATAAGCGATGCCCTTTGAATACGAGTTGTAGGTCCAGACAACTCCTTTCCAACGTGTTTTAATCCCCTTTGAGTCCTCATAAATTCTCAACTTTTCTCACAATAATCAAGGAGTCTTCCAGAGCCTTGGCAAAATTGGGTTTCGACGCGAGAGCACGTGACTTGGCGTTATATTCTTTGTCTGCTTCAGGACGCGATAAATTATCAGTAACGGATGATGCGTCAAGCCATGTAAAGCGTTTGCATTGGCCAAATGCAGTTATGGACACCATAGGGGAAGCGCGGTTGCCTAATAAGGCCGTCCTCAAGCGCAAAAGAGCTGAGACTGGAGGAGGTGAAGGTGGAACGGGCGAGAACCCAGTTGTGGAAAAGCCAGTGGCAACGGTTGATCTTACAAAAGTTAATGGGGTACCATCAAAACCACGGAAGACTGCCAAATCCCATGCTTTACCGGCAATTCGTCGCTCGGCATCAGCTTCTTCAAGTTCTACGACCAGCAATGCTATATGGCCTGCCTCATTTACCACACTCGAGAAGACGCATCGGGCGCTCAATCTTGTCTTCACATTCTGCTGCGCACGCAAACATTTGGCTACCACATTTGAGACCATCAAAACAACTGTTGAAGGCCAAATAAAACGAGAATTAAAGGTAGAAGATGTGGCCAAGATAGTTGCTCTTCGCCCAACTGGGATTAACTTCTCGTTTGTCGACGAGGCTTCCCTCGATGTCGACGTGAGAGAATATGAGAAAGATGATGCCTTCAGAGGTAATGCAGTAAAGAGTTCTCGTCTTTCCGAGACAGTCGATGGGAACGAAAACACAGCCCAGAGAGCTGGAAAGGAGATTCTGCTGTTCGAGTTCTTAGATGGAGATTTGAAGCGAGGCAGCCAGCAAAAATCCGAAAAGGGGCCAAAGGCCAGCAGAAAGTCGAAAGGAGACGAGTTAATATTACCAAAACTCAGCCAGAAGCAGATGACAGACTTAATCGAGAAGCGAAATACGAAGTTCCACAATGCAATCAATGCGTTTCTAAACCGCTGTGAGTCTGCGAATGACAATCCCGAGGAAATTTTAGAGAAAGAAGCCCAGGCATATATCCCGGAGCCATCAAACTCCACGGCCGATGCGTTAGAGTCGAAGATCAGCACCCTTCCAAAGTCAATCCCCAAAGAGCGGGAGTCTATTTCTCAGATTATAAAAGAGGTTAAAGACTGCGTGTGGTATACAGGCCAGATTGTGCCAGACGGCCACCGTGTTTTCGACCCTCAAGAAGCCATATATGGTGACCTGAACTTCATACTCAGTCAGAATTTGGTAAATGCATTGTATAATACGAAAGGAATTACTCAATTTTATTCTCACCAAGCAGAAGCAATCAACGGGTTGAACGACGGCCACCATGTTATTGTTGCCACATCTACCAGTTCGGGCAAGAGTCTAATTTACCAGCTCCCCGTGCTACACGAATTGGAGCGAGACTCAAGTACTAGAGCAATGTACATCTTTCCAACCAAGGCTCTAGCACAGGACCAGAGAAGAAGCCTCAAGGAGATGATGAAGTACATGACTGGTCTCGAGGACACTTTGGTGGAGACCTTCGATGGAGACACAGCCATGACTGATCGGAATATCATACGTGAAGAAGGCCGAATCATTTTTACCAACCCAGATATGCTTCATATCACCATCCTCCCACAGGAGGACAAATGGCGCACATTTCTCAAAAACTTAAAATTTGTGGTCGTTGATGAAATCCACGTCTACAACGGTCTTTTTGGTTCCCATGTTGCTTTCATCATGCGCAGGCTTCGGAGGATATGTGCGGCTTTGGGAAATCGACATATCAGATTCATATCATGCTCTGCCACTGTGGCTAATCCGACAGAACACTTCAAGACCATCTTCGGAATTGATGATGTTCGTTTGATAGATTTTGACGGTTCCCCTTCGGGGAGAAAGGAATTTCTGTGTTGGAATACCCCTTTTAAAGACCCGGCGGATCCCTCAAGCGGCCGAGGAGATGCAGTGGCTGAATCCGCCCGACTTTTCTGCCAACTTATCCTGCGAGGGGTCCGAGTCATCGCCTTTTGCAAAGTTCGCCACAGGTGTGAATCTCTTGTGGCTGCGGTCAAATTTGAGTTGTCAGAACTTGGACGTTCAGACTGCATGGCAAGAGTTATGGGATATCGCGGAGGTTATACACCGCAGGATAGACGTCGGATTGAGGCAGAAATGTTTGAGGGGAAGCTGGTGGGTGTCATTGCCACATCAGCTCTCGAACTTGGCGTGGATATTGGATCTCTTGACGCCGTTATCACCGTTGGCTTTCCGTATACCATTGCAAACTTGAGGCAGCAGAGTGGCCGTGCGGGACGACGTAATAAGGACTCGCTTTCTGTGTTAGTGGGCGACTGCTTTCCAACAGATCAGTACTATATGGAGAACCCGGACGAGATTTTCACAAAACCAAACTGCGAGCTCCAAGTCGACTTGCAGAACATGCTGGTGGTTGAGGGTCACGTCCAATGCGCGGCATATGAGTTACCAATTCGGCCAAAAGAGGATTCTCTCTATTTTGGAAAATCTCTTCCTGCAATAGCGGAAGAACGGCTTGAGAAGGACGACCTGGGTTTTTATCATTGCAACGAACGATACCGGCCCATGCCATCCAAGTTTGTAGCTATACGTGATACCGAAGAGGACCATTTTGCTATCATCGATATAACGCACGGAAGGAATATTGTCTTGGAAGAACTGGAAGCCTCCCGAGCCTTCTTTACATTGTATGATGGCGGAATTTTCATGCACCAGGGAAACACATACCTTGTGAAAGAGTTTAATCCCGATCGTAAAATTGCTCGTGTCGAGCTTGTCAAGGTCGATTGGACGACACAGCAAAGAGACTTCACAGACATCGATCCGATTGAAACAGAGGCAATGCGACGTATTACTGGATCTCCGTCCCGAGCCTTCTATGGCACCATCAAGATCCAGCAGACCGTTTTTGGATTTTTCAAAGTCGACCGGAGAGGGCGCAAGATGGACGCTGTGGAAGTTGACAACCCACCAATAATACGCTTCAGCAAAGGAATGTGGCTTGATGTCCCCAAACATGCTCTAGATATTCTTGTTGAGAGGAGACTTAATGTCGCAGGTGCAATTCATGCGGCTGAACATGCTATACTGAGTCTGATGCCGAACTTTGTTGTCAGCATGCCTGGGGATGTGAGAACGGAGTGTAAAGTGGCCGTCAAGGAATTTGCAAGGAAGGAGACAGCAAGAAAACGTCCTGCGCGGCTCACCTTCTATGACGCAAAAGGCGGCGCTGGTGGCTCTGGGATCAGTACCAAAGCTTTTGAGTTTGTGGATATGCTTCTCCCCCAAGCGATTCAACGAGTGGAAGCTTGTCATTGCCATGACGGGTGTGTTGAATGCGTCAACTCCGAATTCTGTAAACATGCCAATGAGGTGATGAGCAAGGCTGGCAGCCAGGTGGTTCTGAAGAGTTTGCTGAATATGGAAATCGACGTTGACTCGTTGCCCATGGGGCCCGAACAATTTAGCCCTGCCGGGATCGAAACCGTAGTTCTAGCGGAGCAGATTCTACCGCGTGGAAGAGGACTAATAGAGGAGAACTCAAGTGCAGTGAGCGGGATGGAGTCGCTAGTTCCCGGCAAGTCGAGTGGAGAGGATGCAGACTTACATACTGTTGTAAAAGCTGAACCGTAGGATTAGCAGACTCTTGTAGAGTATTATGAATTACGGATTTATGAGAAACGTTTTGAAATTTTAATATTTATAAACATACTTTAAACTACAGAACGTCATGGCGTCTTGTTGAGTTCGATTATTAAATAATATTTCTTGCTAATAATACATTACTTGATATCATAGAAGCATTATGTAAATGAAAGATGGCTTGCACATAGAACGAGAAGATGCGAGCATTAAAGTGATTGTCTCGAACTTCCCGGCCGAATCTACGAGACGCTATTCAAAACCAGACAAAGATATTGTGGAGAAAGCCAACGGCGGCGTCTATATACACCCCTATAATAATTCCCTGCACAATGAATTCCGTTCGACGGATAAGGAGCAAGAGATCAGTAATAGTACCACTGGTATTCCCGTTTTGAAGGAGCGGATAGGTCCAGCTGAAAGATTGAGATCCGGAAATCGATTCTTATAAGATGGGTGGCCTAATATAGAATATTCGTACAAAGATATTATACCGTATATGAAAGATATGTTTGCTTGTTCGACTAAACGCGTCCTTTCATTGTTCTCTGTTCGAGGGCCGTTGCCACAGCACTGAAGCACCTAGACTATCTCCGCTGTTCGCGCTGATAGTGGAATTCGGTTCTAACTTGGACATAAAATTAGTTGTTAGCCTTTGACGTGTAGGCATTTACTCGGCAACACGTCCTCGCCCTTATTTAATAACCTTGAAGCACGTCTTTCTTCCTTCTGACTTACATCTTCCACCACAACACAACCACCACAACACAACACCACCCTTCTTCCTTCGTTGCTTCTCCGCTTTTGCTTTAAACCTTGGGGGTTATCAGAAGCCCCCTCAGACCTTTGATCAAACTCCTCCAGTTCAAAACATCATCTCTCGCCATAACAACACTGTGTGAGAATCATGGCTCCCTCACCCCACAACACACGAGCTCTTATTATGAACCGAAACAGTTCTCCTAAACTGCTCAGTGCATATAACACACGCTCTGCCATCATGAACCAGCAGAGTGCCTCTAACCACCTCAGTGCCTATGGCACACGATCTGTCATCACCAACGAGCACAGTGCCTCTGACAAGATCGGTGTTTCTGACAGGCTCGGTGCCTCTGTCAACCTTGATGCTTCTGCCAACCTTGGTGTTTGTGTCAACCTTGGTGCTTCTGAATACCTTGGTGCCTCTGGCCATCTTGGTGCTTCTGACTATCTCGGTGCTGACAAGCCCAGAGCGTCCAGCAAGCTCAGTGTCTATAGCACAAGCTTTTCCACCACAGGTCTGAAGAGTACCTCTGACAAGCTCAGTGCCTACAGCACGGACTATTCCACCACAGATCTGAAGAGTGGTGCCTCTGACAAGCTCAGTGCCTATGACATTCCATCCGTCAGGAGGAACCAGCACAATGCCTCCAACAAGCTCAGTGCTTATAAGATTTCATCCGTCACTAGGAGCCGCTTCAGTGATGTCTTGCAAGTGGGTCGGAAGGAGATCTCCCTGGATAAGCAGTGCCTAGACCCAGATTGCAACGACTTCTGCCAAGGTGCCACAGGTAAGGCGACAAAAGAGATCCGCCACCTATCCTCAATCGCTGACATGCAACTGTGTAGATAAGTCTTTCAAGACGGAGCCCGGGAGCAAGCAGGATGACTTCTCTCTCAACATGGACGGCGTCCTGAATGTCTTCGGTCCATTCGGCCGTAGCAGCTTGCCTCCTATCCCAGAGCACACCACGCCAACCAAAGCTTCCCAAGCTGCCGGTCCAAACCTCCGTGATATTGGGCTCAACACCAGCAACCCATCTATCAGTGACCCCGATCTGCTGGTTTACCCAGACCTTCGCAAACGCGTTGGGAGATATTTCGAAACCCGCAAGCCAACCCCTGAGGGCTGGACATGGTCCGTCGACGGCAGACTCAACGCCGCTGCTCCCCTATACGCACCCACCCAAAGCTCCACCAGTGTTGCGTTGACCGATTCATCGACCATCGCCTCTGGCAGCGTAACGGAGTTCAGCCAAGCTGGCCCCTCTCGCCCGTCGACGCCTCAAATGGGTCCCTATCAAATGGGACTCTATCAAATGAGCCTTGGCCCGCCAACGCCTCAAATGGGCCCCTACCAAATGGCCCTCTATAAGACGAGCCCCCCTCCAGAGGCCCCCCTTCAAATGGCCCTTGTTCAATCGGGTCCCTCTCAAATGGGGCCCCTCACAGCTGGGCTCAACAACCCTCTCGATCCGATCGCCGTAATCGGCAAGATGCGAGAGATCCAGACTGAGGGCATGCAGCCATTCGGGCCATCTCGTTACCTTAGTCATCCCAATGGAAACCCCACCGGCAACCCCAACGGCAACTACCTGGGCACCATGAGTGCCGCCTCCAACCAGATGACCAACCTGCCCGACCATTTGAACACGTGCATCTGGGTCGAAGGCGCGCCTGCCGACATGACTTACTACGAGATGCTGAGAAGCATCCGCCACTGTGGAAAGGTGTACTCCGTGCACATCAACCCTCCCAGGGAGAAGCACTTCACTGCCGCGGCCAAGATCGCTTTTTGCACTCGCCTCGGGGCCGAGAACTTCTTTCACCAGGCCCACTCGGGTTATGGCATCGTCATCCGTGGCCGCCGCCTCTGTGTCCGCTGGAACAGGAACAAGTACCGTGAGAACTTCAATCGCGGTGAGTCTCGTGTTCTGAGAATCTCCGGGCCCTCGGACTATATCAACTACCCGGTCCTAGCAGAGTACTTCAGCCGTCTCTTCTACTTCAATCTCATCTTGGTTCAGGAGGTGTCACCTGGAGTCATGATCTGGGAGTTCTCGAGCATCCTCGCTCAGGCTCATTCGGCAAAGCAGGCTATTGAGCGTGAACCTGCCATGATGAACCTCGTCCGCATCAAGTACGAGCGCGACCCTTGCGAATGAAGTGGGCCAGGACATTTGACTGCTTGTCTGGCGTCAATATTTGATTTCTTGATTTTGTGTCGAAAAGTATGGCGGAGGTCGAATATCCTCGTAATTCCGTTTTCACTTGAGGGTAGTGGAATGAGTTGGAATACTGGCTCGTGTTGATGCTGCCAATGAAAGAAAATTGGGTATCTGGAAGCTCATACATGCGTTCTCACCGTTGGGTGAGCGTCATCCTGTGTAAATGGATGGAATGAATTCTACTGGATAACAATGTAATCATGCATTGAAGATGAGGAACGCCGATGCTGGATACAGAGAGGACGGCACTACCTCAGACATGGTCGAGAATGGAAAGTAGCCTAATGAATATGAATATTTACAATTGTGTCACTACACATTCGCCATAGTGACTACCATGCCTTCATATAATTCGGAAAATCTTATTCTCCGCCAGCAACTAACCGGCATAAGGAGCCCCTTGCCACCGTTCAAGCTTGATTTTCACAGCAAACACAGCACAAGCAATGGGGGTGTGTTAAATTCGTTTGATTCCTATGTATGCAGTCTGGAATCCTTTTTCCATGTTCGCCATCCCCTTCTTAAAAAACAAATATAAACGCGCTCAACCTGCAACCCAATTTCAAGTTATAAATAGACTTATAAATAGACATAATGAACCCGCTATGCACAAGCAGAGGTGAAATACAAACACAATACTATATCGTGACACTAATGTGCATCACTTATCAATGGCCTTCCGCCGGAGCTGCAGTTTCTCCTTCAGCTGTCCCTCCATGGTGTGCAGGATTCGGGTAATAGAAAGCCGCCACGGCAATGATGATGTATACAATCACCAACAGGGCCCCCTCCAGGTAGTTGCTCTTGCGGTCCTTGAGGAAATTGCCGACGACAATAATGGACAGGATGACGACAACAATCGTGAAGAGGTCAAAGTTTAGATCCAGCTCCCGATGAAGGCCCCAGCTAACGACGACAGCCAGAGGTGCGTTGAACAGTGCAGTCTGGATAGTTGCTCCCAGAACGTGGGCCAAGGCAAGGTTCATGGAATTGTCCCAGGCTTCGTCGATGGCAGTTATGTGTTCTGCGGCTTTCTCGACAAGTGGGACGAGAATTAAGCCCATAAATAGATCTGAGACTCCGTTATTCTCGACTATGTGGGGGATCTCCATCACCAGGGAGATGGCCATTAAAGTCACCAGCGCGACGGAGATGGCCAAGGCAAGCACAGACTCCGTCAGAGTGAGTTTGGGCTTTATGATGTCGTGTTCGCGATCCGCATCCCCATGCTCATCTTTCAAGAAAATGGCATCGTAAATGCTGTGGTGAGATCGCATATTGAAGAATATGTAGAAGGCGTATGATATGATGAGCAGAATTGCCGTGATTCGGGAGATTTGCAGAACTGCTACTTTCAGATCCGCAGGTGTAATATCGGTACTACCCTGAAGTGCATTGTAGAAAGCTGTCGGTACGACAAGACCAAGGCCACTAGAATAGAGTTAGCTTTGCACATATGATTGTCAGAAGTTGAGAGTTACGCAATAAGTAAGAGACCATTCCCCACTTCACTAATGGCCTCATCGAACGTCTGCTCATCGCGGCGAAGGCCACCAGCGAAGAAGCAGAGTCCGAGACAAAGCAACATAGTCGCCAGGATAGAGCCCAGTATAGCAGCTTGGATGACAAGATATTCGCCCTGGGTGAGAAGCACCATAAACAGCACAATCTCAACAATAGAGCCAAACGTCGTCTCCATCAAGACTCCCAAGACTCTCGGCAGCTTCCGACTGAACTCCTGGCCAGCGAAGCCAACAAGGTTGGCACTCGGGACCATGGCGATGTAGCTGAGGATGAATATAACCACGTTGAGGTCGGGTCGGGCGTATCGAACTGCGAGGGCAGCGGGCACAAAGGGCCACAATATGTTGACGAACATCGATGCCCGGCATGATGAGATGAAGCAGATTCGGAGGAAATGCCACGGGTGAATCCAGGATCTGCCGCTCTCTCCATCGGGGGCAATGCCTTTCGTAACTCGCAGACCAGCTTCGTTGATGACATGTTGCCCAGGTAAACGGCGCTTTTCGGATACAGCTGCAGGTGCAGAAGAGGGAGAGTTCATTTCCACATCAGTGTCGGCGGGAGCTGTGCCCTTTTCCTCCCCGTCTGGCGCTTTACCGCCTCGGTGGAAAATTCCCATGATGAGAGGTGATTGAGGTATTGGGGTTGTCGGATCAAGCTTTTGGCTGTCCCTACTGAGTGCCACTCGTGTGCCAGCAGGAGCGTATCACGAAGTCGTCGTCGTTGGGCTTGGGCGGTTTAAGGGAGCTACAGTCTTTGTTGATGCAAGTAAACAAAGCACAACAATACAGTAGAAATAAGGGAAGGGGGAACGTATACGAAGGGAAATTAACAAGAAAAGAGCGTCATCAATGAGAGCAACATAAACTTATTCTGTCTGGTACTTGCAAAACACATGAGCCAGGGACGTCTAGACAACCTTGGCATTTGAAGGCGCAGCAAGTAAGTGCGGGATATGCGCTGGGAAATGCGCTGGCATCAAACTGGTGGACTTGTGGACTTGTGAAAATGGTGGAGTGGACTGGTTGGTGGCATCGAATAAGGAGCAACATTTGGTAAACGAGGGTGTCAGAGAAACAAGCAACGGGACAGCTTATCTTGGAACTCCTGAAACTACGGGAGCAATAGATCTGGCGGGTTAGTACGGGGCTTGGCGCCTGGGTTCCCGCCTCCTCCACAGCAATTTAACAGGCGCTAACACAGCTAACCCAGCTGATCCCCGGGGTTTGCAGGCCCTCCCGTGTATTGTACAGGTGAGACATCAGCTGAATCCAATTGTGATTGCCATCGAATTGAGGAAAAGATCTCCAAGCCAATATTAGGGAGTGTCCCGCATATGTCGACGAATAATATTCACACGAAATCTCACCCGAGAGACCAATTACATGGCGTATTGGTGGATTACTTCTTATGCGCCTACCATAAGGGGTGCTGGACTTTATTCATAAAGTTGTGATACAAGGCAAGCAGCCGCTCAAACAGTTTGATCAACATCTTCAGACTATCCCAGAAGCAGACCGAGAACACTGAAAACGATATGTTATGCCCTATTATATAAACAAGCTCCAAGCTCCATGCCTCCTCCCTACTAGTTCTACAGCTCTAACCGGATCAGAATCCCCAGAGTATTATTGTACATTACAATTATCCTTAAGTCTTTGGTCTCGTCTTTGCGTCAAGTGAAATGGGTATCATCAATCAATCGCTCTACAACGTCACCGTTGCGTCTCCCTCCCCACTCTCGGCCGGTGTCTCTTCGTCCAGGTTCAAAGTGTGCACTGGTGGCTCCTTTTCGCTGTCTTTGGCTGCTTCAGGCGTTTCTGCCTCCTCTTCCACCTTCAGTTCCTCCACCTTCTTCTCATCGGCGGATTCTGGCTCCGAAGAGGCATTTTCTGATGGTTTGCTGTCGTCGATTTCAATCTTGTCTTCGCCCTCCTGCTCTTTGGTCACCTCTGGGGCACTCTCTGGCTCCTCTGACGCCTTCTCTGGGGAGTCATCAACGATGATTGTCATTTCTGCAAGCTCCTCGTCAGGCTCCTGGTGCGAGACCTCACTGTCCTTGATCTTCTCATCTTCCTCTTGCTTCGCCTCCTCCTCTTCTTTGATTTTCAGCGTCTTTAAGCGTTGTGCCATGTCAGACTCTTCCTCGTCAGCCTCAATAACTGTAGTCACCGCAGCTCCTGTTGATGGCGAAGATCGTATATGTCTCCTGGTATTGGTACGACTAGCAGCCGCTAAGTGCAAGTCCTCCTCTCCAGTAGTTGATAAATTGCTCAAGACAGGTGGTTCAGGCTTCAGTATGGTATGTACGACTTTAGGTTCGGCAACTGGCTCAAGGCCCTCCGCCTCGGGGGGCAACTTGTAATTCTCTGCAGGTAGAAGCTCGTAGTTGTCGCAAACAGTCTTGAATAAAACGTATAATCCTGTTTGTCCCTCCACCTGCCAGAATACGCCCTTATGTTGAAACCACGCATGCGCAAAGATGCGGTGGAGTCGCCTGAAGATATTTGTCAGGTGCTTGACGCCGGTGCTTTTGTCGTCCATAACATCTCCCGAAGTAAGGCTCAGACGGCTGGGAAAGATCTTCTGGCTTGTGACTATGTTGGTCGCCCAGTCAAGGGTATGGCAGCAGTAATCGATAGCGCAGCAGGACTTTGGCGACTCGTGAACGGCGCATAGAAATTGCCATTCCGAAGCGCGCATTTCGGGGCAGGTGGATGCAGAGCATGCTGGTGTGTCGAATAGAAAGCCAACAATGAGATCGTTGCACTTGTTTATGAGGAAGCGGCAGAGCTCGTACAGCCACAGCGCACGGTCGACTCCAAATGGAGGTGTAGCTAGAAGAGACGCGGTTTGCCTGTTTATAGGGACGATAGTTGATGCCGATGGTCGGGTGTGGTGGTGGTGTAAGGCTTTGAGATGCTCTTGTAATTGGAAGGCAGAATCAAGCTGGGGATTTCTTAGTATCACAGCGCACATGCAAGGGAGCAAAGTTTTTTACCTCCATCAGCGGCACAAGCGGTGGCCCAGCAGCCATGTCTGCTCCCTTCGTCCCAGGGTGAATCCTCCTGCTTGAATTCGAATCTATAATGCTCTGCTCCATGGCATTCTCGAGGTTGTTGCTGGAATCTTGAATGGACGGTGACTTCGGGCCAATCTGGATTTCTGTTGGCGGCGGCGGGCTTGGTAGCCGCGGTGAGCTCGGGGGCAAAGACATCTTGGATCGAGGCTCAAGTTGAGGAGTTGGCAACAGTTAGTCCCCTGAGAGCACAGCAGGCGCTTAAATTCGATGTTCTCTTGTCACGTAAGCTTGTTCGGTACAGCAACCAACGCGGTCGTCACATTAGAAGATCTGGATCATTGGTCGGGCCGTTGGCGCCAGTTTCCAAAATATATTGACAGCTGTGGCACGTGACAAACATCGGATTTATACATCATGCTCGTTGGGACGGCACTATTGTTTTTAAATTTGTAGCTTGCTTTGCAACCCCATAGACGCCATGGATATATATGAAGATGATGAGCCTCCGCAGCTCGTTGACGCCGAAACTGAGTTGGTATCAAATGAGGTAGAGGATAAAGTTGGAGACAATGTCAAGGTACCTCTTACAATTGTCACTGGTAAGAAATTCAAAAACAGAAAATAGAAATGATACTGAACATTTATAGGATATTTGGGTGCTGGAAAAACGACATTGATGAATTACATCTTGACTGAACAACATGGCAAAAAGATTGCTGTGATATTAAATGGTATTGTCACCACCAAATACTACCCAGCAAAATAAACTGGAGCATACTGACGTTATATTTAGAATTTGGAGACTGTAAGTCAATGAAAACCGCAGAAATACTGTGTCTAAGCTGATAGATGTAGCCGTCGATATTGAAAAGTCGATATCCGTGAGCAAAGATGGGGACCAAGTGGAGGAATGGCTAGAGGTTGGCAATGGCTGCATTTGCTGCTCGGTCAAGTCAGCAACCTCAGTAATTCGAGCCCAGAAACGTACTAATAGTATCCAGAGACATTGGAGTGACAGCTATCGAGACGCTCATGAAGAAAAGTGGCGCATTTGACTATATTCTCTTGGAAACGACAGGTCTAGCAGACCCGGGGAATATTGCACCGCTGTTTTGGATGGACGAAGAACTTGGAAGCAGCATCTACCTGGACGGCATTGTTACTCTCGTCGATGCCAAGAACATCCTCAAGAGCCTTGATGAACCGGCCCCTGAGACGACAGATCACGATGATCACCATGGTCCAGCCCTTACTACTGCGCACCTTCAGATCTCACACGCAGACGTGGTTGTTATCAACAAGGCTGATCTTGTGAGCGAAGAAGAGTTGGAAGTAGTCAAAGACCGAGTGGGAGCTATCAACGGCCTCGCAAAGATACATGTTACTCAGCAAGGCAAGGTTCCACAACTTGAAGGTTTCCTTCTTGACTTGCATGCGTATGATAATGCTGAAGGGATGGATATGGCTGAGAAGGGCCACAGCCACTTGGATCCGGTAAGTTCAAGCTTTCACTTTGTATATCATCCCGGCCACTAACTAGTATTAGAGGATCTCAACTGTGACGATCAAAGTCCCCCCTCTCAAGGAGGAGCAACTTTCCAAGTTGGACGCTTGGCTCCGATCCATCCTCTGGGACTCGAAATTACCAGATTCGTCGACGGAGCCTGCCACGACCTCCTCGGAGCAATCACCGTTTGAGATATACAGGCTGAAAGCTAGACTACCGATGAGTGATGGTAGCATCAAAATCGTCCAGGGTGTTCGAGATGTCTTTGAGATCAAAGATGCCTTGGAACAGACTCAGCCTGAGCTCAAGGAGGGTAAGATTGTGGTGATTGGAAGGGATATGGCAAATCTAGGCCTTGAGCGTAATTATTTCAACACTGTAGATGCATAGCATTTGTAAAGCTATTTGTCTCAGTTGATAGAATCATATTTTTTCTATGAGATTAACAAACGTAAGAGGCCTGCGAGTATACTTCTCCAAACATTCACATGCTTATCTTAAAATGCTAAGAATGCTAGTTAGCGGAGTAATATTGTCAGCTTCTGAGTGAGAACCGTCCATTTGAGAGTTGGATTTTTGCTCTTTGTCGGTTTGTTTTCACGTGCTCCCCATTCACGTGATATATTAGTTGGTTGTTGACATCGTCGCCTCACATTGGGTCATAGCCGAACCACGCGATACCCGATCCAGCTACAGCAAGGCGGTCAACCGTCCCTTTGAACCTGACGATAGCATCGCATAGCATGCATGTCCACGTTAACATTGTTTGAACTGCACACATAATACCTCCAAACCGCAACCTCTTGAACAGCCGAACCTCCACATATCAATCGAAACTATAGATATTTCACGAACCTCCCCCTTGTCCCGACAACATCCAAGTGCTAGCAACTATGAACAGACCAGGTTCGTGCCTCTCGATTCTCGATTGCTACGCCTCCCCAGCCTGCCCCGCGCTTCCACGTCTATTTGCATAGCTCCAGTTACCAGAGTACTATCGCGTGGCGCTCATGGATACTATCTCTTGATACTTTTATGCCAGGCACTGGTAGCCTCTCTTCAACACGCCCCGCGCTATCATGTCGATACAGGGAGGCGGTTACCAGGGCACTGTCGCGTGCTGGGGATACAGCCTCCTGCTATTTGTTATACCGGGCATTGGCAACCATGTTTACCGTGTCAGGCATTGGCAACCCTATTCGATGTGTCAGGCATTGGCAGCCTCTTGCGATGAGCTTGGAATACCAGTGGCGTTTACCCATGCTAACTACTGTTAAACAGGAGCAGCGCCACAGTCGCTCCGTGGTCTACCGAACGGCTTTTCGAGTCAACAACAATCAATAGGGCCGTCGAGGAATGCCCCGGCGAGGATGGTCAATGGCAAGATGAGTGCGGATACAACATACCCAGCCTGGATGTGGACAGATATTGATTGAGACCCTATAGCACCCAGCAACGGGGCCACTTGGGCATTTGGCGGTGTCCCTATGGGCACCGCTGGGCTTCCTAGCCAGCGACAGACCACTGCTCCGATGACAAGTTTTGCCCAATCGATTGGGAGCTCTCAACCAGCAGCCCCTCTAGATATGTCGTAAGTGCTGTCATATTTCCTAGCCCTGAGTTTCTTTCCCCATTCACTGTTGATTCATATATGCTTCGTCGTTGCATCGCGACAGCCACGAGGTGGTTTTACCGCTCTGGTTGTAACCCGTTGCCGATTCCGCATCTGTCTCCAGAAGCTTGTGAAATCAATATCCAGCATCAGAATCACGTACTGTCAGGGGCAGGGTTTCATGCGGAGTTGGAGCTAATATAATATTGATAGTGAATTCCCATCACTGTCAAATAACCCTTCACACCAAGCCTCCAGTTCTGCTCAGTCCACATGGGCAATGCCAGGGGCACGTCAATTAGGGCAGGCTGCGACCCATCGGCCGCAACACGGCATTCTACCTGCGCAACAACAAAGCCAAGCACAACAGCAGACCCAGCAACAGCAAGATGATCTTTTCTCCTCGTCATCCCAGCTCCCAAGTTCTCAAAGTGGCTTCCGATTCGGTGGACAAAATGCCGTGGGACAGTCATCTCAACCTCAAGAAAGTGCTGCGGAAGAGTTCCCCCCGTTAAATCGGAATGCAAACGGAGAGATTGGCCAAGACCGTAATCTGGGCTCGTTACAAAGCCCTGGTTTCGGCGCTCCTTCAAGCACCCTCGGGTTTCCTGCTGGGGCCAGTGGCGCCCAGGCTTCTAGGAGCAACGGCCTGCTTAATGCAGTCAATACGGGCAACAGAGCTGCGCCGACAAACCCGCGCGATAACTCAGTAAACGTTCCAGGTAATTTGACATAAACCCCGGGCCTTTATTGGGCAAAACTTACAATTCATCTAGGTCCTCCAGCGTCTCAAAATCCACCATCAAGCCTTGAGAAGGAGATAGTATGTCATTCACTTGTTTATGGAGGTAGTCTCTAACTGTGACCAGGGATTCAGCAGACCGCCACTATCAGAAGCCGCGGACAGTTTAAGTCCACACGGCCAGCCAGCAACTGCAGACGCCAAAAGTGTACCTTATAATCAACCTATACCACCTCAGTCTCAACCAAATGGGTTTGAAGCCGACCCCACGGATGAAGCTGGCCCTATTAGCCAAGATCCGCTTCCAGGGATGAGTGACAGAGACCGATATGGCCTTAAGGGGCTGATTGAGATGCTCAAAGGCCCATATCCAGACCAGGCTGCACTCATAACTGGTGTTGATATTGCCGCTTTGGGATTCGACCTGAACACCACTGAGTGAGTCTTCCCCTTTTCTCTCGGATTTCGGAGATCGCTGATTACTAACTATCCTGCAGGCGTTTGTCAGAGACCATCTGGTCACCATGGGATGACGTTCCAGCAAGGCCGGATATTCCACAGCACACTATTCCAGATTGCTATCAGGTCCACAACGTCCAGCCCATCGAGAACAAGCTGTCCAACTTCAGCGATGAGACGTTAATGTTCATGTTCTATAACAACCCTCAAGATATCCAACAAATGATTGCAGCGCAGGAGCTGTAAGTAGCATCACTCTCGGATCGTGTTCTCACGTACTAACATATTCTGCAGTACCAACCGCAACTGGCGTTATCACAAGAAGCTCTCAATGTGGCTGACGAAGGACGACATGATGCAGCCGCAACTCCTCGGAAACGGCACAGAGCGCGGCTACTACGTCTTCTTCGACCCGAAACTCTGGTCACGCGAGCGCGTAAGTTCAATCCCCATCCCCACCACCTTTCACAGTGGCCGTCACTAACGTCTCCTAGCGCGAGATGCTGTTAAGCTACATCGATCTGGAGGTTGTCCCCAACGGCCCAGCAGGCCCGATATCATAGTCCCACAACCACGGAACTGGACGTTTAGATAGGGCCCAACATAGCTTATTCCCCGGCCGCCGCCTCTGGTGACCCCTCGCGCACAAAAAACCTTGTATTCCGACCTCCGTCCGTCCATAAACCCTCTCCCTTCGCTCCGGTCCATACACACACACATACAAACCCGTTCTGTACCATCTCCCATCACACCGGGTCACCACGGCGATCTAGTCACAATTCCGGCGTTTCCATTTTCCAATCTCGTTTTTTTCCGTCTCCAACAATCCATTTCTCAGGCGCACAGTTTCGTCACCACCGGCGGAAGGTGGTGGGTGGGGGGTTAAAGGGGGAAGGGAGGATGGGGGTGTTTATATGCTTTCTTTGTTTTGGGTGCTCTGCACGGCTGGGGGTTGGATGGGAGTGGTGGGGGCGTGGCTACTGTGTGGCTTGCATACTTGGCGGGGTTGGGAGTGTGTTTGTTTGTTGTTTTTTGTTGTTTGTGGGGGTTGGTTTGGGGGTGGGGGTTAGGAATCTGATAATGGAGTTGGTTCTTGGACTTTCTCTTTTTTGGGGGCCGTGGTGTGATTGTGATGGTTGTGTGGTGTCTTTTGTGAGGTTTGTGTCCTAACTGCAGCTGGAGGCGGCGGTGGCGAGTGGCCGATGTTCGATGAGCCCACCATAGGTGCTGAGTCCAACTCCGAACTGGCACACGCCGCCAAGGTCGTCTACTCCTGCAACGAGCGCTGGGCACTGGCACACTTCCCCCGCGAGGTAAAAAGTACAAGCACCCTCTTTCAGTCTCGCGAACACTTCCATTTCCATAGGGCTGCCCCGAATGATCCGAGGGAGTCCCGGAGATATACCCCCCGTTCTAGAAAAGATGGACAACGGGGATCGGAGCGCCAAGGAGTAACTACTTCTACGCGAGCCCGGATGTCTGAGATGCTACTACTACTCTACGGCTGACGAGTTCGGATCGGATGTCTTAGATTCGGGGGGTGGAGGCGGTCAGTGCAGAGGGGACAGGCGCGGTTGCCGCCCGTCGGTAACTGGGGAATAGGGGAAGGAAGGGAGGGAGAAGGGGGGTATTTAGGGGGTCTCGACGAGTATATTCAGATCCCCGGCGCCGAGCTGGTGTTGGGCGAGAAGAGAGGTGTAGATTAGCATAGCACGCTCATATTGTACATCCTGTCCATACGCCGCGTATATATATCTACTCATACCAAACCTTCCTCCCCCCCCTCGTCTGTGCGCCATCCATTCACCCAACACCCACACCATCGGCATCGGTACAACGTACTACCAGATCCCACCGCCCCCGTATCTCAGCCGGGAAGGAAGGAAGGTTTTCGGGATCCCGAGGGCGTGGGTGTTGGATTCCGGACCAACCAACACGGCTCGGTGTTGGGGCCGAAAGGGGTTATAGATAGGCTAATATTGGGAGCCCGAGGGTTTGGTAGTGGGTTTGAATGACTATATTGGCTTAGCTAGATGGCATCTATCTACAGTATCACGATGGGTGAAGGAGTTGCTGGTCACGCGATCAGAGATACTGGGTGTAAGCACGACATTGACATCGAAACTGATGACTAGCAACCTCCTCACTACACATAGAGGTCAGCACCACCAAGCCTTTGCCAATACTACTAACACCACCACAACCACGTGTCCCTCATCCGCTCCCCCCTCTCCTCCCTCCTCATCCCCTTTTCAACACCCCCCCCCTCCCCTCCATCCGAAGCAGCCTCCCCCCTGCCTCCCCATCCGGCCCCCATCCCCATCCGGATACGAAGCGGAGATGAGCCCCATCCCTTCCCCCCCGATGCGACACTGCCACGTTTTAGGGCTGTCAGGGTAGTTGGGCTTCCAGAATATTCGAACGGCAAGGGCGGGTGGTGTGGTGGGTGGTGTGCAAGGCTGTGATGTGTGCTGATTACGGATGCAGGGGAAAGGGGGATAGGGATGGGGGTGGTTGCCTGCGCTGATGGGCTTGGTTGTTTGCAGGGGGTGGAGGGAGTTTGATGGCCGCCGGGGGGGAGGGGAGGGAGGTGATAAGTGACGTGTCGCTGTGAAGATACGAGTGAGTGAGGTAACTTATCAGTCGACGCGGTTTATTTATTCGGTCACCTCCGTCCGTTGACGGGAACGTTACAGAAGGGTGAGGGTGAGGCGTTGAATAGGACCGAGATCGTAACATACATACATGATAGGGGATAAGGGGGTCGGGGGGAAAGGCAGGATTAAGGAGAGAAAAAACAACACTCGGCCGAAAGCAAACAAATAAGGTGGCCAGTCAGGTGCGGGATGGGGGATTGGAGGTAATCTTGTGAGAATTAGGATCATCGTCGTCATCGATCGGGCGAGCATCCCTGTCCACTCACTCACTTTGGAGATCGCGTTTTGAGTCCGGCGGCGGCGGCGACGACCGTGGTACTGAGGGTATAGTAACAGTACAATATGGTACCTTGCTTCTGGTTGTAGATACAAACATTCACCAAAACCCTCACGCACGTATCGTATTTACTGTACTGCGGAAATAAGACGACACAGGTAATGTAATATCGAAGTAACCCTCCCTCCCACCACAGCCCATCTTACCTCGGTGTTTCCACAGGGTCCGGGATCCATTCGGGGATACGCGAACGGCGCTAGAAGCACCGTCTCATCTTCTAGAAGGAATGTAATTTTAGCAGTCCCCTCCTCCCTCCCCTGTTATTTTTCGTCGGACCCACCGGGGGCGCACGTGGTGTGTGTCGGATTTAAGGAGAGGACGGGGGGCAGGGGGTAGGGGTTCTTCCGTTCTTTGTAGGGGGTTGATTGAGGGTGGGGTGTGTGTGCAAGTCACTTACTGCTGCAGTAGCAGGTTGCTATTATAACCCTTGGTGTGTTTCAGGTTTGGGGTGCAGGCGGGGGATGACACGCTGACACGTTTTTTTGAGGTGGGGGGAGGAGTGGTAAGGGTAAGGGTTTGGTCATGCATGGAATACAGGTATGAGGAGTGGAGGGAAAGTTGAGTCGTGCTTTTTCCCTGGACCGGGGTGGGACATGGGGATAAAATGAGCGGGTTTATAGAAGGAATTTTGAAGAAAGAAGAAACATACTCCGTAGTTAGTACTGCTATATCTCTAGTTCGTTATAGCAGTATAGTTAGTATAGAGTAGTACGATCTGTTCAAATAGGGCTAAAATTGCCTATTACGGAAAGATCGGTTCTGTGCGTGCGTTGAGTTAAGCAGCGTACTTATAGTGCTACCTAGGCAGATAAAATCTCATCATTTTCTAATGGTAGTCGGCATCGACGGTGGAGGTTTCGCAATCCTCAGTCAGCAATTTATTATCACTCAGTCAGTCGGTCGAGGCACGTAGCCAGCCCAGCCCAGAGCCCAGCCAGCCAGCCACCCTCATGCACATCACCACATCAGCGCCGCAAGCAAGCCACGACATGCACGCGAGATGGCTGGCTGCTGTGGTGGTGGTAATATATCCTGATCGTATGAACGAACACATGCTGCATGGCTTTGTGCAGTTCGCATATATCGTATATATACACCTTGCATAACACCCATTATATCTGCATATAATAGAGTACAGTTCTTATTACACATCCTCTACATACCCATACCATACTATACAGTATCGTATCAACCCCTCCCTCTTTCCACACCTCCAGCAGTTCCACAGTAGCAAGCCCTCCTTCCTTTCCACTCCCTTTTTTCCATAGCCATAGTATTATCCCCCACCCACCGCTTCCCGAACCAGCACACCTTGCGAAAAAACCCACCTATCTACCTTCTGAACATCTCCTTCCCTAAAACCCCCTTCAAAGCCGAGCCGGTACACCGCGTGGTCAATCCCCACACGCCCCGTCCCTGCCCTTGCCCAGCTCCAGGACCCTGCGCGATGACGATAACGTCCCCCCCCTCTTGCCCCTCCTTTACACCATACCATACCATACCATACCATACCATACCATACCATACCACATTCACATTCACACCGCGCCCAGTCCAGCCTGCTTGCTTGCTTACCACTCCTGTGTAGTGGTATTGTGTATGTATGTGTGTGCCGCCGCTCGCGCCAAAAAGCGCAAGCCCAGCGCCCACAATGCACCACAAACAATGGTTCGCGCCCTCCTGCACGCCCAAGCCGCGTTATTGGACGGCACAACACGGGCACAGGCAGAAGAGAGGGGGGTTTTCGAAGGAGCGCCAGGCCAGGCAGGCAGGCTGCAGGACCCCTGGGGGGGGGGGGGTGGTGGATTGGGTTGGGTTGTAACTGTACTTTTGGGTGGTGCGTGCGCGGCCCTCTTCTGCTCTTCTCTTAATTACAGTAGTTAAGTAAGTAAGTGGTTCTAGGATTGGGCAGGGGAGGGGTGTGTAGGGTGGAGAAGGGACCCCTGGTGGTGGGAAAACGTGGAAGACATGGATGGGGAGGGGGATGTGTGGTCAGGCGAGGGATGGGATGCATGCATGCCGGTCGGCGGTGGTTGGTTAGGGAGGGGTAAAGGTACGATATTAGTGGGAATTGATTGAGTGATGATGAGTGAGGAATCGGTAATGATGATGCTAATGTATGTATGGTACGACGGCAGTAACTACGAGTATCAAATTCCTGCTCACTCCTGCTTCTAGCTGATAAATCGCCGAACCCCTGGCGCGGGTTTTACAGGTGGAATAGAGAACGGGCTTTTGGACGCCTGGATGGATGGGATGGGTGAGTGCATTGCATTGTGTCCGATAGTACACGCAGGAGGAGTTGCTGCAGGTGTGCCATTCGATACAGATTACGAAAAGGGTACCCACGTGGCCAACAAGCTCCTCCGTGCATCAACGAACCGTCTGCCTGCCGTGCCTAGGGGGGGTTTATGTAGTTCCACGTAACTCACTCACTACCCCTCCTCCACGAACTGCTGAACAATCATGCAGCACGGGAAAGAGAAGAAAAAGCTATACAGAAGCTAGCTAGCTCTGCCTGCTGTGCCGCTTTCCCACCAATTCATGCCGGTGCAGTCACAGCAGTACTGTACTGTAGTTAGTTAGTTAGTATACATCCTCACCTCGTGGCGTGGAGGGGACCTTGGCGATTCGCGGTCTGGATGGCGGCACACCGTCCACCTGTTCATACCGAGGGAGTGCTATTGCAGCTTGACGTGTCATCGTAGCGTGGTATCCCAGCTAGTATCAACAGCAAGGGGTGTAAGGTGGGTGTAGTGTGGTGTGCAGTGCTGTGTCTTGGGCGTCTGTCATCCCCATCACTGAGCCGTTTATTGGCCCACTCCACCCACTCCGAGCTCAGTGATCTAGCTACAGTAGCTTCGTGGAGAGTACAGTACAGTACAATACGGAGCCTGATGCTCCATCGTAGGCACAGACACTTAAGTAAGTTAGTTCTTTCCACCTCCCTTCGGCAGACAAACGGCGGACCAGCACCTAGGCTGAAGAATTTTTCTTCTTTTCCTTCCCTGTGATGTGAGGATGAGAGTAGCTTGGGAGCGGTGAGGAAGAGGAGGTGCCCACTAGCTGTCAAGATCGGCACGCGACGAGGGGGGATCCTTATCGTACGATGCATGCCCTGCGCCATGGCGGCAGACTAACTAAACCAAGACAGCTGTGCAGCCAGCCAGCAGCAGCAGCACCAGCAAGCAGCAGCTTCGTGGAGCTCACGCACGCACGCCGGCACCAACACAAGCTGCTGCATCTCAGGGTCCTTCACGCCGGCACGCACATAGCCCTTACAACTTAGCCCTAAAATCCCTAAAACGAAGACAACACCTCACTCCCGTCGTATTGCCGGCAGATCACCCAGATCTCCCCGATCAAAACAGCGTGGACGCTGTGACCAGCGGGCATTTAGGAGACTTTCTGTACACCTGGTGTCGCCCACGCGCCGTTTGAGAGCGAAGGAAGGGTCAACGGTTGATCCGTTCATCGCCTCTGAGACATCTCCGGCACAGGCACCACCTCCCCCACTTGCTATTCCCGTAGACCGTCGTGTCGGCGGACTGCCGGCTCCTCGATGCTGCACATACATAGCGTCAAACGGTGAAGTCATAGCCTTGGCGCGGCCGTCTCAGGAAGTGGTGATGTGAAGCAAGATGATGAGCGACAGACAGACAGCGGAGCAACCACGATCCCAGGCAAGCTGTGTTGGCTGAGGTGGGTTTGGTTGTCGATCTTTTTGTTGGGTTACGGTACATACCTGAATCCCTGTGCGAGAAAAAGGTGAGGTTGGCTTGCTGCTGCAGTGGATACACGTGTCCGGCAGTTCTTGCATCTACCGGATTGTCGAGGAAACTTTCTTTCTTTGCTCCCTCTCGAGCTGGCTGAGACATGGCCGATGGGGGTGGGAGGGAGAGAGGCTCAGGATGATGGGTTGTCTTGAAACTGGCTCCACTCTGTGGACAAGGATGAGAAGCAAGATTCATATCATATCGTCGACGTGAGTATAGGGATAGTAATCTTCAAGCCAAACTGACTCAGGAAACCGGATGAGCGGCCTCCCTCCGTCCTATCTCTCTCTCCTCGGCGGCAGCGAGATCGAGTTCTTGAGATCTCAACTACCGAGATTGAGCTCCCCACGCACTCCAAAACTCACCCGTCCCCGTCCCTCCCCTTATCAAGCGTCGCGTCCGTCGGGCACCACATCAATCGTGAGTGGGGGTCCATCCATCCATCCATCCATCCATCCATCATCCCATTCTTGCGGTGAGCGCCTCCTCCCACCAGCACCAGCGCACCCATTCCGCCGTACCCCCCCTCAACCATCCGCCAGATCCTCGGCCGTGGCGGCTTACCGATTCAAAAACGGGTAAGGTAAGACGACAACCCGTTCGCCAAGCCCCGCTGGGTTTTTCTGGCCCTCGTGTGGGACCGGGGAGGTGCGTGGTGATCTCCGCAAGGAAGGGTGGTGGCGAATCGGCGTGGGTTGTGGGAAGGTGGTGGTGTGCAGGAGGGGACATGCTGCACACGTGGAGGGTATGCGCGAATCCGCGAGGTGGTGGGGGGAGGGGGGGTAGGTACAGGGAGAGGGAGAGGGGTGGTCATGTGAAGGGAGGGGGTGTGAAGGGGGGATACTGTATATGTGTGAAGTCTCTGTTCTTTTGGGGGCAGAGGGGAGAGACGGAGGGGAGGGGGATGGATGTACGTATTTAGTGGATAGACCGATGGATAGATGAGATGCCGGGCGTGGGAAGTGTGGGAAGAATGGAGACGCGCTTTCCGAAGAGGGATACAGCGCCGGTAGCCACTCCGAGACAGATTGGCGCGTGGTTCTAGTGAGGAACGGCGGACGGTGGCCTCTTCGACGCTTGGGGGTTGTGGAGAACGGAGAAAGAACGTTTATTGTAGATAAGCACGCCAGATAGATGAGGGGAGGGAAGGGAAGGCGCTCCTGTCAGCAAAACAGAGCCAGAGCACGGCCAGTCCGGGTTTTTAGGCTTCTGGAATCAGCTAATCTCACTATTCCCGTCCACTACCATTCACCAGAGGTACTTGTGGCACCACTGCTGGTAGTACTGTATCGTAAGTACCTCCCGTGCGCTCTCCTTCCGTTCTCCTTCCGTTCTCCTTCCGTTCTCCTACTTCCACCCACTAACTGGTACTACTAACCCTTCTAACCCTTCTAACCTTTCTATCCCTTCCTTCCCTCTCTCTTCTCTCGTCATCGCTCCCTCCTCTCCTCTCCAAGCACCACACCCACCCATCTCCCACCGGCTCCTGCACGTCCCCATCCCCTCCCGGCCTCCACCCCCCCAACTCGGCCTAGCCCCCCTCAAACGACAGGCTGACAGATGATGCATGCAGGGATCATCTCCGATGAGACGCCAACTAAGTAAAAGTATGTACAGTACATACATGCACACATCCACATCCACCGCCGTCTCTCTTCCCAGACCGCCACGCACTGCGTGTGGGCTCCGAGACATGGGTCCAAGCCGTAACTGTATGTACCGTCCCGTATGTACCGCCCTGTACTTGTACTGAGGGGCTATCCCTGTCTGCCACGCTGCGAAGGGGGATGTGGTGGCGCGGTGGCGCGGAGAAGGGAGAAAGGGCGGTAAGGGTGGGAAAAGGAAGGGATGAACGGGATGGAGGGAGAGCGACGGTGCGTTGGGTGGGATGGGATGGAGTGGGATGGAGGCGGTAAAGTGGCTTGCTTGCTGTGGTGCTGCGTATTGTGATGAGGTTGGTTGGTTGGTTGGGTGGTTTCTTTGACGAATTGTTGTACGGCTGTACGGTGTACGGTACTGTGGCAGCCACGATGCCCGTACCTGGCTCCTGGTCGTTCTGGGCATATGTAATGGGTCATATCTGCACCCGCGAGAGCCTCTCTATACCACATGGCGGTGCCTGTCTGCTGGCTTGTTGACTTGCAGATGTCTGCGTGGTATGGGGGGGTGGTGGTGGTAGTGGTGCGGGTTGGGGGATTGAGGTATCTGTACTTGCGAACTGCATCATCCCGTGGAAATCGCAATGCTGCTCAGTCACCTCTATAGTGAGTATTCACAATATATGTATGTATGCAGGCAAACACGTTCTTCTTCATATCGTGGGCAGTGCAGAACTCTATACAACTCTGCATATATACATACCCACTCAACTCCGGCGGGATCATCAGCCAAAGAGAAATGCCTCGTCCGTCGGCTCTGTCTATTTGCTCTGCTCTGGGTAGGGGGGGATAGAGGAGGAAGGAAGAAAGGAAAGAAAAGGACGACGGGATAGAGGGAGACCAGCAGAGAGGCGGACATAGATAGTAGAAATAGCAACCAGCTCGCACTGAACCCGGCCACGTTTTTCCCTTTCCCTTCTTCTCTTGCCCTCCCACCCGTGCCTCCCTCTAGAACCCACACTACCTTTGCCGCGACAACCTTCTCCCGCGACGCCAATTCAAAGCTTCCATTCCAGCCAGCCAGCCCGCCAGCCTCAAAGTCTCACTCGGTGGTGGCGAGAAGCACACGGGAAGGAAAGAGCGAGACTGAAACAGGGCGGATTGGCCACGCCGTTTTATTTAATCTCTGCCGGGCCCGGGGGGGGGGCTTTAATTCTATTTTTGCACGATCCCCAATTTGCTTTGTTTCGATTATTATACGATTATAGACGGAGGACAACCTCCTGAGGAAGGCGGATCAGAGTGCAATTTGGGCACGAACTACAAACAAACTACAGACAGGAGAAGAGTTGTGTGAACGAAGGGGAAGACGAGACCAACCCAGGGAAGACCAAGGGAAAGAGAAAGTTACATCCACATTTCAGTACCACAAGTACCACAAGTACCCTTTCTCCTACCTTGCTCGCGCCACGGAGATACAGACAGTACATCAGTACGGCACCTGGGTACATCACTTTCCCTTTAGTCCCTTCCCTTCCCTTCTCTGTCCCCAATCCCTCCCCAACCCCACCCTGCGACGCCATTTGCTCCTCTTCTTCTCCACCCCAGCTTATTCGAAATCATCCACAAAATAATCCGATCCTCATCGAAAACCCAAATCGAAATACAGGACAAGACAATACAAGACAAATATCCAAAACTCTTCATTCCCGCCGGCGCTATTATCACCGCTACCTATTGGCTTTATTGGCATTATTGGCATTATTGCCTGTTTCGTCGCTCTGACTTTTTCTTCTCCGCTGCGGACACAAAGGAGACGCAAGGGAGACAGGACCAAGACTATCTATCTACCTTACTACTACTACTCTCACACACGGACAATCAACAGAACGAGCGCTCGTCCCACAACGCGCCTTGCAGCCTACCGAGGTTTCGCCATAATTAGAAAAAGGGTGAAAAGAAGAAGAAGAGGCAAGAGGCGCAAGAGCTATAACCCGAAAGAGAATAAAACCGGAATCAAATCTGATTGCCTTGTGCGTTTGTGTCAGTTCCAAGCAAGTTATACGGGGTATCTCTCTCTCACACACACATAAACTGGAATCTGAACTGGCCTTCCCAAAGAAGAGACGCTGCGCCGAACAAGAGCGAGACACAGAAGTCTTGGCTCTTTCCAAGCCCCCCCCACTGAATCAATCAGGCTCACTGCCCGTTCACTGGCGGCCACTCTTGTGCAGCACATCACACAGAATCACTTAACTCGGTCTTTTCATATGCGGATCACCGCCACGAACTGGTCACACTGACACCAACTCGCCCTAAAAACTACCACACGATTTTCACTCACACGCACGATTTTCCCACGGCGACTCCACGATTCTCCCACGTTGCATTTGTGTGCTTTTTATCCCTAAAACTGAAGCCGAGAACACCGACGACCTGGTCGCTCACTCCGGCACATACACCGATCAAGGCAAGACATATACATTCACAGTCACAAAACTACATCCGACATTCACACGAATTCACACGCATTCACACACACGACCTACGACTTACTTACGACCTTCGATCCACGACCCATGCTTTGACACAAAACCAGTGTATAATACATATATACTGTATACTGCACTATACCCGGCTTGCTTCACCTCACCGTGCATACTTCTTATACCCTACCCTACCCTTACCATACATACATACATACTCTTAAAAGTGGAATTGGAAATTCTTTATCCCAGCCACTGGAACATCCACGGAACATCCACTTTACGGGGTAAAAAGAGGTACAAATACAAACTCTACAAAATTCCACCTGCTGGGATATACCTGGCATATAACGAGGCTAGTCTGGGGGCTTTATTATTCAGGTGGGTCCCTTTTTCCCATTTTTGATCTTAACCTGGTTCCCTTCTCCGTCATCTTTTTTATTATTACATTACCACCAAACTATTCCCTTTTGCCCTTTGCCCAAACACGACTCAACCCACCGTCAACCAAGCGTCAATCCGGCTCCGGCTCCATAACTCTCTCACGCTCTCACGCTCATACGCTCAATTCACCGTTCCTCACTACTTCACTACCGCCCGCGCCTGCCTTACTACTCCCTTACTACTCATTACTCATCTCACTCTACCTCACTCTACTTCCTCTACATACCCACGCCGCCCATTTTTATTATTACAAGGCGCCTGCCGCTATTTATTACCATTCTTATTACCGCAGCCGACTATTCGCTCGCTCCCTTCACAGTAGTTCCAGTCACAAAACACTACTACTAGTCCCGGTCAATCTAGTGATCGACACTTCGAAGGCGCAAGCCCTCGAGGTTGTTTCGGTTCGTCTGGCTCTTGTCTGACCCCGATTTCCGCACCACCATCACTCTCACAAATCTACCCCCCCCCCTCCACCTCCACTCACAACTCCCCTCCCTCAATTCCCCCCCTCCACCAAACATACTACCCCCCCCCTCCCCTTGCACTACCTACAACCAAACCTCAAAATCCTTTACTCGTCTCGTCTTTGCCCTTACCCGTCCCCGCTGTTATTACTCCTCGTGGCATGTGCATGAGGTATCAGTTTCAAAGTGGCAGTAACCAATACCGTTATAGTGTAGATGGCCCTAACCAAGTCTTCACATCCCGAACACCATTTGTCTACCCTGTCTCGATCCGACTTTCCAGAACAGCCACAATTCTTTCAAGATTCTGTCGACTCCCTCGCGACATCTTCTCTCACCGATTCACAACCTTCGCCGGAGAAAAACCCCTCCATCGACACCCTCCTTCGAGTTCGTAGCAACTCCAAGCAGCGCCAGTCCACCCTCTCCACCACCTCGTCGAGAAGCAGTCGCACCAACCTTCTCACCTTTGCTGCCCTTGCACGAGACAAGACCACCAGCGCCATTGCCAACTTCTCCGATCCCGTCACACGAGCACAAGTCTCCCGCAAGAACTCCCACAATCGCCGCACTGCCGGTGACAGCGAGAAGAGCCCCGAGCGGAAATCCGACTCCTCGCGATCCATTCCTCCCCAAGCGAAAGAATCACAATCCATAATAGCTACCCCACGTCCGGGCCTTCAGGACACGGAGCCGCCCTCTCAGTCGTACGAGGATACGGACGCGAACACCCCGACACCTAGGAAGGTAGGAGCACCGGAGCAGAGCACGATGCACCAAACCTCCTCGCGCTTGTTGCGCATGACAGAGGATGACAGGCCATTCACCAGAGTAAGCGACGAATCTCCCGAGTCTTATCTCTTTTCCACAGCCAGGGCAAACTATTTACATCGCTACCAGGATTTCAAGGACCTCTTCGCAACACTGATCGTCAGCCTCCCCCTCGAATCCCACCGCCGCATGTTCAACAAATGCGAGCACTCCTTCCTGTCCGAAGAGGCAATCAACAATTTAGGATCCTTAAAATTCTCCCAGTCCAATCGCATGCCAGATCCAAAGGACCCCTCGCGGATCGTCACCACAACCACCACCACCACCTTCTCCATGGCCCGCGATATGGCCAGGACCGTGTGCCAGCGCTTTGTGGATGCCCGGTTCATTGAGTCTGCAGACGGCAAGCAGATCAGAGAGTTCAACCTGAAGGGCACGCTATGGCAGCTCACGCCCAAGGGCATCCACGTCCTAGACCGCTTCTGCTCCAAGAACGGTATCCAGCAACGGCATGTGGTTGATCTCGTCAACTCGCCCAAGAACACTATGCAGCTCGTCGTCTTAGAACGTGACAGCGTCACGGATGAGATCTCGCAAGATCGCGGGACGGTGGAGGTCCTGTTCCGCCGCTTCATTGGCGCCAACGGACCCAACATCAAGAGCAGCGTGTCGGCGGCCGATTCGGATTCCCTGAGCGAATACAAGGATGGCTTGGCGGGAGTCAGGATGGCTGGTGAGCGCAAGATCGGCTCCCCGCAGCGGACGGTGCTGCAATCCTTCACCGGGAAGGCGGCGGTGGACTGGCTGCTCGACTGCTGTACCACCGTGGACAAGAACGAGACGATGAAGATCGCCGCGCTGTTCCTGGAGCACGACTTATTATGGTGTGTCCTGTCGGACAGGTCGTACACCTCCCAGTTCCCGGGACACAAGTTCCAACCTACCAAGATCGCGATTTACCAGATGACACAGAAGGGCAAGGATGTCATCAACATGTCCAGTACCCACAGGCTCTCCAACGGCGACGTCGACAGCCCCTCGAGTAGAGTCGGCGTCTCCCGCGATTCCAACACGCAGAAGCTGGACAAGATCCTCACAGATGCGGCTCTGCGCCTGCTCTTCCGCGAGCAGCTCCGTGATACCCATTGCGAGGAGAACCTCAGCTTCTACCTCGACGTCGACGAGTTCCTGAAGTCCTGCACAGATGCCCTGCAAGGCATGTCTCCTTCCTCGCGCGCCAAGAACCCCGATAAGAGTCTCGATGCGATCAAGGAAACCATGGCCTCCGCGTATGGTATCTACAACGCTTTCCTCGCCCCCGGCTCCCCCTGCGAGCTTAACATCGACCATCTTCTCCGCAGCCAGCTCGCCTCGCGCATGACCAAGGCAGTCGGCCGCGACGATGCCATGATCGAGAGTCTGAAGGAGGTCATCAAGCTGTTTGAGGAGGCGCAGCTGTCCGTGTTTAAGCTTATGGCAAGCGTACGTACATGCTATATCCTCTTTCTTTCTCTTTTTTAAAGTGTATCCACAAACTCTAACTGCCAATAGGACTCGGTGCCTAAATTCATGAAGAGCGCCAAGTACGAACAGACCCTCAAGAACTACGACTTCGACTCCATCCCCGCCCACCCTGCCCCCGGCCAACCCCGCTCCCACGGCTCCGTCAACCGCTCATCCCGCTGAGCCTCAGCCGTCTATCTGGCAGCTCCCCAGCTGCCCCGGATCCCCTCATGAACGATCAGCATATACCCACGCCAGAAAATTTCCATAATTCCCAAAGTCATGTCATGTCGTCATTTAGCGTTACATACCAAATAGACCGGCCCCGGCCCAAACCCCCCCCATCCCCAGAAGCGTTTGCCTCGCAGCAATCCAATCACCTACCCACTACAAAAAACCTCACATACCGACCTACCACCAACCTTCAACATATTACATCTATCACATCCACATATGAAACCGCTTTTTCCTCCTCAAAATCAAAATTTCAGCTCTGCATTCTCATGGCGTTTTCATCATCATATTCGGGCATTTCAAGAGAAAGACGGGGGGGTCAAGGAAAGGGGGGGGGAAGGACGGGCAAAACAAGACATGTTGCTGTTGTTGTTTTTGCTCGCTCAACTGTTGTTGCTGCTTCTTTTTTGTTTTTTTCGCGCGCGCGCAAATATACTACTGCCCTGTACTCGTAATATAGCTTTTTGCTTTGTTTATTTTGATTTCTTGTTTTTAGCTTCTCGCCGCTGCGCGCCCCTCGGGGGCTGTTTCGACGCTTCGCGGGGGCGCGGGGAGGGTGATGCATATACGGGCATTTTATGATGGGGAAGAAAGAGAAGAGGAGAGAAAGAGAAGAAGAGAAGACGAAGAGGGGGAGGTTGGGAAGAGGGAGAAGAAGCAGAAAGACATTACAGCAGGATAATAATCGCTCAACTCTAGACATTTATTTGGCGGCGCTCCTCCTCCTCTTCTTCGTCTTCTTCTTCTTCTTTTATTATTGCTTTTTTTGGTTATTTTGCGTCGTTGCTTTTTTAGTTCACTTTAGATTAGGATGGGAGGGGGGGATACCCTGAGATGAGAAGGAGGTGCTTTGGACGGACCTTTTGTGTTTGAAAGGCGTCGGTGCATACACGCATGGCTGGCTGGATGGATGGTGCGGCCGTGGATTAGAGTAGGAATGATAGCCTCTTAATGCCGTCGGGATGTTTCTAAGCTGTTTGTGTGATATATGTGTTATTAACATGTGAGAAATCGGAGGGGATGATGTGGTGATGGGTGGGTGAGTGTGCACGCAGGGGCGAGAGGGGTTGAGTGGGAGTTGTAGGCGGGAAGCACAGTTATGTTACGGGTTGTAATATTCGTCTCGCCAAGTTGCCAAATGTGTAATTCTACAAAAGCCACCTTCTTACATGCGTCCCCCGCTGCCCTTTTCCGCTTTTTCTTTCCGCCGCGTAGACCACCTTCAAAGGGCATCTATCAAACGCCAAACACCGCCCAAATGCACCTCTGCTTGCCCCCCTCGCAAACCCGCACACACACGCACGCCATTCCATCCTACAAACCCCCCTTAAGCATTCACCGGCCCACTCTCCTTCGACCACCCCTTAACCCTCATAATCTCCTCCACCCCCCTCCACACCGCCTCCACCCCCTCCCTATCCCTCCACCTCGTCTCCTTCCCCCCACTCCACGGATCAAGCGCAACACCCACCACGCCCCTCCCCCACCCCCTCACCGCATCCGGCACCGGCTCCCCCCTCCACCCTACATACACGCCCAGCGCGTGCCTAAACAACTCCTGGGGCGCTTGCCACTTGTAGTTCTTGAACTGCCACGTCTGTCCCGTGGTGAACACCGCTACTACCCTCGCCCAGTACTCGGGCTTGAATTGCTCGGGCGAATCGACGACGATGAAGCGGATTGGGCGGGTTGTGTCGATGGAGGGGATTATGCGGGAGAGATGCAGGATTGTGGATGTGCTGGTGGAAAGCGAGTCGGAGGGGGGGACGTAGAGGCCGCTTTCGAGGAAGGATTTTATGTTCGACATACGTAGGAGGGAGGAGGCGGAGGGGGAGACGAGGATGATTGGGTCGGGGCGGCGGGCGGGTTTGGGGTTGTGGGGGAGAGCGGTGGGACGCGCGCTGCTGTGGGTGGTGGTGGAGGAGGAGGGGGCGCCGGGTTTGCGACCGATGAAGGTTTGGGCGATTTTGCGGACGTGGGAGAAATCCTGTTGGGGGGTTCTGTTAGCTTTTGCTTTATTCCTCCCGGTTTTGAATCAGGGGGGGCGGGCGACTGGGAATTGGAAAGGGGGGAAGGAAGAGAGACGAACGGTAGGCTTCACACCGCGCAACACGCTATTCCGATCACCCATCCTCCGCTCCCCATTATAAATCTCCTGCAACCTCGGATCGACCGTTCGATTCCTCGCTCCCGCCCCCGCCGCAGCAGGCGCAGCACCCCCCGCCTTCCCAGCCGCGACCTGCGCGCTCGCCGCTGCGGCCGCCGCGTCCGCCGCAAGAGGACGGATATACTCGCTCTCCTCCGACGCGCCCTCAAGCCACGTAATCAAATCCAACCTCTCCACGAACGCGAGATTTTGCACCGTCCCCCCCGCTCCGCCATCAGCAGCGAGCGCAGTATTGAGCGCGAGCGCCGCGGCGTTGTAGTCGGGGATTGCGACTTCGCGCTTGAGCCAGGCGAAGTAGATGGAGCGTAGGTCGACGGGAGTGGAGGAAGAGAGGAAGCGAGTTGGGGTCGTGAGGGCGAGGGAGGTGGAGGCGTGGGGGAAGTGGAGGTATTGCGCGCTGGAGAGGGGGGTGTCGGCTGCGGTTGTGGTGTCGGGGGGGGAGGAGGTGAGGGTTGGGAGGGCGGCGGTGGAGGAGGCGATGGATTGGCGGAGGAGGAGGAGCGCGTCGTGCTGGGGGGTGTCCGCGGATGCCATCTTGAGGTGTGGCGCGGATGAGGGGTTGGATGTGTTGATGGTGGTGGTTGTTGGTTGTGGTTGTGGTCTTGGTGATTTTGGAGCTCGCCGCCGGCTTGGAGGTGAAGTTGGATAATACACGGTAGCCTCACTGAGCCAAACCCGCGTGATTAGTGCCTTAGGCCAAAAGCTTGTTATAAGCAAGGGAATCAATCACTTGGATATATTGGCACTCAACCTCAAGGTTCTTGACGTTCTAGGTGAGCTTAGTTGGATAAGTTGTCACTGGTCAACATGCATAGCCTTATCTTGCTTTATATATCTTATAAATTTCGAAATTTTATCGCCCAAATTTTTAACCTCACCAGACTTATCACATCGATTCAATCAGAGCTCCTGAGCAAAATAATATATTTTAAACCTCGCCAGCGTGATGAACCACGGCATTAACTATTACAAAGTTAACAAGGTGAATTTGCCCGCCTGTGAGAATACTGGCAAAAGATAACTGATATTAAAGTGAGTTGTCTTCGTTGCCCTGACCTTGGAAAGAGGAACCAATATTTCGGCCAGAATCAATATTTCTATTTGATAGACTGGTTCTCCACCATGAACTTCCTCATAGCATATATATACACCGCAGGGATTCCCCCAGAAGTTATCGCCGTGATTGCAATCTCATCTTTTCCCAATCCCCCCATTTCTATTCTTTTGAGCACTAGCATCCTCACTGTCTATTTCTCCCATCTATTATCTCTCATGCCACCCTAGTCACAGCTCTCAAACAAGCTTTTGCACAGCAAGCAGCACCCCCTGTATCCAGGAATTTTACGATGGGTGGTAGGGACAATATCCCTTAGCAGACGCCGTATAGCTGGCGTGCAACGGACAGAGTGGACTAGATTCGGGGTGATTTTTGAGTTCATTGGCATAATTTCCTCGTTCGGATGGGCTGGGTAAACCTCGGTTTGCAAGTTCTCTCTCTCTGTCCCGCGACTTCTCGCTTTCTGTTTTTGATATCTCACCAACCAAGGCGCTCCCTGAGTCGGGCTTGGACAGGCGAGATGGTCCGCTGCTTCCAGCTTGTGTAAGTGGGGAACCGACGGCAGACGACTGTCGTCTTCTTCCAGGGCTTCCTTGGCTAGGTGATCGCGGTGTATTATACTGGGCATCCTGATCCTCATCATCAACAGTGCGTGTGCCAGGCACTTCAACTATCCCATATTTTAGCATATTTAATGTTTGACTTTCGGATGGGAGTTCATCAAGGGCTCAGAGTGAATCTCACCTCCAAAATATTGATCGGGCCTGGGCTCAGCGGGAGGGGCATCTGACCGAGGAGTAGAAACAGGTGTCTTCCCAAACAATAGCTCTCTTATGGAACTGGTGGCGGTAGCGGCCCCAACCGTGTCGCCAGAATCATTTTGGTGCCAGGGAGCCAAACCAAAGCGTTTTCGAGGCAACCTTAGCGAGTGCTCGTTTGGGCTCAGTGGGTGCATCGCTCGCTCGTTTTGCTTTTTCGTAGCTAGAAACTGCGAAAAGAAGCGAGATGTCCCTCGGAGCGTGTTCGTTGTTTGGCGTTCCAAATCAACTGGCGGCGATTCAGGCCTTGATTCTTCTGGCCCCTGGAATAGTGAGTAGAATACAGACGGGACATCCAGAGCTGCCTTACCTTTCCTTTCCCTGACGTTGATGCCTTCCTACTAAGTGATATTTGCTGCAACTTTCGCAAAAGAGCCTTTGGCGTGGGAGTTCCCTTATCGGAGTTTATTATTCCTCGGGGAGAGATTGCCCGTCTTGCCTGGGGACCGTCGCCCTCCGCTTCCCCATCCTCTTCATCTTCCATATCAGCCGGATTCCTTGCCCAAACCTCAGACGCATTCAATGAACGCGGTGCTGAAGGTGCGGGGCTGCCAAATGTGCTCGCGCCGCTCCCTTGTAAGGACTTCCGAACCCATTTTGGAGGACGGAAGTTTTTCGTGGGCCGTGTAATAAGTTCGCGCTCTGCCCAATACCCTTCAGGGAACCAAACCCATTCGTAACCGAGCATAGGAGAACGAGGAGGATCTGCGGCAGTTCGAGATACTGGCTTTGGTTTAGGCGTGGAGTTATTTGAGCTATTCAACTCCCCGGAGTCCTTAAAGAGAGGCTTTCCCTCATTATTTGACAATGAGCTTCTGAAAGGCGACCCGTCAAACACCGCTGATATGGCCTTTTTGATTGACCGGATATTCCGAGGCGTGGATGGTCCAACGCCTGGCCCGGAGGCGTCCGTCAATTCTTCAGTAGCGGTCACTTCAGTGACCTGGCCAGAAACCTTAACTTGTTTCGCATCTTTGGAATTGGGCAATTTCCCAGTAATAGTGCCGGTAGCTTGTGAAACTTTAACTTTCCGCGAAGTAGATTGCTTCCTCCTGCTATCTCTGGTTGGTTTCGTAGCTTCAGCTTCCACCTTAGTTTCCACCTCAGCAACACGGCCTGTGATCTGACCAGTGACTTGACCAGAACCTTCTGCAGCTGTCACTTCCTCGGAAACTATCACCTGCGTGAAAGTACTCGTACTTTGCGGGGACAAGCCTTCTTCTTCTTCTTGTGTCTCAAAATACTCGTCGTCGGCATCCCCATCATGACTGATCTCGGTGCCTGCGACGTCCGTAATTGATATCTTCGGAATAGGGCCCGCCATGATGAGAATATTGTCAGCTTAAAGCTTTCAACAAGAAAGAAAGTTAAGAATTCTTGAAGAGAGTGGGAAAATATGTTTAGGGAATAAGGACGTCGCTGACAACAGAAATGAAAGAAATATGATGTTATGAAGGCAGTTACGGTCGTTCCTACCCAATCCAACCTACTAGAAGAAAAAATTACTGTATGAGAACGTGCCTTCCTGTACGGGAAGGCACGTTCTTAACTTTAATAGAATAGGTTATGTTTGGCAAGAACCCCATTTACTTACGGTGCAAACAACGAAGTCTCAGCCATCCAAGCTGCCACCTTGATCGCCCCAAATCAAACCAGACCCGCAAGAGAACGTCAACGCCGAAAATGGTGAATGTATTTGTATCGAAAATCATCAACATAATTTACACGCTGGCCGCCAAGACCCCATGAGGAAAACGCCCCGTTCGATTTATGGGGTATACAACCCCTACGACTTGTTCTCCGCAGCTATCTTGGCCTCCATCTTTCTCCTCGCTGCCAAGATCATTTCCTCCCTCCTCTGCTGCATCAACGACTGCCTCTCGGTCTTATTCTGACTCCAGGCCTTCCCTCCGGGCGACTTGCCGGGCGACCCGCCTGTCGTTTCCTTATCTTCGCTGCTACTGGATGCGGCGATCTTTGCGCCGAGGTTGTATCGCGAAATGAGGTCGGGTTGGGATGGCTTTGGCGCCTCCGTCCTTGTGCCTGCGCCGGTTTGCGAAGAAGAAGTTGCTGCAGCTGGTGGCATCGGTGGTCGGAAAGTCTGTGGCGGCTGTACGGCGTTAGCTGATGCGGGGTGGCAATTTGAAGCAGGCCCAGGGAAATATGTCAACTCACCTCCTCAAGTCCTCTACCGCTCAGTATCCTCTCCGTCGTCGCGGCAATATTCCCTCCGTTCCTCTGCAAGTCCCACATTATCGTCCGCCGCCCAACCTGCGGGAACATCTGCTGCACCCTGTCCACATCTGCCTCCCGCACTCGTACGCCGCCCCTGCTTGAAGCTGATGGCTGGTCTGGAGACTGAGGGGCAGAGAAGAAAAAGTATCGGACGGCGAAGCCACCCAGGAGGAGGATTATGACCAGTTGCGGCAGGTTTATTGTTTGGTCGTCCGCCATGGTTGCTGTGCTGGCGTATTGGTGGGTAGTGTCAGCAGTAGTGACGTTTGTATGAGCCTCTGAGCCGGGCGTGCGGCATGAAGTATCCCGTGAGCTACAGTGCCGTTTTGCGATCGTGGCGCTGTATGTTATGTTTAATAATGGATTTCGAATTTGGGAGTGATAGGATAAGGCGTGGATGATCGTGCCCTCGATGGTGACCGGAGTCGCAATAAAGTTACCCGGCCCGGATTATTATGTGCCGATCTGGAGATATCGTCATGTGCCTGGCACATCACACATGCAATAAGTAAGATACAAGCTTCCACTCATGCACGGCTACAATTGTTAAGCCAGTTCCTCAGAAATAGAACCAAAGAGATGGATTGTATCATTTCGAATGGGTGAGATCAATTCGCAGCTAATATGGACGGCCCTCTTCGGACATTTGGGCGGCACGAGGACATATCCTCTTACTGTGCATCAGTTGTCCTATTAGTTGGCTTATTTATTTATTTGTTGCGCTCATGTTAACTACATCAATGAATCCGCCTTTCTCTTATGAATACGCCGTATGATGCCCAACTTTATGCAAGTCCTGTATCGTACTGTACAATCTACACCAGATTGACTGGAGTCAATATCTAGTGAGCAATCAAAGAAAGAATCTGATCAAAAGAACCATGCAGTTGTCAATATTTAATTACAGATGATGTTTCTCACAGCAGCGCATTCATCTCACGCCGGTTCTTGGGCCTCCGACGTTCGTCCTGGCCCGCGTCCTCGTCAAGCTGAAGGGCAATTCTCCAATCACCGAGTGTCATCTACAACGCAGCGAGGGCAACGGCAGCAGCAGCCACACCGCCGACAGCCCATCCAGCGCAACCGGTAATCTGAGGCATCCCACCCGTGGATGCAGATGTCTGGACGGATGTCTCGGCGGCCTTAGAATCGGTCCCAGTGGTGCCAGTCCCAGCAGTGCCAGTAGGTGTGCTGGTTGGCGCAGAGGTGACACCTGGTCCGGTCGTGGCAGGGGGGCTCGAACCATCAGTGCTTGTGGCAGCACCATTGTAAATGGAGGATATATCGTGGACAACAGTTGCGGGGCCCCAAAGCGTCTCGGCATTTTTGCCAGTAAGGGTCATTGTCGTCTCAGTCTTGTCGGTATCGCTCTCGAAATTCAAAGTGCCAGGTCCACTGTAACGAACTGTGCAAACAGCCCGAGTCGTGCCTGCGAGCGCGCACTGTTGGGTGAGGGTGCTGTCAAGGAGTCTTGTCAGTACAACCAACTAGTCAGTGTTATGTATGTTTGAACTCTTACAGATCCTCCATAGTAGACTCCATCTGCACTGAGCTGGGCCCAATGGTATACTTCAGCGGCTCCAAGAATAGGCAGTTCTCCCCGGTGGTCGGCACCGATTTGATGGGGCAGCCCAGAAGATACGTGGTTGCGGCTGCATCCTATTGTCTCTAATTAGATGGTCCGATCGTCAAGAATAGTATCCAACTTACAGAGCCAACGGGATAAACAACGAATTCACCACCGGCGTCCCCAGCGCCAAACAGCTCGACTGTCTCGGCCGAGGCGACGACCGCAGAGGCGGCAGCAAGTAGAAGTACGGAGGCACGCATGATGGTGGTAGTAGTCAGTGGTATTAGACAGAGTAATGAGTGAATGAATAGCAGAGCAATGTTGATACAAGATGAAGAATTCGCAAAGTGTACGGAACGAGTGTGACTTTTTGGGGAAAAAAAGGGAAGAGGCAACAACCCGGGGGGACGGGTCGTATTATACTGGTCAAGGGGAAGAGATAGGCCTGGACCTTACACTAGTTAAGGATAACAAACCTTGCATCTCATCTCTTTTCGTATAAGGCGTGCTTAGTCATGTAACCTTATCAGAAACGACAAATTGGTCGTCGTATTCGACCCTTTTGTGGGTTATTATAATTTCACAGAGGGAGGTTATGTGGTTTTTTAAAGTTGTAACTGCGGTTTCTATAGAATTCATGTTTTACCCTTTTTGTCCATACTTGTCAGGGTGCTGATCCCTCGGTCTTTGACATGGCGGCCAGGCAAGATCAAGTCTAAATTTATGCAACCCCACATGGACCGTGCAGGTTATGTACCCCTTAAACACCCAATTAGCGTAACGCGTCTCAGCGCGACAATTATATTCCGCGTTTCCCTACGTGGACCAAGCCACAGTGGTCGTGGCTACTGCTCAAGGTCGATATTACCTGATATACAAATACAAACGCCAGGCTGGTAACTTACTGGTTCTGACATGTTGGATTAATTACTCGGCTACAATGAGTTCGAATAAGCGCAGTCGCCCATTGGAACAGCAGGTCAACGATTCTTCGCCAATGCCAAGCTCCGGCCGACTATCTGCGAAGAGAAGGAAGGTGGGCGGCAGTGGATCGTCGCCTTCGACGCCAAATGCCGTGGAGGCTGTGAAGAGGACATTGGGGAGAGCTCTCAAATCTGTGCGCCTGAAGGAGAATGAGCCGGTTGACGATGACTCGAACCGGGAACAGTCCCCAACGAAGCAGCTTCTGGAAGATGAAGCTGCCGTCGAATCGATGAGCCCCAAACCTACAAACGAAGCTGCAGCAGAGGATATACCGGTATCCGAGCCAGGAAACCGCTCTGCAGGACGCCAGGCGCGAAAACCGAGGCGCTATTCGACAGAGGTGGCTGAAAGGCCGGTGCTGGAACCGAAGAGCATCTTGACACCCAGCAAGAGAGGACGGGGCAGGCCACGAAAGAGCGTCGCTTTTGAACAGACGACACCAGCGGAGGGCGAGGTGGATCTAGGATTTAAAGATATCCCCATAGACCAGCCGCTTCCAGTGGAGACACCGACACAGCGAAAGAGAAGCACATCTCCGAAAAATAGCGACCCCCAAGAGCAACCCCAAGAGCTCTTACAACCCGAGGAAGCCGACACCGCAGAAGCACCACAAGAAGTTATACCACAAAAACGAGGGAGAGGGAGACCGCGAAAAATCCATGACCCCATAGAGCTCTCCCAGCCCGAAATTGTCGTCACCGCAGACGGAGCAGAAGAAGCTGTACCGCCGAAGAGAGGGAGAGGGAGACCTCGAAAAATCCACGATCCCAACGAGCCCTCACAACGTGAGAAATACACCAAATCGCCCAAAATACCAATTATTGTGGAGCCAGATGACGAGGAGGAGACAGACGAGGAAGTTTGTGCTATATGTGAGAATGGAGACTCTGAAGCCCCGAATGAGATTATGTTCTGCGATAGTTGCGATCTAGCTGTGCACCAAGAATGCTACAACATTATCACGGTTCCTGAAGGCGAATGGTTATGCAGCGACTGCCAACCAGAAGATCCAGAAATAGAGACGGCCGATGTTCACGAAGCGGTTCCAGAAATAGATGCCGAATCTATTTTTGAGATTGGCGGATCAGAGCCACCAGCAATACCAGGGCTGAAAGACCATCTAATGGCTATGCAAAGGCTTTTGTTAGACAAATTAACTGGGCGAAAGAGGCTGAAGCTGCATGATCTCGATGACGAGTTCCAAAAAGTATACCAGGTTGTTGAGCAGACAGTCACGTCAGGAGAGGGGAATTCTATGCTCGTCATAGGGGCGAGAGGTTCTGGAAAGACAACTGTAAGTATCCCTTGTTTGTTGATAGCAACATACTAATGCGCTCTAGCTTGTCGAAACAGTTATATCAGATCTCTCAATTGAGCATCGACAGAACTTCCACGTCGTTAGGCTTAATGGGTTCACGCACACAGATGACAAACTAGCGTTGCGGGACATCTGGAGGCAGCTGGGCCGCGAGATGGAAGTCGAAGAGGACCTAACTGCTAAGACCAACAATTACGCCGATACATTAACTTCGTTGCTAGCTTTATTATCGCATCCCACTGAGCTGTCGGAAGATAGCGCAAACCATATGGCAAAGTCGGTTGTTTTCATCCTGGACGAGTTCGATCTCTTTGCATCGCATCCGCGCCAGACTTTACTCTACAATCTGTTTGACATTGCCCAGGCGAGGAAAGCGCCCATAGCTGTCTTGGGCGTAACAACGAAAATCGACGTCGTGGAGACCCTCGAAAAGAGAGTTAAAAGTCGATTCAGCCACCGATACGTGCATCTGCCACTGCCGCGAAGCCTTGCAGCATTCTGGGAGATATGTAAGGAAGGACTTCAAGTGGATATGGACGAACTCGTTGATGGGGGATTTGATCCCGGATTGCCTGGACAGGAGGAGTTCCTCGAGTACTGGGACTCGATGATTAACGTAGGTTACCTGTCCACTGGTGACTCTGTTTAGGTTCTAACGTCCCTTCTAGTCTCTATATAACGATGATGCACCGTACAAAGCTCATCTACAAAGAATATTCTACCGAAGCAAATCCGTCCCCGCCTTCTTCAGCACCTGCCTCCTCCCCATCGCGAGCCTCACACCTCGCTCTCTCCCACTCACCTCGGCCTCATTCCCCGTCCAATCCACCCTCTCCCCCCCCGACTCGAAGCTCCACATCCTACAAGGGCTTTCCGACCTCGACCTCACGCTCCTCATATGCGCCGCGCGCCTCGACGTCGTCCTCGATACTGACACGTGCAACTTCGCAATGGCTTACGATGAATACACGACTCTGACAACAAGGCAAAGGATCCAGGCGAGCAGCAGTGGCATTGGGGCACTCAGCGCTAGTTATAAAGTGTGGGGCCGCGAGGTGGCTATGGGGAGCTGGGAGACGCTGGTCGACTATGAGCTGCTTGTTCCGGCTAGCATGGGAGCAGGGCCGATGGGTGGCCTTGGGGGAGGGGGTGTTGGGAGGGAAGGCAAGATGTGGAAGGTGGATGTTGGGTTGGAAGAGATCGCTGGCAGTGTGGGCGGGCTTACAAGTGTCATGACGAAGTGGTGTAAGGAGATTTGAGCATGTGCTTTGTCTTGAATGGCTGTACTACCGGCATGATGATATAATGACAAGATATAGACGGTGAAGATAGAGTGCTATACTTCGTACGCATCGGCATGAATGTAATACAAACCTTAATGCCTGGTAATTTGTTTGACACAGTGCCGCCGACGCTAACAGCTGCCAAATATAAATTCTTCAACAGGGTCACTCAGGAACAACAATTGGGAAGTGAGCGGTACTGTAACCGCGCAACACAAACAATAATACAAAAATATCAATAGCCGCCCAACATGTCTCTCATCTGTATCCACAATCCCGTATCTTCACCACCTAAGCGCCCCAAACCGGCGTCAACAAGACACAAAAGCTTCACTCTCGCCTGTAGACAAGTAGCGCGTCAGCGTGACAGGGACCCTGAAACGAAGCTTCTTCGCTTGGCGCCAAACACGCTACCCCGCAGAACGAACCACAGCCGCTCATTTGCTTAGAACAACGGCGTTTTGTTTCAACCGCGGCGTTACCTCGCACCTAAAATACTGAAGGATGAATTCGGACCTCTGCAGATACGAGGTCGCCAGCTGTCATAAAGGCGATGATGGGACGGTAAGTTTCAAGGTAGGTGCCCGCTTTCTTTCGACTTGTGTTGTTTCGTCTGTTTCTCTTATTTCTATTTCATCGTCATCATTGTGTTTTGGATTGCTCGGACGGGTTCCATAGAGACTTTTTTGAAACTTCACGATGAGGGTCAGCTTTCGTGCTTGCGGGCTAGTCCTGCTCACCGTCGCTGCAGATGTTACAAGTGCGATCAAGGTCGATGTCCACGATATTGGTATGTAGCCAGCCGTCCCATCTGCGATCACCCGCTAACTTACGCAACAGCATCCATCAAGGCGGCAGCCAGCAAGGTGGCATACGGCCTGGCGAAGTTCTACACAGGCAACGTCACCAACACCCCCGAGACCATCGGCATTCTAGGGCGTCCGTACTACTGGTGGGAAGGCGGCGCAATGTGGGGAGCCTTCCTCGACTACTACCGCCTGACCGGCGACTCCTCGTACAACGACATCGCCTACCAAGCCCTCGTCAGTCAAGTCGGGCCTAACCATGATTACATGGTGCCCATGTACTACAAAGAGGAAGGCAACGACGACCAAGCCTTCTGGGGCTTCGCCACCATGTCCGCCGCCGAGCAAGACTGGCGTGCCCCTCCCAGCCCCATCCCCAGCTGGCTGCAACTAACCATCAACCTCTGGAACACCCAAGCCGCACGCTGGGACACCCTGCACTGCGGCGGCGGTCTGCGCTGGCAGATCTTCGAGTACAACAACGGATACACCTACAAGAACACCGTTTCCAACGGAGCCTTCTTCCAGCTCTCCGCCCGTCTCGCACGCTACACCGGTAACGCAACCTACGCGGAGTGGGCCGGCAAAGTATGGGACTGGACGCGCGAAAGCGGTCTCATAGATGACCACTTCAACGTCTACGACGGCGCGGGCATCGAATCAAACTGCTACGACATAAACCGCATGCAATTCTCCTACTCCCCCGGCATCTACCTCTACGGCGCCGCCACCATGTACAACGCCACATCCGGGAGCTCGCTCTGGCGCGAACGCACCCAGGGGCTCTTGGTGCGCACAAACGAGTGGTTCTTCACCCCCTTCCCCAACGCTACGGATATCATGTGGGAAGTCCCCTGCGAGGGAATCCAGACATGCAACTATGACATGCTATCCTTCAAAGCCTACCTCTCGCGCTTCATGTGGGCGACCTCCAAAATTGCACCCTTCACCGCCCCCGCCATCGGGCGCGTCCTGCGCGCCTCGGCCGCCGGCGCCGCACTAGCATGCGATGGCTCGGAAACGGGAGAGCTGTGTGGACAGAAGTGGTATACGGGGACGAGTGATGATATCTTCGGACCCGGGCAGCAGATGGCGGCGCTGGAGGTGCTGCAGGGATTGTTGACGCCGTACGCCGAAGCGCCGTTGACGGCGAAAGGGGGGAAGTTGGTAAGCTCCGCGTCGCCGAGTAAGGCGGTTGTAGGCGGGGAGGCGGTGGTGGTGGGGGATGTGCCGCCGGCGGGGGCGGTGGAGGTGCCGGTTGTGAGCGCGACGGGGGGGGTGGAGAGGAGGGGGGTGGGTTGGGGGGTGGTGTGGGTGGGTGTTGGTGCTGGGGTGGTGGCGGCGCTGTGTTTGTAGGGAGTTGTTGGGGGGGGGTTGACGTGAAGTGAAGGAAGACCCATAGGGCATTTGGGCTGGCGTTGACGTGATGGCTGGTATAGCGGCGTTGGTTTGGGATGATTATAGATGGACGTATATAGTAGCATAAATGAATTGTATATACGAGCTCACTTACCTGTAACGGGACTCACCACATAACCCGATTCTTCCATATCGTTTGATCTGCAGTGCCCATCATCCCGATTCTTCCATATCATTGATCTGCTGTTGCCCAGCACCTCGATTCTTCCATATCATTAAAGCAACGTTGCCATCACCCCAGTTGTCAGAACGATCAACGATCAACCACCACAACCGCACTACTCACCATCCCTCAACCATCTATCCTCAACCATCTATCCCCAACCATCACTCCACGACCATCACTCCAGACCATCATCATCAACATCTCCCACCGCCCCAACCGGCCCGCTCACCGCCCAAATACTCACCTCATCCTCCCCCGACCCGCCGATCCAAGCACACCCACCGCCCCGCTAACGCCAAGCTCCTAGCCGCGCCGTCAGTGGTGCGAGGTCTGACGTCGATCCTGACGTCCGTCAACACCGCCAACACTGTCAACACTTCCACACTGTCAACCATACTTCCCCTTCCACAGTTCCCCTTCTTTCAACCATAGTTAATAGATAGTTGCCCTTTTCTTTAACCATAGTTCCCTCTCTTCAACCACAGTTTCCCCTCCTCAACACACCCCCCCTCTCTCACCCCATCCCCCGCGCATCACCCCATCCAGTCCCCTCCCTCACATCACCACGCGTCCCTTCCCTCCTGCGCGCCCTCTCATCCCACGCTTAGCGTGTGGTAACGTAAAAACACCCCCTAGCTTAGGTGCTACGAATGTTTGTCTTAGCACTCTTGGTCACCACACCATACCGCAGTACTCTCGCTCGGTAGTGAATATCCCATCACACACACCGCATACGGTACCCATCTGCGCGCGTGGCCCCGCCCGCGCGCACACAGGGTCTCAGAACCTTATCACCCGCGGCATGCGGCGGCGTCCTGGGGTGCGTGAGGGCGGGAGGGGTGATAAAACCTATTAATGCTGATAGTGCAGTATCGGTGCATGAGTGGACTGGCGGTTTGATAAGTTTATCTGGTTTATCACCGAAGAAAGGGCGGGGAAGAAGAGGAGGAGGAGGTGGTCGAGTTCTTCCGGAGGGGAGGGCTTATCAGTTAGTTGTCTATCCAGATTATGCGGTGGTAGTGGTTGGTATATCTCCTCTCCCGAGCGTGAGACAACGGAGGAGTGAGAATCCTTCACCGTCGGGATGGCTTATCATATGTACCCTCCCCTCCAACTTGTTCGAAGTAAAGTTTCCCTTTCTCCCATATATCCTATCCCATCACACACGCATCCCGCATCCTATTTCATCCTATCTCCCACCCCCCTTCCCCCGCATCCCAAAACCCCCACGCCCCTCCATCCCTCCGCCCCCAACACCCCAGGATTCCCCTCCATCACCAACCATCAGGATCCCAGTAAAGCAGTCCGTCCCAGTAAAGCCGTCTCAACCCGCCCGGTGGACAGGATTTATGCAAATTCCCATCCCCAGCGCATCCCTGGTATACGAGTTTATCTCAACTCCCCTGCACAGCGCTGCCAACCCGTGCAACCAACCCCCCACGTTGAAACCCTACATACCTACCACAGGTCTCAGGTGGAACACACGCACACGCGCGCACGCACGAATAAACATAACTCAGACACGCACAACATAGGGCACGCCATATCCCACCATCCCATCACGCATCAGTAATCACCCCGCATCCCTACCCCTCCCTCCCACCCTATGCCGCCTTCCCGTGCGCGGTGTGCGGTGTGTTTACCAACACCAGGTGCTGGGTGCCGGGGGGAAGGCAGAAGGTGACATCGATCTATATCCTCGCAGCTAGACACGCACGCACGCACTTACAGGTCCCAAGACGTGCACGCAAGGGTGAACAAAGATATTGTACTGTAGATGCACGCACGCGCACGCACGGCTTAAGAGGTGGTATATGTGAGGAGATTCGAATGTGAAAATTAGGTGCGAAGAAGCGAGCGGGCGGGCGCCTCACCTGTGCCGTGCCGTGCGTGAGTGGGCGTGCAACGCTGTGCTGGGCGTGGGCGGGCGTGAGGGGGCGTGCATTTCTCAGCCTGGCGACTATACTGCACAGCACAGCATTGCACTGCACTGTTGGCGCCCCAACGCCCTATCTAATGCACGGTAGCAGTTTTGTTGGCCTAGACAGCGAAATATGACAGATCCAACTAATACTTGGGTCAAATATACCACAAGGCTACCCCATCTATTGGCACCGCGGCGGGAGCGGGCTGTGCGCCTAACCTTCGTACGCACGTATGTATGTACGGGGTATGTACGGGGTAAGAAGATGACATCCCCGCGTTATGAGATGTGATAACATTTGCACACCTGCCGTGCTCCCCCCCCATCCTACAGCCTCACCCACCCACCCATACCACCCAAACGCCATCCGCAACTCCCCGCCGTTCTCCCCGTCTCCCAGTCCAGCCGCTGTTACCCATCCCCCTCTCCTCTCCGCCCAGTTCTCCCATCCGCCCCTTCTCCTCCCTCCCATCCTCCCGGTCCTACCTCCCCGCCGCGCCGCGCTGCCTAGCCTACAACAAGCAAAGAGAGTGTTGGGAGGGGGGTTACCAACGGCACTGGTATAGGAGGGGTCGCGGCACTCACCTCTCCCCCCCTCCCCCCCACACCCCACACTGTAGATCCGACGATCACATCCCCTTACCTAACACTTCTAAGATGGGTGATCGGTGGGCCGGTGTCGGTGGAGATGAGGTCACGCGCCGCGAAAACAAGAAGAAAGATTTTTCTTCAGTGAGGGGGATAGTGAGAAGGAAGAAGAAGTTGGGGGCGGGAGAGGAGGGGAGGGGGGGAACAGAAGAGGGGGGTGAGAGGAAGAGGGGAAGGTGGGAGGTGGGAGGTGAAAAGAAAAAAATTATGGTCACGAAGAGGGGGGAAATGAGGTAGGTGGTGATTAAAGTGTCTATAATTCCGATTCTTGCTCCCAATACTACAGTCTCCCTCCCATCCTCCGTCCCCGCACTCCTCCTCCTCCTTCACCAGATAAAAAACCCAAACAGAAAGTCGTAAAAAAACACAAAGGAGCAGTGGTAACAATTCCCATTCCAAGTCTATAGTTTATCCCCTTCCCTCGCTTCCTTCTCCTGTCTTCCCCATCCCAGAAAATAGAAAAGAAGCAGCAATCATAAGAAAGTATCATGCTTTTTTAAAGGGAATCTCATCATCCAGAAAAGTAGAAAAATGCCCCTCCATCATCGAAGAAAGGCCGTTAAAAGAAAAAGTGGCGTTGTGAATTATTTTTTGTGGTTTGTTGTGTTGTGGTGTGGAGAAGAGTTTGTTTGTTGTGGTTGGTTGGTTGGTTTGCGTGGAGTGAAGAGTTGAGGATGTTTGTTTGTCTGCGTGCGTGTGTGCAATGATTTGATGGGAAGGTTCGTCGAGTAGGATGCGTGCGTGTCATCGTTCGTTGTTTCTTGCCCACTCTTTCAATCGTTGAGAAGACAGCGTTCTCGCCCATCCCATCTCCCCTCCCATCCCCACCATCGCAAACAGGACACAGCAAAAGAAGTATTAAAATCGAATCGTAAAAGTTGTTGTAATAGTAAAGTGTAGAGTTCATCCCAATCCCATAACCCATCCATGCCCCCCATCATCAATAAAACAAGATACCAAAGGTAAAAAACTCCACTTGAGGTAATCGCGCAGAAAAAAGCAAACAAGTCTATAATTGTCCAATCCCAATAGCCCCATCCCATTCCCATCTGATCACATCAATCAATCCAGTCAGTCAATCCCCATCACATCACTAACTCATATCCTCTCCAAATCCCCCGCCACCGACCCAGCCGTCGAGCTCTGCCCACTCGTACTAAACCCGCCCTCCACACTCAGCAGATCCTGCACCGCAACCTTCGGCACCTGCGGCACCGGCAACTTGCGCTGCGCCCCGTCCGCCCTGGACATGATATCGCTGATCGTCATCCCCTGTCTCGGTCCCTGCGGCGCCACGGTGCTCGGATTCCCGTACTGCTGATCCAGCTTCTGCGGCTCCATCGGCGCCAACGCCGGCGCGTGCTGGAGACTCAAGTTCCTGATCCCGGGGAGGTCGTAGCCGCTCCCGTACGGCGCGATGTACGGCCTCAGACGCGGCGAGTGTGCCGGCGTCGCGAGCGGAGTGTGGTCGGGCGTGGGGGAGAGGGAGTCGTGCGAGAATGTTGGGGAGGAGGGTGCGGTGGATTGGGGAGAGTTGGGACGGCTGCGCTTGGCGTGGCGGTGCGCGTAGTGCTCGTCATCGTTCTCGTACGAGTGCGAGCGCGACATGGCGTATGCGGAGAGCGAGGGCAGGTGGTTGCGGCTGCTGTGGCTGCTGTGGCTGTAGTAGGGGTGATGTCTCGAGCTGCTGCCGTGTTGGGGGAGGTGAGTGGCGGGCATGCTCTCACGCTCGACTTGGGTGGCGGCGGTGGCGAGCATGTTGATGTCGAGCGAGTGCTGCTGGCCGTTGTTGGGACTCGAGCCGTTGCTACGACCGTACGGGTTGAGATTCGACGGAGGTGCAGTGGCGTATGTTGCGTACGAGTGAGGTGGTGAGACGTTTGGTGATCCGATGGCCGATGCGGGTGCTGAGCGAGAGAAGCTCTGGCTTGGTGGTGGCATCATGTTGGTCATGTCCTGCTGCTGTCCGTTCTGCATGTTCGGGTTGACGTTCTGCTGTCCCTTGTTGCTTCTCCTCGAGTTGGGGTTGTTGTGGATTCTCGAGTGGCGGGTGAGCTCATCCGATCGGCTGAAGCGCTTGGTGCAGCCCTGGAACTGGCAAGCGTGAGGCTTCTCACCGGTGTGGGTGCGGATGTGTCTGGTCTGGTGCTCGAGGCGGTGGAAAGCCTTATCGCACAGGGGACACTTGTAAGGACGTGGCAGGTCGGCTCTCTCCTCGCCGCCTTGCTGCCCAGATCCCATGTTGGGCATCATACTCACGGCTGCCATTTCTGCCTCTTGCTGTTTCTGCTGCTGCGACAGGAAAGCCAATTTTTGCCTCGCAGCCTCTTGCTGTTCCTCGAGGGTAGATTGCGGGTTCAATAGATTTGAAAAATCTACTGCAGACGAGGCTCGTTGCATGTGATCGCCGCCGCAACGTAGTCGAAAGTCTTGGTTGAGGCGACAATGAGGTAATCTCGAAACAAGTCGAGATGAAGGTGGTGCTAACGAGCTAAAGTGCGAATAAAGGTGTATAAGTCGACTTTTACGCTTCAGATAGAAGCAGTGAGGATGTTAACGAGAGTAAGAATCGACGTTGTTGTCGATAATTGATCGTTGGGTTGAATTGTTGTTGGGTTGTTGTAAAAGGCGGGAAGTGATAAAATTTGGGTGTATGTTGGGTGGTGTTCGGTTGAAGATCGCGGAGAAGGTCGAGTAGTCGTAGTATTGTAGTAGAATAGACGGGGGGGAACGAGAACGTTTGTGGGCGGACGTGGGGATGATATTATAAAAAATGTCCGGGGTGGGGGGGGGAAAGAAGTGAGTGGAGGGGGGGGGTATGGTGGTGAAATAGTGGAGTGGATATCTTGGGGGGTGAGGGTGAGGGTGAGGGGGGGTGTGGTGTTGAAGTGGAGGTGGAGGGGGGGGCGTTCTTGGGGGTGTGGGTTGGTTGTGTGGGTGTGGTTTGTAGTGGTTGTGTAGTGGTGGTGTGTGTGGTTGTATGGTGTGTGATGTTCCTTTGCGCGCCAAGTAGCAATTTTTTGTGAATTGCGAATTGTGAATTGTGGCGTTAATTGGATCGGGATAAGACGTATCTCTCCTACTCCTGGTCCTGCTCCTGCTCACTGCTCCTGTCTCTTTCTTGCCTTGTCTTGTCTCTTCTTTTGCTTGTTCGGCTCCTTTAAATTGTGACGGAATGGTTCAGGGCGGACTCCGTATACTTGTAGATTCCGTTTCGTTGTCAGACACTCTTCCCCGGAAAAAGTGAGTTGGTGGTACGTGGGGTGTTTCTGGTGGTGACAAAATGAGGCTTTCCCTTCTCGGCCTATTTTTCTCTTCTTTCTCTTGGCTTCTCTTTCTGGATTGATTTTCCTTCTTTTTCTCTTGGTAGAGCCACTGACCGGGAGTTGGTTCAGCGATGATGTGGCTATGATGATGTGGTCCGGCGTGCTTTTTAGGCTGGGCGCCGAGGGAAGATTTGTAAGGGAGCAGGAATCGTAATGTGGGGAAAGAATCAACGCCGAGTCGTGCGAGTAGTGAGTGAGTGAGGGAAGAGTAGTGCCGTGATTGCCAGTCCGGAAGAGCTAGAAATCTGGAGTACGGAGTAATGTACCGAGGGCGAAGGGGGGATCGGATGTCTTATACGGTAGTGTAGCGTTGTGTTTTTTATGTCTTTGGTTGTGTTCGGTGTTCCTTTTTGCTTTTAGAGTACTGTACAGTTTATACTACTACTACTATACTAACTATACTAACTATACTATAATGTACTGTACTGTACTATATAACATGCAAGCACGATCCAAAGCACGATATTTCTCCAGAATTACGTAGAGAGGTAGAGAGGTAGAGACGTCGGGACATAGATACGTAAATATACCACGACGTTCCTCCCTTTCACACTACGACTCCACAAGACAAGACAGGAGCCACCTAGGAGCCACCTAGGAGCCACCTAGGGGCCACCTTCTCCGTATAGTAGTGTAGTTATAGTACCAAGAGTACAAAGTACGTACAGCATAGGGCAGCATAGGACGATGGCACCAACGGCGAATTACCAGATTATACTATGTACATTATCTACATACTATACAACTACAAAGTATTTTTCACAAGCCATGCACCAGATCGACGGGCTAGAGCAGTAGTTAGCTCACGGTTAAGTTTGGGGGAAGGGAGATCAAGGAGAATATGGAACATGGGGATATACGGCTATGGCTAAGGGTATGGGATATTCATGGGGGATATTCATATGGGGACAGGGACATGGGCTTGCATAGATAATAGAGTACTTACATATAGTAGTAGTTTAGTTGTTATTAGTACGTACATCATAACACATACGGTAACCTCGTTACGAATGTATGGCCAGATGGCATGGCATTGAGGATAGATAGAAGTGGAGCGGACAAGATCAAACAAGAGCTGGGCAGGGCAGGGCATCATCATAACATGGGGCATGGGGCATGGGGCATGGGGCATGGGGCATGGGGCATGGGGCATGGACATGAACATTGACACCGATTAACTCACTCTCAAACCGGCAAAAATGAGTGAATTGTAGAGGCAGGTAAGTCAAGTAAAAAGTAAGTAAAAAAGTAAGTATCTAAATGCCACTACCTATCGCACTATCCCACTGTAACGGAGATTCCCAGTAGCAGCCAGCAGTGTAGATAGGATAAAAAGGGCAGATGTAGTAAAAAAGAAGAGGGAAGAATCAACAACGAAAGGGTACGTACCCTCTCCTCTCCCTGCCGAATCCGGGGCAAGGCAAAAATCAGAGCAAAAAACCCTCTCTTACTCCAATCCAATTGACCGAACCGGAGCTAAGCAAAAATCCTAAAAATGGGAATTGGGGAAAAGAGAAAAACTATTTTTTTACCCTTTTTTTTTCAATAAATTCAACCGATAAAATCAACCTAGCCCCATCGACACACTAAACCTGATGAGGTTAAAATTCGCCTCCCTTCCTCCCCAGATTGCCGCATCTCCCTTCCCCTCCGATTACCCATTTTTAGCATGGGGGAGGACTCGCTACTGCGTAACCGTAACTGTGCGTAATGGCAACAACAACGATCGATGGCGTGCTTTCCCGCTGCCGCCGTTCCATCCGCGAAAGAAGGGAGATGGACAGTCAGTCAAACCTTGGCCAAACTCTACTACGAAAGGGTTACAATCCAGTAACCATCACACAAAAAACACACACCTAATCTCAATTAATCCCACCTTTGCCAATTCCCACATCCCCCCACACCCCAGCTACGTACTAGAAATCCCCCATCCCCCATTATCCCCATCCCTCCCAGACAAAGACTCGATCCAGGACACGTGCCCGATAAGAGTAGGGATAACAGGGCTATCCGTATCAACCACCCCCCATCCCACCCCCCATCCACCATCCACATCCCCAAATCCACCCCATAACCACCCCAAATCCACCTCCTACTCCAGACCAAAACCCTCCATCTCGGCACAAGTTCAAGCATAAGACTCGGTACCTCCGTCCCAATCCCCAATCCCTCCCTTTCTCCCCACAGAATCCTCATTAAAGCGAGCGAACGAGCCCCCGTTCCTGCATGTCCCCTGCCCAGCTTCCCCAGAGCCGAGGCATCATCTCCCCCATTCGGTATCTGGGTACAGTAAGAACCAGTCACGTCACTACCCACCCAGGCTCGCCACAGTAGTAGCACGCTCAAGTGAAATGCGATGCATTATCGTCCTCGCCGAAACGACCGCGGTCCTCAATCCCCCGAGGTCGCCGAGGAACCTCTCACAAACGCTCATGCCTTCACGGGTTTTGCCACCTCAGTACCATTGACACGCTCCCCGCATGTGAACCCTTAAACGCCACAACGGCATAACCCACCGCGCCGGCCTCATCGCATTAAACAATTACAGACTCCCCCTCCCCTTCCTGTACTTTGCATTACACCGACCGTACCTCGCATTCACACCGGGGGACGGCACAACTACGCCGCGCCCGCCCGCGCACGAAACCACCTTCCTCACAGGGTCCGCATTGTCTTGTGTAACACGGCGCCACGGCCGCGACAGCGCCGGGGCATGGCCGATTGTCCGGTGAAGTCCCGTGACGGCGGGGCCAGTCGACAAGCCCCCTGCGTCTGCCAATGTCTGAGACCTGGCTGAGGGACCACAGGCGGGCGCTGTACCTGGGTGGTTGTTTGGCGGGATCTGATAACTCAGGTTCGTGCATCTCCGGGGAGTTGGGGATGGGGAATGGTGTTGTTTCATGCGCTGTCGGTGCAGTGTTTCGTTGATCCTATGCTATGCGCTGCGTATACTCTACTTACCTTACCTTACACGTCCCTTCCCTTCCCTACGGCCACGGTCCGGCGGCTTTTTGCCAGTTTCCCCGGATGCCACCTTTTTGGCAGTTCAGTCCACCCACACACCCACCTTCCAGAAACCACACACACACGCACACACCACACACCAACTCTCAGCGCTCAATCTGCGAACACGTTACATCGCACCTTTCCCTCCCCCCCCTTTCACCCAGCATGCATACAGTAGTTAGTGGTCGTCAAGCACGAGCCGCAAGGTCGTAGTGCATATTAGCCTTTCGAGATGGCGCCGTTTGGGTAAATTGGCCGGGAATGGGTGGAGAGTAGAGTGGTACTCTAAGTGCGCAACGTTAATTACAAGATAGATTACATGCGTGTAGTAGTGTTTGGTAGTGTTGGTAGTGTTTAGTAGTGTTGTATGGGGGACAGGACGCTACATACAGAGCCGCCGATCTGTGGGCAGGGGGAGGTATATTAAAAACCGGCGCAAGGCCTAAATGATCGTTTGTCTTGTGGTGGTGATGGGAATATACTGCCACTATACAGAACAATTCAGCCGCCCTTTTCACGACCCGGGATAATACCAAGCCAACGAGGCGTAGTTCAATATAGATGAAATCGTGGAGAAAGGTCTAATATCTACTACACACCATCAAATATGCGGGGAAAATACACTATCCACCCATATCATCCTCAATCCACCCGTATATTCAATAGATCTCAGATCCGGGGATATCACCCCATCACCCGACACTCCCCTCTCCACAGCCGAAACGGGCGGGTAGACGCAAAGAGGAAGTCGCCCCCGTTCATCACATCACAGAACCGGCCGCTTGAGAGGAAAGGAAGGCCCATGTGAAAATCCCTCTTTGTCTCCAGTCTCCAGTGGTGTAGCACGAGCAAAGGCAAGAATAGTACGGGGTAGACAAGAAAAAAGCCAACCGACCGAGCGCGAGTGCCGATCATCCCCACGAAACAAAGTAAGGTCCACCCCGTTACAGGCTCAGTTCAGCTTGGTTCATGACAGCATAATTGCCTTTTAAGTGTGCCGAGATATCCCATGTCTCACCACGGGGTCATCGAAAAAACGATAACTGTGCGTCTTTTTTTTTTGGTATCGGAATGGAAAGAGGTCGACACTCCCCCTTTCTCTCATCCACTTGCCCCATCCATCCATCCATCGTCAATAAAATGGTAAATGCGGGGTACGCTACACTACTACAACGCACAAACCACCCCCCAGATCCAATCCCCACACAACAACGGGCGCCGATCTTTAGGTTCGGACGTCGAGTCGCATTACCGCGACTCCCCGTCTTCAATCATACCTTCCCTTCCCTTCCCTTCCCTTCTCGCCACAAAAAGGCCCGATGCAATTCACCGCACGGTTGATGGAAGAAGTAGGTACGAAAGGTGAATAAAACAGTGACGCCGAGATGACAGCACGCGACTGGGAAAATCCGCCGACTTCCTTCCCGTGCAGTAACCCCATGGAACAGCAGGATCACGGCCTCTCTCCCGGA